GGGATTTTTGTGTTTTTTTTTTTTTTTTTTTTTTTTTTTTTTTTTTTTTTTTTTGTTTTTTTTGGTTTGTTTCGGGGATGTCGTTGGAAATGTAATTAAACCGGAATTAATTAGAAAGTATCGCTGTGTCGGCGTCTTATTCCCCGCGTGTTGCGCTCGACGGTGTCGCCGAATCCAATAACAAAAAAAAAAAATTGAAGGGGGGAAGGGGGGAAACTCCCAGTTAATAAATACCCCAGCCCGTTCCCGTTGCCATGTCAGTCACAAAATCCCACTCTCGGCCGTCTAGCCGGTTACCAGGCAGACCAGACCAGGTAAGGCACACTCCGGAAGTTACACCCCCACCACTAAAACCCTATATCCGGCAGCCCAAAACTTCCACAGCACTTTGTTTCCAGCACCCATGCAAGCCACAGGAGTTTGCCCCGCATCATGCATGGCCTCTTCATTCGGCAAAGGTTAAACGAGGAAACCTCTCTCCCTCCCATGACGCGTCACGGCTTCGCAGCGGACATTGTTCCGCTCTCCGCTTCCGCTTCGGTGACTGAAGCGGAAGCGGAAACGGGAACGGAGACGGGAAACCCAATCGCGAGGGAAGGAGCGAGGGTGAAAACCTGGACTCATGTCAGGGGCAGCAAACTTATGTGACTCACTCATCTGAAACGTCACGGAATTATTGATAATTATTTTAACGACAGGTGTGCTTGTTACCTATCACACCAGGAAACCCATAATCCAAGCGAGATGCTAGGATGGTTCTATTGTTACTTTTGTTTTTCCTCGCTGAGGACTTACTTGGACGGACGAAACCCGGACAGAATTAACTTCTCAAACCACATTCTTAATAGAAGTGAGCAGAGCAACGAACACAGCGTTGCTGAACAACCAAATCCTACAGTCAATGGATAAGACTTTATTCCACACTTCATCAGGGGTTTGGCCAACAGTTAATTAAGAACTAGATTCACAAGTTAAGAAAATACTGCGAAAGCACCTAATAATCAAGCTCGCACCTCACTCAATACCGGGAAGATACAATAACCCAACCAAGTAAACACTTTGGAAGCTCCCTAAAAAGCCGGTAATCCCTTAAGGGGCAAAAAGAAAAATATCCTCCAAACACACATGTTAACCCCCTTTAACTCCCCTAATTCCTCACGTTCTCCCAAAACCGCTTCACCGCCTCACAATACTCCTCCACACCCCTCTCCTCCCCCTGAATCTCCCCTAACTTCCCCTCCAACCACATGTTCGCCTTCTCCGCCAACATCTCCCACTCCTCCGCCTCATCCGCCATCTCCTTCTCCAAAAACGCCAGCGCCAACGCGGTCGCCAAGGCATCCAACGCAGACCCAGAAACCTGGAACCCAGCCTTAGCCGCCGCCTGCGAGAGCGTCTTCTCGTCCAGCTTTCCGCGCCCGATGACCCCCAGGAGGCGTGGCTCACAGGCCCAGGATCCCTCGAAAGTTTGTAAGTCGACAAGCCGGTTCAGCTGATCAGCTTGTGATAGCTTTGAGAGGTCCTCCGGTTCCACCTCTTCAAGTTCCTCCTCCGTTTCATTCTCTCCAATCTCGGGGACGAAACTGGGGCCGTCATCCATCAACCCAAACCCCTGGTCGTCAGACTCTTCGTCTTCCTCGTCTTCGGAGGGTAGAATGTTGCGCATGCCCTTCGCCTTCCTGCGTGGCATCCCGACCGTACTGAACCCTGAATCCGAATACATATCCAGCTGTGCTATCTGCGCCTGCGGTGGAGCTGCGTAGCTCCCGAACGGGCTACCACCGCCCGGGGCAGGTGGCGGAGGCACCGCTGCGCTGGCGCACATAGCTACGGGTGCAGCAAAGGCTCTGGGGGCGAAGCTCGCTGTTGCCGCTGGAAAGAAACAAGTGGTTAGCAATCCGGGTCTAGCCAACGAAACTGAAAACTGTATAGGCTTACTAGAACTCCTCGCCTCCCCGATGGAACGGTTTCGTATGCTTCCTGGGTCACCTGCAGACGCCGATGAGCTGGGTTCAGCCAACGCAAGATAAGAATGTGTAGACTTACCAACACCAAAGAGGTGCCGGCGCCGTTTGCCTCCTCCATTCCTTGAAGACGCCGATGACTCGGGCTGAGATGGCTCCTCTTGCTCGTGCCTCTCCTCATTACCCTCCACTGCCACAAACGAACACCACTTGCCACCAACTTGGTGTGTCACGCCTAGCCGGACCGCCTCGCGTTCGACCATGTCCTGGAAACGGCCGGGGTACTTGTCCTTAACCAACTGAGCACCATCCGCAGTGCTATCCTTGGCGTGGAAAATCCAGCCGCGGCCGTCCTCCATCTCGCGAATGGCCTTGCGGGCTGCCAGCTGGTGGATCGTCTCCGACTTCTCCTCGAGCACCGTCACCGGAATCTCGAGCGCGATCGGTCCGTGGCGCGAGGTGCCGCGGAGAATGACGGACTTGGGCTGCTTTTGGATGGTCTCAGGAGAAAATAGGACGTAGACGGTAGTGCGGGAGTAGGGCAGAATCGGGGGGATGAGGAAAGGGGCCTGGAGAAACTTGGGCTCCGAGATCGCCGGGACATGTGAGTATTTTCCGCCCGACGAGGTATCGAGCGAGGCATCGGCCATCTCGACGTCAGGATCGGCGGACTTGTCGAAGAAGGATATGGGTTTCTTCTCCTCGGTTGTCGTGGCCCCTTCCGATGGAGTCGGTTCGTTCACATCCAAGACCAACCCGTCCAAAACCTTCTCGACAATCTCAAATTCGTCTTCCGCATCCGCACCCTTTGCCTCGCCCTCCTTGCCGTACTTGATTTCCAGCTTGTAATCGTCAATATGCGGTGTGAGAGATGCCTTCAGCATCCGCACAACCTTGGTGTTCATCTTTTCGTCATCCCCCACCGACTGCGCAAACCCATGCCCTGCTTCCGCCACGCCCTCGATCAGGGAATGGCTCACATCGCTCCCGATACCCAAGCTAAACACCCGCGCGCGGCCCTTGCTCTCGGCAATCTTCTCATTGAGCAGCTTAAAGAGCGCAGCTTGGTTCCAGATCTCGCCATCAGTCAGCAGAAACACCTCCAGATCCATATCGGTGTATCTCTTCTTGAAGGCATCCTCCATAGGGTCATAAATGTCGGTGCCGCCAAAGTCCGCCTCAAATGTGTCGACATAAGCCGTGGCCTTCTTGAGGGAAGACTGGTCGTACGTCTGCGAGCCATCGGGAAACAGGAACTCGTGCCGTGAGCCAAAGGAGCAGATGTTGAACTTGACGCCCACGGGAAGCGACTTGAGGAACAACTGCAGCGCAGTCTTGAGATTGGCAATGTTCGACCCCATCATGGAACCAGAGCGATCGCAGAGGAAAACAATCTCGGGCCGCGACGCGGGCAAGTTGAATTTGGGTACCAGCGTGGCCATCAGTGCGCGGTGGTTCGTCAACGTCGGGTGTGTCTCGAGCACGGCCACAGGGTCGCCGGTGTTGGTTGCCACGACCTGCAGGACAAAGTCGTCTCCGAGCTCTGCGGTCGACAAAGCCAGGGTGGCCGAGGCCTTCTGCAGTGACATGTCGGCGCCGCGAGCCGCACCCTCGGCAGTGTTACCAAGAGTCACCGAGATCGGATGAGATGGCGACTGGACATTCTTGACGTTGGAACCCGCGGGCAGCTCGACGTCGACCACAATGCTGATGCCGCTCTTCTTCTTGTCGATGCCAGTACTCGGCTCCAACTCGCCGGGGTAGTCGCCAAACCGTGGCGCAATACTGGTCGGGATGGTGAACCGGATTCCATCGATGCCCACATCCTGCTTTAGCTCACCGAGATACGTGATCTCAATCTTGAGCTCGGCATTCTCGGGCACATTGCCGATCGTTGTTGTGAAAACATCGCTGGCTTCCGGCAGCTGCTCCAGTAGCCCAGCCGTTTCGCCACGGTCCACGGCTTCCTGGTACGTCTTTTTTGCCTGAGCGCGCTCTTTAACAACCCCGCGGATAACCCGTTTCTCGTTGATGGTGCAGACAAAGTCAACGACCGAAACGCCCGCGTAGAGAGGGAAGGTGTACCGCAGCTCCTTGAGCTTCTCCGACTTAGGGTTGACGAAGTTTTGTGTGAGGGTGGTCCGGCTGGTCGACGAGACGATCTTGGTATGGGCTGAGAGTGACAGTTGCTGGAGGTACTTGCGTTGGGTGTGGTATGCGTAGCGGGGGTGCGGGACGATGTAATACAGCCCGCAAACGTGACCGTGATCAGCCATCTTTGCTTGTGAATCGGAGGAAGGACACTAAGACGATGTGTAAAAGGTAAATCCCAAAAATTAAGCCCAGAATAATGTTGGAGCAAAGTGCTGAGCTAAGTCGAAGTTCAAGATATGCCCGAAACAGGCAAGTCTGTCCAAGTCAGGGTTGATCCGACTGCTGGTGGTCGTGAATGTGGATGAGGACTTGTTGATGAACAATGATAAACCAAAACTCTCCCAAGACTTATCCACAAGAGAAAACCAAGCTTTATACCAATCCCCTCCCCAAGATCAACCCTCATGACGAATGTGCCCTCCCTCTCAGCCCTACCACCATCCATGGAAAACAGGCAACAAACCGCCTTGGCGTCAACCCCAAAGCGGCAATCAGTCATCCTCCAGCGAATCAGATCTCCCAGATCGCCCACGAGATCCACCTTTCCGCCCCCACCTTGCCGTGCTTGCCAACCGCTAGCAATGCTCAATTGTGCAAAAACCCTCTGCGAGCAAAACGAGGAGGGCCGCAGCAACACCACCGACACTGTTGGTTGTTGCACTGAACCCGTCATCAAACTGCCACCTAATCCAACCGCTTCTCCACATTCCGGCCAACCAACACGGACAAACCCCTCACTTCCCATCCAATATTCGACTCACCAGGCTGACTCACCGGGCTAAAAAGGGGTCTGAGCTGCAGGGAGCTTGTGTCCGGGCCCGTCCCATCTTCTCCATGACGTTGCACCAGGCGCCGTGTAAGTGGTCGGATCTTAAAGGAGGGTTAGGGTTCAGAATGAGTAGTACCGAGAAAGAAAATCCCAGTCCATCTATCAACAAGTTTGGGTCCAAGATTACAGCTGCTAGCAACAACCCGTCGACGTAGAGTCGCAGTACGGACCTGCGATATTGAGGCATTGATGACTAAGAGTTAAAAATCGAAAACGAAAGGGGAATATGTAAAGAAAAAAGCCAAAAGCTCACCACCGGGCCTCATCTCGGTGATAAGGCCCGGTGGCTACGAAAAGCCCTGATGGGCTTTTTCGATGCGACGCTTGGGGGGATCGAACCCCCAGCCTCTCGATTCGGGTCCCTCCCAATACCGCTGAACTAAACACGCCGGTGCGTGAGTTCTATTGGGAGGTCGGTGGCAGTGGGAGCTGTGGACTGGGTTATATACTGCTGAGGAAGGAGCGGGATTCATGGCCCCAGCAGGAGTGTAAGATGAGGTGAAAGATAATCATTGGCGGCACGGAGGTAGGCAATCACCCACAAAATGGTCTCATACTCCTCTTTATCTTTCAGCGCCCTCGACCACCATTCCCTTCCACTAGCCAGTCAACGGTCTCGGACGACCGGATTAATCCTGTTAATGCACATCAACCCCTATTCCTCAAACCCCCCGTAGCACGTTGGCTGAAGCGAAGCGCGCCTGCATCTTCTTAACCACTGCCAGCGCTGCCCCTTAACGCTCCATCCTCTTGTACCCAACTCCCCTCACGGCTTATGTATCCTCAGGGTCGCCAAAAAATAATCCTCCAGCGGGACCAAGTTCAACAACACGTCGTTGCACATCCACGCAACGGTGCACGCGACCGCTCCTGCCACGGCATCCAGCACATAGTGGTTAGCTGTCGCCACGATGGCGGTCAGAATGATGGCCGGGTACACCATGCCAATGGCGATGATTACAGTGCGGCGGCCGCCAAGGGAGAGAAGCGACTTGCGCTTGTTGCGTAGGAGTGGGACGGCGGCGATGGTCAAACCGATAAGGAACGAGTATCCAAAGTGAAGGGACGGCATCGCGGCTAAGTAAAGGGGAAAGTTAGCTTACCTTACTCCAGGTTCATCACAAACAACACTCCGACGGAGCTAGGGTGCTCACCATACTGGTTACAAAACCGATTTGTAGTCCAGACACTGCTGTCACCGTCCGCGCCGTGCACAGTGTCGATAAACCCGTACCCCTTGGCCTCCTCAGAGTTCTCTCCCATGTAGGTAGGATCGCTCAAAAGTCGTGGCGGCATACATGGCCAAAATGTGAAGACAATAAACGCCAATAGATTACACATTGCCATGGTCCGCCTCCGTCGCTCGTAGATCGGCGGTCCGAAAGCAGGCGCCCGCTCTCGCCAGTTCTTCAGCGTGGCCGGCCAGTGCCCGTCCGACCCGTCTCTGTATCTCTCCTCCTGTAACAGCTTATGTCGTGGCCGGGCGATCGTGATGTGGTACAGGATGATCAGGTAGAGGATAGTACCCGGAATGTGGATAAACGAATACGTCTTGTTAGTCCAGCGCATCAGCGTGGGCCTTTTGAGGAACCATTGTTGCACAGCAGGCTCGACAAACAAACCAAGAGCTTGTTCAGCATGGATAACCTGAAGGCCGTGTTCGCGCGCGGTGTTGACCGTGGACTCTTGGAGCGTGACAGCCGTAAAGGCGCGACCGAGTTGATAGACCTACACACGTTAGGTATTTGTTCGGGTGGGAGTAAAGGCTAGGAAAGGGGGCCGAAATAACCGCCGCTTCTTGTCGACATACCCAGTAGATCAGCGCCCAATACCACACCTCGACGAGGAACGGAAACCTCTGGAGCACCCGGCTGAGAAAACGGTCCTTGAAGATCTCAGTATTCGGTGTCGTGACCTCCTTCTCCCAACCCAGACACCGCAATCTTCGTTTCCGCCACCGCGGTGCCGTCTTTGCCGAAACATCATCCATGAGAGTATCACTCGAACTGCTGCTAAAGCGGCTCAGTGTAGGCGGCAGGAGGGTAAGTTCGTCTTCTCTGGCGCAGCCTGTTTCGACATCGTCGTTGGTCTCGTGATCCGCGGCGTACTTAAGGTGCTGCCATGGTTCCGGCCGAGTGGAAGACCGCGGTAGCCCGAAGTTGGCACCGCTAACCTTGTTGCGGTTAACGATGGTGCCAAACACCAAGAGGCTGACCACAATCAGAGGTTCCAGCATCGCACCAAGCGCCATATTTCCCGGAAGGATGTTTGGGGCCAAACGCAACCGGCGACAAGGTATGATATTGAGGAGAAAGACGAGAGAAGCCGGCTTGAATATTGAAGATTGGTCATAAAAAAGGGGAACGGACGACAACAGATGGGAGGGGTTCTGTTATCTGATCACCCAAAGTTTACAGCGGGTGGACGGGCGCAATGACCCTCACTTCAATCCATCGGGCCCGCAAAACACGGGCAGTCGTTCTTTCCCGGTGCGATCCATGACACCACAGCAGATGGAAGGAGCAACCGGAACACAGAATCTTGGCAGTCAAGGTTTTTCAGAAGTCGGGTGCCACTTTGATTCCACGCCAAGTTCAAGGCTCGCACGACATGTTGGAGGACATGTTGACCCACCAATATTTGTGACCTCCAACGGTGTTGCTAGGTGGGCTCTAACCTCCAAACCGCCAAGGGACCTGCTTGCTAGCATATCTTCAACCACGAATAGTTCGGAATTCGGGACGTGGCCATGGCCCGAGGCAAATGGGGTCTGTGAGCCCAAGAAAAGGAGGAATGGCGGGAGACAGAACATAGGGAATAACCAAACAAGAAGGAGTCTTCGGTTTCGGTTTAATTCAGGCACAGGATGCCAGTATAGGTGTTCCATTCCCAAGGATTTATTCTGACGTCGGATGAGTCGGAACATTGAAAGGCGGAGGAATTAACCCTTCTAGTGGATGTTAGGTGGACCGGTGTTTGTGCACACTGCAACTTCCCTGCAAAGAGACAGTGAAGACACGCGGGCCGCAAAAGGCCATGGATCCATGGATGCCGGTAGGTAGAGTACTCTTCGGCATGACGTCTTCGAAAACCGTTCAAAATGGAATCAGGTCCGTGGAGAAAAGTGATGGAAAACCTTGTGATACGACCGGTTCAAGTTTGTTACGTGATATCTGAATCTAACGTTGTACAAATAACGTACCGAGGGTGCTCGCGTGCAGTGTTACTCCTTGCGGTTATCCCCACCAAATCACGATTCTTGCTGTCGAAAGAAGATCACACTCCTCCATAACAAGATCTCAAGAGATATTGACCGTCGAGGAGTTATTCCGACAGGCGAGTTGATATCGTATCATGAAGAACAAAAGATTCTTAATAACCGGGATAACGGCCCATCAAGAGAGCCCGAGATACCTCGGTGATGAAGTCCATCGCGGCGTTCATCCGCGCCGACCCCCGACTCGGACGGTTCGGGGTCGAATGGCGATCCACACTTCCGTCATTGATTGAAGTGAACGGAAGTCAGGTCCGTCGCCAAGCTCTTGGAACGGGGCCCACTTACATGCGCCAAGCCCAAACCACAATGTCCAAAACAAGGGGGCTTCACGATGGTCAGAACTTAAAATCGTCGTTCCCAGATTATCTTCGTGTAGGAGTGCCGCTGCGGAAGAGCTTTGCATATAAAAAAGGATCAAGATCTCATAACAATTCCCCTTGGTGAAAGGACCAAGTATGAATAAATCAAGATCAACTCCCAGTTTTGTTCCGCCTCCGGGTGGACTTTGATCTCGGGGGGGGCGGAGACGCCGGATATACCGGCCCCGCATCAAGCATGCTTCCCGAACTCGTGGGAGATTTCCGTATTGGGATGTCCCAAAACGGCATGTGGGGTCGAATAATTCGAAAGAAACGGCGAAGAGACATACTCACCGGCTCGCTGTGGCCAAAAAAAGCGGCAGACCCAGTCCCTGGATAACTTACTTTGCTACAAAAGTGAAAAAAGACCAAGAAGAATAAACCAAAAAAAGTAAAAGATGACAAAAAAGAGTAAATCAATCAAAATCTACCAAGGTTTGATCGAATGTTAATGGATTGGACTTGAGCTATCTGTTTGAGTGTGCCGCTTTTTTTTTGGCCACAGCGAGACTGGCTGGGGAAAGGGTGTCGATAATGTTAAAGGTAAGTAGGCGCTGTTCAGCACGATATTGTTGAAGCGGCGCAATCCGTGGGGAACTTGCAAGGCAAGACCGAGTAACGTTATTTACTCCCTTACAGGTAATTACCTCTAGAGCTGAACATTCACGTATTTCCAATAACTACTGTTGTTTTAACGGAGGGATTTTGTGATTGTAAACTATTCGAGACGAAGGGAAACGAGGCCATAGTAAGTAATGCTCATGAATCGGAATCAGAGTGTCAATAATTAAATAGTACTAGAGAGACGATAACCAAGTCTACCAGTATTTCAACCACTTAACTATGCTGTTGAAGCAGCTTTAATCATCATTCCAATTCACCTTAGAATCCAATCTCCTTACGCAGAATCCACCTGTCCCTTTTTCTCAATGGGGTTATCAATGAGCATGTTGAACTCTTTCTCCTCCTCAATGATAAACAGTGAAGCTAGAGGAAAGTTAGCCCGGATCAGATTCACGAATCAAACACAATTTAACACATACCGAGGGCCGCGAAGGCGATGAAACTCCCAGCCGTTATCCAAACGTTGCGAAACGCCACCACATATGTATTCAAAAGCACATTCGTACCACTCTCGATAATTTCAGGGGTAGCGCCTTGGATGCCCCTGAGCGCTGTCTCATTCCGCTTTACCAGCGCGGCCACAAAGGACGGGATACTGCTCGCTGGCAAGCCGTCAGGGACAACTACCTCCCTCGCATTCTGCTCCAGCCGACTCATCGCGTCGTTAAACACCGCATTGTACACCGCTAACCCGACATTCCCGCCCAACGACCGCACCGAGATAAAAAGCCCGCTCGCGACGCTAATCAACTCGGGTGGCGTCGACAACTGCGCGACCACAATCAAGGTCGTCAACAAGATCCCAAACCCGATCCCCATCATCGTCCCGAATCCCCACACCGCGTGATCGCTATCCCGCCCACTGGCTGCCATGCCCGCGAAAAACACGACCAACAACATAAAGCCAGCCACCGTAATCCACCGTACCCGGCGTGTCCGTGTCGAAGCCCACCCCGCCACACATCCGAAAATAGCAGTGAAGATGAACTTGAAACTGTACCGCACCGCGACAAGCATGGTATCAGACGGGGTGTACAGCAAACTGACTTGGAAGGAGAAGTAGCTGTTGACAGCGAAGAAGGCGAGCCCTTCGAAAAAAATGGCGAGGCACGCGAGGCCGAAGTTGCGGTTGCGGGAGAACAGGCCGTGGTGGAAGAGTCCGTCGCGTTTCCAGCGCGTCTCGTACACGATCAGCACTATGGCTAGCGCTACGCCCACGGCAAACGTCGCGCTCACGCGTGGATCGGTCCACTCGTAGGGGTTTTTGGAATACGACAGGCCGACGGAGAAGAGAACCAGCCCAGCGGCGAAGAGGAAGTTCCCGGTCCAGTCAAGCTGGGCTAGGCGTGTGCGGTGCGAAGAAATCCCCAGTTGGCTTGGAAGAGGGGGTGGGTGGTAGACGACTGCGCATATGAGACCCGAGACTGCGAACCAGGCCATGGCGGCGTAATAGTAGTTTTGGAAGCCGGGCGAGTCCGGGCTTGCGTTGCGGTTGAGGGCTGCGCCCATGAACAAGCCGACAAGACTGCCGAGACTGCCAGTGACAATGGCGCATGCTTGGGCCCAACCCCGCCAACGGCGTGGCAGGACTTCGGAGGCGACAGTGTGCAAGAGGGGTTGGGCGCCAAATGCCGCGCCGACGAGGCAAAAGCCGGCGATGGCCATGTTAATGGAGGTCGCGCGGGCGATGACGGCGGATCCGACCGCACCGATAAGGGTCGGGGCAACGAGGAGCCATTTGCGGCCCCAGTAGTCGGCGGCGCGGGATACAATGGGGCTGAGGACGACCGTGAGAATCGCGATGGATCCTGGAAACCAGACGACTTGGCTGCTGTCATTGAAATGAGCCCCGATGGTTTGTCCTTGCTGTGTAGTGTGAGCAGTGAATGCTACTTTCAGAAACTGAGGAGAATTTACTCACCACGCCAGCGCCTACGAGGCTAAATAGCTGAGCGAAGTAGATAAGGCATACTGCCAGTACTGCTAGGAATGTCCTTGCGGACAGTCGTGGAGCTGACTCCGGTAACTCGTCGCTCGCGCTCCCAGAATCCAGAGCAGGTCGGTCTGAATTGGCCCGATGCTGGCTGCTTTGGGGATTTTGAGGGTTGGAATGTTGTAAAGAACCCATGGTTTTCTCAGGTGCACGCATAGATGATAAGTGATGAACGTGTTACGGGGGAAAGAACATGACTTCGTGAGGAAAGCCGAGGAGAACACCACGGGCACTGTCATCCTGTTCGGACTGTAGGTTGTCCGCATCACTTGGCTGGTTTGCTCAGGTTTAACTACCCGAGCCCGCCGCTGTGCAACGAACACACGTCTCGGAGTTCAACTGGATCCAGCTGAGAATCTGAATCAGTCCAACCCTCCAGCGGTGCGATCTGCGGGCGGTGTGCAAATGGCGGCCCATTCAAGGGCTGTGACTGTGGTGTGATGGAAAGGTGGTGGTTTCTGTGAAACTTGACTTCACACATCGTCTCGCTGATAATTACGTCCTGAGAATTGGACCAAATGTGTCGGGCATATCGTAGCGATGTACAAGGATGGATACGAGTCAGTATAACAAATGAATAGACTGGGGCTCAGTAGTACAGCAGCGTTGCTTGAAGCTTCAATTGGGTTATACTTGTCGGCCCCAAGTATGTAGTTTTAGTTCCGTTGTTCGTGGGCCGTGGTAAGGGCTTTGAGTTAAGAAGTATTCGGGTTTTTGTCAACTTAAAAATTAATGTTGAGAAGACGCAATGCAGGGGATCCGAGATCTTGTGGGGCACATTCGACATCACACCAAAGCTTTGCACCTGAGCGATCGCTTGGTTGATTTAGAGTCTTTTACGGCGGTTCACAAGCAATTAACCCGTAAGAAACTTCTTGAAGGGTTCTTTTCAAGAGCTCTTGATCGAGGCGACGCCGAAGGTACAGTTGGTGGGCACTTGCAGTGGGTCACGCCTGGCGCACAGCAGATGGCTAAGGCTCCACCTCTTGTTGAGGGAAGGAGCTTTCGAATTGGCGTCATGTCGTTGTCGCGCAGAACAAAATCTTCTCCTCTTCAAATCTGGCCTCATCATGACGCTCCTAGGAGGACCACGGTTGCGACACGCAATTAAAATGCCCCTAGATCTTTTCGATGCGTACGAAACTGGGATATGGACACCCGCAACAACCGACGTTCCACCCGCTCAAGCGTTGAGCACCATCATCAGCACGGATCGAATGACAAACCGACCTCGATTCAAATGGCAGCCTTCGATCGTCTCGACCTCGAATTCGAAAATGAACGAGCCGACAGTGACATATTCTAAGAAGACATCGTCGGGATGACCACCAAGCCAGCATGAGCCAAGCCCCAGGCAACATCGCGACCATCGGGCAAGGGGATTCACAGCTTCGCGATGTACCCAATGCGGAAGTGCTGCGATAGCCAACTCTTTCTCAGTAAGGTGGGGGCCTCCCTCGACCCGTCCAAGAACAGATGTCGGCAAACAACAGGTTGTGTCCTGGCGTTCCTGCTTAAAGACTGAATTTGCCGCCTAACTGTGAGTAGACTTGGCGCGTTCTCATCGCATCTCCGTACTTCCAATCAACAACAACCTCCAAGGTTGGTTGGTATCACCAACACAACACCTTGGACTCGACTGGGTGTTACGCGCCGCCCGCTTGCCGATGCTCATCTTCTTCACCGCTCGCGCATTTGGCCCCCATCAGGCTCGATCGGTATCAACTTCGGGCGGTTCTGTCCGCGCGATGAATGGATGCGGGAACCCAAAAATTGGGCAGCAGCGGTGGTGGTGGGAACTGGTTATGGGGTGGTTGCATGGGTCGCATCAATTGGTCCGCTGCACCGGGCCGCCTATTTTTGAACCAACGGCCCGGGGCGCGCCGGAATCGAGATCAACAGGCCGCTCCGGACGGCGCTTCCAAATCCCCATTTTGCACCTGGGATAGGAAGGCGACGAGTTCTTCACATGCAATGAGTCAACGCTTGGCTGCAGGTCTGCTTGTTGGCCACATTTGGCCAAAGATAGGCAACGAAGGGCAACTCCGGGGGTTCGAGTGGCGGTCATTGGTGGCCTTGCGCCGCCTTGCGTTTTGGTGTTGCGTATTCCCAGTTTCCGTTGCACGGGGAAGATGCGACTTTCTCAGCTTGTGGGGCGTTGCAGCGGGCGATCGCTGGTGGTTCGCTGCTTTGCCGCTGGTGCGAGAGCAGCCGAAATGCACACTGCCCCATCAGGCCGGTTGTTGGTTTCCCCTGCATTTTGCCAGCAGACACCAGAGGTGAGTTTCTAGCCATTCTCAGTGGTTTACGATCGTTGACCCAGATGTTCTCACTCGGCGGCACCTCAGGCAGGGTTCCCGTGCGCCTCCAACTCTCCAAATCGGGGCCCGAGATGTCGTTCCAGGTTGGACGGCGTGGTGGATGGTGGTCACTTGCCTGTGTGTTTTAGGTGGGTGGGGACAGCGACACGCCCCGGGACTGGCTGGTGGTGCGCCAAGGGTCGTGGAGGGGGACACATGGGTTGGGCAAGGCTCGCGCTTCCCGTGCCGTCCTCTTTGCCGCCAACAGTGCTCTGAGTGAGATGATAAAATGTTGGCGCCCGGGTCGAATTGGCCGTCTCTTCAATCTCTCCTCGAAGTCAAGGCGACAAAACGGAATCATCACGACACCAACGCAGCCACGGGACACGACGCCAGCCTGAGAGGACAGAAAACGCCCAAACTGACTCAACGCCGAATGCCCTGATCCCTGTTCCAAGCCGACAGCCTTCCCCTGCGCAGAAAACAGGCCGGTAGGCACCATAGCTTAACATGCCGTCCGGCTTGCCCAACAAATCGGGGTCCGAGGCCGAGCTCTCGGCGGCTGAAAAGAGTGAAAAAACGCCAGAGTTCGCTGTCTTCGAGAACTTGGACCTGGAATTCAACACCGACCTGGAGACCGTCTCGCCGGGGCCGGGGAAGAGATTGCTGCTGACAACCAAAGAGGGTGTTCAAAAGAAATACCTTCCCGGCCAACCACGCTTCCGGTTCGACAGGGAGCAACCTGTCATCGGTAACCAGAAGCTGGATCTCCCGACGTACCTTGTCGACAACCACAATACTCGTGATCTTGACGGGCTCATGAAGTTCATGAAGGTCCTTTTCGTGCAGACTCCGTACTGGAAGCACATCAACCCGCTGCACCACCAAGCATCCCATGCTCGTGCGATCAAAGTCACGGAAAACCCAGGCCTCCACCTCGTCTGGTACTACGAATTGATGTACATTAAGCCCATCCCGGCGTATTTCTACAGCAAGGCCTTCTGGGACTATCTTAAGGATCACGACAAGGGTGCCCGCGATGAGGACAAGATTCTGGGAGCTTGCCTCGGCTTCATGCGGACATATTATATGCTCATCCAGTACGAAAACGACTACAGGGAAGCCTGCAAATTGCACATCATTCCTCCTAAGAGCGACGGCAGTACCCCAACCTACGAAGAGTGGTGCAACTTCATCCTCCCATTCGCCAAAGTCCTCGACAAGGAGACCAACCGCCGTTACCATTACGGCGAACTCCGGCTCTCTCGCATCAACCGTGTCGCCTTCTTCTGCAAATTTAGCCTCGCCTACTTTCACATCTACCCACAATGGGGCTCGTTCCTAGAACACACCCTGACACCGGTCATCACTATCTTCGCGATTTTTTCCACTGTGCTCAACTCCATGCAGGTTGGGCTCGCAGCCCTGGATTCGAAGGGCCAGAAGGACCAGCCACCGGGCCTGTGGGGCCAGTTCGTCGAGGTATCCATATGGTTTCCCGTGGTTGTGATGGCTTCGATCGCTCTTGTACTCTTATTGGCAACTGCGGGTATGGCAACTATGGGCATTAAGGACTACCTGCGTGGGAGAAAGGTTCGTGCAGCAAAGAAAGCGGGTCAGCCGGTTGATCCAAAGAGTCATGGAATGATCCGGTAGTGGGTGGTTTGGCAGCATTTTTATTGGTGGTACAGTACGGGCTTGGATTCTAGCGGGTTGTTGGCCATTTCTTTCTATATCGTTTCGATCTATGATCTATGTACACAAGGAGCCTGGCGTTCGGGGGTCTTTCGTCACTTCTTCTGCTCGCCGCCGCTTCCGTTCGTTATATCCCACTTCCCCCGTTTGCGCCTGCAAATTCAGCCCGCTTCACGCCAAAACGTTCGCCAATTGTTACGAGCCCACCGACCACCAGCAATTTCCTGAACGCGGTACCGTCTGCATCATCCCCGAACCCCGTCTCCAGCGCTTTCTGCACCACCTCCCAACTCACGAAACCAAGCTTCTCGACGGCCTCACGCGTGCAGATCCCGCGCAGCTTGTTGTGGATGGGTCCGTCCTTGGGCCACCGGTTAGGCGCGACATAAGGGTGCTTCTTGCGGTCGTACAGCTCCTGCGTGATGTACGGCTTACCGGCCTCGCGGAGGATCCACTTCTCGCTAAACAGGCTACCGACACGTTTGGTACTGCCGGACCACGGCAGGCCCCCCTTGCGGGCGACATTCTTCTCGTCCGGGGTGTACACCATCTTGACGGTCGGCGGGAGCCCGTTGACGTACTCGGACAACACATGGTCGAGGAAGGGCGGGCGCGCCTCGATACTGTGTGCCATCTCGGTCCGGTCGCCCAGGCATGTCAGGAGGTTGTTGGCCAGCAGAGACCGGCTCCAAAGGTACTGGGAGCTGTGCAGCGTGTGCCACTTATTCCGGATCTTCTCGCGGGCCTCTGGCTGGGTCTGCGCCAGTTGGGTCGCAGCCCAGTTGTACCCGGCATTTTGCTCGCGTACCCAGGGCTCAAAAAGGTCCAAGGTCGCTTGCCACGTCTGGGTCACGAACGGCATTTGGACATTGTTGATCTCGCGGAACGTCTCCGGGTCGGGTATTCCGTGGTTAAACCACCCCGCGCGCGAGGTCAGTACGCCTTTCAAAGCCTCGAAGGACTTCCCCCAGAGGTCCTCACGGAGGGCATTATCGCTGGCCAGCGTGGTTTCGGGCATAGCCAGGTCAGGCTCGCCGAGCACGTCCAGGGCGAAAAAGGGGTAGCCGGCGAAGTGCTCGTCAGATCCCTCGCCAGTGAGTACAACCTTGAAGCCGTGCTCGCGAGGGACAGTGGACAAGCAGAATTTCCCGACGCTGTTGAGGTCCAGGTTGTGGTGTTCACAGTGGTAGACCGAGTCGGCGAAGTTCTCGGCGAGAGCTTCCTCGTCCATACGCTTCTTGAGAATCTGCACACCTAGCCAGTTGGCCGTTCGCTCGGCAATGTCTACACCTGGTCAGCATTCGGGACATATCGGGGGGAAGAAGGGAGGAAGCGCAACGTACCGGCTTCGTTGAAGTTGTCGTCAGTTGGGAACTCGATGCTGAAACAGCAGATTCGCTTTGTGGCGTCCTGGTTGCCCAACTTAATGCCCTCATCTTTCACGAGATGTGTCACAATGCCCGCGAGCAACGATGAATCGATACCGCCCGAGAGGTAGATACCAATCGGCACGTCGGCGCGCAGCCGCATCCGGATCGCATCAATCAGCCGCTCCCGCACTCCTTGCACCATCTCGTCGATCGATCTCGTTTCTTTCTCGCGCTACCAGCCGACAGCGTTAGTCAATGGTCCCATCGGCCAAGGCCCACCGTGCATTCCAGGTTGGGCGAACTCACCTTGTCCTTATAATCCATGTCCCAGTACCAACCCTTCTTGATGCTCCCATCCACGCCAACCTCGACCCACCCGGCAGGCGACACCTTCTGTACCCCGTGGAACAGCGTCTTCTCCCCCAGCATCCACGCGCCCGTGGCGATTGACCCGACGTCCCACTCAGGCTCCCATCCCAGGCCCAACCATGCCTTGGCCTCGGCAGCGATGAGCAGGCGGTCCTTGTCGACGGTATAAAACAGCGGTTTGATGCCGAAGCGATCGCGCGCGAGGATGATGCGTTCGGCGCCGGGTACGCGCTCGTCGTACAGCACGAGGGAGAATTCACCGCGTAGATGGGTGAGGAAGTCGGGCGCGCCGTAGACGGTGTACAGGGCGATGACGAGCTCGGTGTCGGCGTGCGAGGGGAAGTGGTAGCCGTGGACAGTCTCGAGCTCGGTGCGCAGAGCGTCGTTGGGGTCGTAGATCTCGCCGTTGATCACGGCGTGGATTTTGTTGTCGGGCGAGTGGTCTATGCGGCATTTGTTAGATGGTCTGGAGTGTATTTTTTGGTATATTATGTGTGTTTGTGCCGTTTTATTGGCCTCATCTCTCCTTGTCTTGGTTTATTGTATTCCTTTCTGGGTTTTGGGATCTAGGGAATTCAGGATATATCGGGCGTACGTACGGGGCTGGTTTCCGGACTCGGAAAGATCGTTAATGGAGAGACGGTTATGTCCAAGGCCTACAAACAGACACCACCAATGTTAGCGCTTTTGTTTTTACCTTAACCTGAAGCAAAGGAGGTTGATGATATGCTGGGGAACCGTACCGACAGAACCATCCTCATTGATCCAGATGCCCTTTGCGTCTGGCCCGCGGTGGGCGATGAAGTTGAGGCCTTTGCTCAGACCGGCTTCCAGGTTGGCGCGTTCCTCGTCCGAAGCCGTCTGGCGCTGCCGCCGGTCAAGGCGGACGCTGACGCAGATTCCGCACATGGTTATCGTTTGTTGTCGGTTTTCGTCGGTTGGGTGTTGGCGATTTGTCTGTTCAGGGTATCGTCGTCTTATGTTATTAAATATGGGATGGTAATGGTAAGGGATATATGCAGGTAGGGCTGAACAGAGGGAAATAGGACACAGCAGGCTGAGGAATCACATAGTTTTATACAAAATAAGAAAGTAATAATTACAAATTCCACGAACCATCCGAAGGGCTTAAACCAAAATATGCAAATTATCGGCGCACGTTGTTCACCCCTCCCCCCTCCACTCCCCTTCGCCATCTGCCGTTGGAACACGACTCGGTCGGCAACCGTCGAACCGAAGCTCAGGTAGGTAGCCCTCAAAGACGCGAAGTCCGTACCGCACCCCCCCTGGATGTTTCCCCACCTTGGACACTCGTACAGTGTATATGTACATCAATTAAGGTACTCCAAAATATCACATCAGCTTTGCTAGTGTAGGCTCCGACTACTACTGTACATGGAAAGGCGCTGGGGCACAGTGTATGCGCTTTTCTTATTTCCCGGTCATCTTTCAGTGGGTGTCGGCTGGGATGGGATGTCCCTCTACAGCCGTGTGACGTCGCAGTTCTGTTGATCCAAGGGCTATCCCGGCCCGGTCATAAGCTTTTGTGGCTTCGATGAAGCCCACGGGCAAGGGGTCGGCGCTAGCTTGGCTCCGACTGCCGACTGGGCTGATATTCGGCTATGCTTTCTTTCGGCTTCTCGCGAATGACACGCCTTGGCTTTACGAGCACTTTTGATCACTCATCAAGAATTGAGTAAGAAGTGAGATGAGACGAGATGAGGGTACGATGGCGACGGTGCCCCGGTGGCAGAGATGGCCGGAGATGGCGGAGATGGACTCTACCTAGCGGGGAAGAGGGGATTGTCCTACTTTGCCTACGCAGAATGTACAGTACAGCATGCTACCTTGGTCGGGGTTTTTTCGTTGTTGTTGTCGGTCGTTGTTGTTCCCGCGTCGGGCAGGTTACGTTTATTGTGAAGGTGGGGCATGAAAGCAAGCTCAAAGTGGATTCTTGCATTCCGTTGCGGTATGCCCGTTGGTTGGCAAACTTTTTAAGCCGGGGTCCTAAACTTGATGTGTTACATGTCTTACCTAACGGGATGTGTGGTTCAATTGGGTAATAGTTGGGGAAAAGGGAAGCTTTGCCGTTGAATGGGTGGTCGTCCATGTCCATACTGCGTACAGTATGTCAGCTGTTCAGCTTCGATGGGGGAGGTGAGCGCACTGTATCATGTCTGATTGTGGATTTCCGTTTTGGGTGGGGATTGCGGGGTGGAGGGGTACAGGACAGCGCTGATCATCGGACGGCGGAAAAGCTTGGAGAGAAAAAGAGAGAGCGAGAAAAACTTGGCTTTTACTTGGCTGCTTGTTTCTGTTGAAGGAAGTCTCGAGGTGAAGACCTGCATATTTCCGAGCTCTGTCCGCGCTCGGGGAAAGCGCGATTGGGGGCCGTGCTGGAGCTCGGGGTTATGGTTCGCGTTGTCGAAAATGTCGAGTTGGAGATAATTGTGGGGTTACCTCGGCTGGCGGAATGAGTGCGAGGGGCTCGGAATGACGAGTTGATGCCTGGGTGATGGAGGCAAGTCCTGGGTTTCTCTCGTACGTTTGCCGCTTTGCATGTTGTGTCTGAGCTAAAGCAAAAGAGCGGTGGATGTAGGATGTGACATGGGGTTGTTGATGGTTTTGGGTGTGAATGGCGTGGCTCGGCCGCTTGATCGGGAAAAGGTCCGAACTGATTTGAAAAATAAAGTTGGGAAACAAGGTTAAGGCTGGGAAAGCGCACGAGGCTCACTCAGCTGAGGTAAGAGGGTGAAGGCTTGGTGTCGTCTGGAATTTATGATGCGTAGTCAGTTAAGTATGTTTACGCTGAGTGATACCACTTGCTACCGCGGTAAGTGTTTTCCTCATCATTTAACCTCTAGAACCATTCAGCCTCATTGTGGGAAAGAGTTGAGAAGTACTGAGGTTAAACAGTGGGGCGAGGCGACCAGAACCGAAGCTGTGCCTGGCAGGCTGCATTTGCAGGATCGAAACTTGCTGCTGACGGCGACGCACCTGGCTATTGATGCGGGCGTTGGTCCAGTCGCGACATAGCTTGTTTTCCGACGACGTCCGTCGTGGATCAGAAAAGTATCCAAATTAAAATTTCGACGTGGTTGGTATTGTCACAGTGGGTGTTGTGGGAAGTGTTGAGCCATCGGAGCTTCATTTGGATGAAAGATGGGTATGTTCGTTTCGTCTTGGCGCAATCGGTCCCCAGCGTGAAAACTCGACGGTAACACAAGTTAGTAGTCCGTACTATACACCGGTTTTGCCTCTAGGTACTTCGTACACGGAGCCGAAGTCACCGAGGCCACGGCTTTTGAAGCCTGCCGGAAAACACCGAAGCTGGGCTCGGCGTGATCATTATGGGGCCGTGTTGGTTTACCCCGGATTTCTCCAGGGCCGGGCCGCCACTGCTGTCCACGGGACGTGCCTTGTCCAAAAATATGAAGTCGGCCGGCAGTTTAGATGCTCGGTGAGCGTCTACCATTTCATCATTGCTTTCCAGATTGGGAGTGCGAGTCGGTATTTACAACACGAGTTTCGTGTTCGGTCGACGGAAAAATGAGGCAACAATTGACTGCAGCTGAAGGTTGATGCATTGCAACTAAACTAACGCAGGGGCAATGAAGAAAGGAAGACGATTTCGACAATGTTGCCGTTCTCGAGGTTTCGGAGTCGCCAGCCGACGATGGTTCTTACTCAGTACACCGCGGCGATCCTGCTCGACAACTCAGGATCGTGGCGGTTTGACGACGGACACGAGGTGCTGAATCTCTTTTTGTCGCCGCTGCTCGGGCGCGAGGGTTGGTGATGGGTGGAATACGAATTGCTGCAACGTCAACTGACTGGCTCGTCCAGCCGCTGCGGCCCCATTCGCCGGACGGCAAACCAGGAAACGGGAACCCACCTTCCAGCCATCGCTGGGATCTCGCCCTCGGGTAGACGATCGATCGCGACGATAGTTAGTTAAAAGCCGGTGTCCTCCGAGTTCAAGTTGTGTGTAAAGAGGACCATCTCACAGACATCAGTAACTTGAGCAAATCAACACTTCAGCATATCCATCACCACATCCAAGATGCGCACCACCATCGCCACCCTCGCCCTCGCGGCCGCAGCCACTGCGCTGCCCAACCAGAACCGCTGCCGCGACACCACCTCCAAGGGCTTCACACTCACGGCCCACGTGACCAACCCGGACATCGACATCACCCCGTCGGCCGAGGGTCTCGTCGTCAGCTCGGCACACACCGGCGCCGGCCTGGCCGCCGCGGTCCTCAGCGACAGCACCCCCCGGCTCTTCTACCAGAACGGCTCGACCGCCAGCCACGAGAGCACCCTCCTGACCGACAGCGGCACCCCTCCCTTCCCCGTCAGCGTGCAAATCCAGAAGCAGACCGACGCCCGCCGCATCATCGACATTAGCGTCGGCCAGGGGTCGCCGGCGTACGTGGACGAGAAGGGCTTTGCGGTTAACGCGTTTGGCCCAGGCACCTTCCTTGCTTGCCACGAGGTTATTCCGTACTACAACCAGACGTTTGTCACGCTGCAGTATATCTATGGCGAGGTGCCGACCTCGGGTGACGACCAGGGCGATTGTGCGGTTATTGAGTTGCATGCGAAGTGCGCTGAGTTGAATGAGCTGCCGGATGGGAGCCTTGCGAGCCACGAGTTTGCGCAGGAGGTCGCTTGCCAGGCTTAGGAATGTTGAGATCTGGGGAACCTATGAGGGGAACAGGAGGAGTCAACTGTTGACAAAACTAATGCTGGGTAATTGAGTATTGAGACTCCTAATACACTAGTCATAATGCGTGCAGGCTAAGGTACCTAGAAAAGAACGTTAATTGACATTTGTCGCAACGAAACCCTACTGCCGAACAATCTGCCATCAAGGTGCACCTGCCCGCTGTGCCAAGTCGCACGCAAGCCAACCCCACAGCGGCCCCTATCGGTTTGGGACTTGTCCGGCCCGACACCACCTGTCACTGGCCGGGCATTGCAGGCGTGCAGATCGTCATCGCCCAGAACAGGAAGCTGCGAAGCATGCCCTGGAAGGCCTGGGAGGAGGATTCGCTTGGAAGCTTGGGACTTCGTATGCTGCCAACACGAAGCGTTCCCCTGTTGACCTTCCACATTCGCGACCAGAATGTCACTTCTCCACGCATTGCAACAGTGGCTTATCAACTCTTTCGGGACAATTTTAGTTTGCGGGTGAGGACGGGAGTGTCAAAAAGGCGTGGGATCGCACGCGAGAGCGAAGGTAAGTACTTGTTTCTTTTTGTGCTGTTTTACAGTGTTGTCGTCAATTGTATCTGTTCAGCATGGCGAGACTTTCTGGTCTTGCCGTGGGCGCTGCGTGCCTCGCACAGCTTGTCGCGGGCCTTGGCGGAGTGCTTGATGGCGTGCCGACGCTCCGAGATCCCAGAGGACAGGTAAGTATCCTCTCAATCGGTGCTTTTAAAACAACAATCGCACGGGATACTGACCCATTTTCAGTTCAACCGGCGACAAGACCGCGCTGCCCTCGCAGCCCGGGACGCCGCGGAGCTGTACCCCGTGCACACGCTCCAGGTGCCAATCGACCACTTCCACAACGACAGCATCTACGAGCCGCACACGGACGACAAGTTCCCGCTGCGCTACTGGTTCGACGCGAGCCACTACAAGGAAGGCGGCCCCGTCATCGTCCTGCAGGGCGGCGAGACCAATGGTGCCGACCGTCTCGAGTTCCTCCAGAAGGGCATCGTCGCGCAGCTGGCCAAGGCCACCCACGGCCTCGGCGTCATCCTCGAGCACCGCTACTATGGCGAGAGCTACCCGACCCCGGACTTCAGCACCGAGAACCTGCGCTTCTTGACTACCGACCAGGCGCTGGCGGACATGGCGTACTTTGCGGAGAACGTCGTGTACGAGGGACTGGAGCACCTGGATTTGACCTCGGCCAAGAACCCGTACATTGCCTATGGCGGTTCGTACGCGGGTTCGTTCGTTGCGTTCCTGCGGAAGCTGTACCCGGACGTCTACTGGGGCGCCATTTCCTCTTCCGGCGTGCCCGAGGCTATTTGGGACTTCTGGCAGTACTACGACGCGCACAACGCCTACGTGGAGAAGGATTGTATCGAGACCACGCGGAGGCTCACTTACATGGTCGACACTATCCTCATCGGCGAACGCTACACTGAGTACCCGCAGCGTCTGAAGAATGCGTTTGGCCTCGGTAACCTCACTCGAAGCGACGACTTTGCGTACACTATCTCGTACGGCATCTCGGGCCTGCAGGGCCTGAACTGGGACCCGGCATTGAACTACACTGGGTTTGGGGAGTACTGTGGGAACCTGACTGCCACGACGAACCTGTACCCTGAACTTGCGGGGCTAGAAAAGGAGGCCCGCGAGCTGCTCGTGGCGGGCGGCTGGGAGGATATACTTGACGAACTCACGCCCAAGCTTCTCAACTACATTGGTTACGTGGATGCTACGACGGTGCAGAGTTGCACGGACTCGGGGAGGACGCAGGATAGCTGCTTCACAAACTACAACACGACCTACTACCAGCAGGACGACCTGTCGCAGGACTGGCGTCTCTGGCCGTACCAATATTGTTTCGAGTAAGTTTCTTTGTTTTCGTCTTTGATGAGCGCGAATGTAGTCGCTAACGATAATAGATGGGGGTTCCTGCAAACCGGCTCCGGCGTGCCCATCACCGATCGCCCGCTCCTGTCGCGCCTGATCGATGTACCCTTCTCGTCCATCGTCTGCCGCGAGGCGTTCGGCATCACCGAGCCGGCGCAAGTTGACCGCATCAACAAGTGGGGCGGTTTCAACATCAGCTACCCGCGTCTGGCTTTTGTGGACGGCGAGCGTGATCCGTGGCGTGCCGCTGGTCCTCATAAAATCGGCCTGCCGCCGCGTGAGAACACCGTCAGCGAGCCGTTCATCCTGATCGAGAATGGCGTGCACCACTGGGATGAGAACGGCCTCTTCCCGAACGAGACCAAGCCTGGGCTGCCGCCGAAACCGGTGGCCGATGCGCAGAGTGAAGAGGCCAAATTTGTGAAAGCGTGGCTGAAGGAGTGGAAGAAGGACTCACGTAGGGGCAGGAAATGATGCGGCGAGTGAGTGAGTGGGTACTAACCAGACCGCAGATACATACGATGATCTCTGATTCGATGTGGGAAGCAACATGACTGATGGGGATATTTTGGATGATGATGAGATAAGGACTTTTGGATATAACATGACTTTTTTTTTGGAATAATGAAACAGGGTATCTTGCTACCATTCTACCACTCCATGCGGTCGTCGCATTCTAGAGACACGTTGAACCTTTCCTCCCCTTTCCAGACCTTGCGTCCCGAGTTGCATCTAGCCACGCCCGCTCGCAAATCAACGACCATTCCAGGGGGGCCGCTCCCAAATACACGCGTCGGCCCCTGAACAACGCAGGCGACGAACTCGTCCACCACGGCACCGACGTCCGGTCTATTCTCAAAACTGTCGTATGCGGGCGGGGCTTCCGGCGACGACTCGATATCGTCTTCGCTCTCGGCCCGCGCTTCATCGCCAGCTGTGACCTTGGTTTCCTTTGACTCTGACTCTGCTTCCGCGGCCGGGAGGGGGAGGACCTTGGCAGTGACGAAGATGCGAACCCGAAGACCATGAGCGGCACCCAACCGGCGGAGCTCGTCTAACTCGGGCTCAACCCACTGCAGGTCCTGCTTCCGCTTGACAGCCCAGATCAACTCGACCTTGCGATCCGCTACGACCGGCCCGCGGACGAGGCGAGTCAGGACGGGCAGGACGTAGGTGATGCCGGTGCCGCCTGCGATGCAGAGGATGTTGGTGTTGAGCGTCAGGCCGGTGAGCGTGCCTTGGCCGTACGGGCCCTGGAGGATGATGGGCGTCGTGGCGGTTCGAGTCGGTGCAGCGGTGAGTTTGCGGGCGAGGAGACCAGCGATCTTCTTCGTCTCGCCGCCTTTGGCCCGGAAGATGTAGGTGTGCTTGACCTTCCCCCCGGCTGCGTCGGTCGTCAAAACCGGGAGTGAGACTGGTGTGAACGGGTGGCTTTGCCAGATGCTGCTCTCCGGGAAGCACAGGTAGTAATGCTGTCCGACGGCCCAGGGTTTCTGCGGGTGTTCCAGGTCGATCCTGACCACATCCCCAAACTCGGCGTCTTCCCACACCCGCGAACACGTCCCCTCAGCGGCGCGGAACCCCCATCGTCGCTTGCTGCCTTCCTCCGACCACCACCCGCAATGCAACAACCCCGTCCTCACCAGCCTCACCGCCCGGTCCAAACCCCACAGAATCACACCAGGCAACAAAAAGCACTGCAGCCCCGCCCAGTGCCCAACCAACGCGCCAATATACACCATCCCAAGCACATAATGCGCCTTCCGAAACACCTCATACCCCGTCACCCTCCTCACCACCACCCGCCACGACAACACCCACATCATCACCAACACCACCAACCCCACCACCCCCCAAATCGCATACCCCTGATTAATATACATCTCCCACACCTCCGGCTGCGGATTATACAACTTGGCCTCCACCACCACCCACCCAACCGTATGCAACACCGACTGCACCAAAATCACATACCCCGTCCACCGATGCAAAAACAAAAACCCCGTATACGGCACCCCCGTCACCAGACTCAACACCGACTCCCGCGAGCTGAGCAGGATACTAAGCGGGGTGAGGGCGTACGCCAGCACGCCGACGCGGTCGGCCCAGGGACCGATGGAGGTGCGGGTGTTGAGGACGGTGGGCGGTTGGTTTTTGATGGGGGTGATCCAGGTGCTGTAGGTTATGCCGAGGAAGGTGAAGAGGGTTAGGTAGGAGGTGAGGATGGTTAGGAGGAGGAGTTGCAGGCGGGTGGGGTGGCCGAGGAGGGGCGAGAGGAAGACGGGGGAGGAGGGGAGGAGGTGGTGGGTTGTTGTTGTGTGGAGGGTTTGCACGAGGCGGGTTGTTGTGGATAATATTGAGTTGGGCTGTTGTTGTTCTTCTTCGCCTTGCTGTTTCTCCCCCTGATCCCCATCCACCACACTCCCACCTCTTGGTCGCAGGAGTATTCTCAACACCCCCCACCCCCCCACCAACCCAACAAGTGTCAGCCAAAAAATACCCGTGTAGACCATCCCCCGGTCGTGGGCGTCATACACGGCGTCGAGGTAGGCACAGGAGCCCGGGTCGTTGGTGCAGGGCACTGCGCGCGAAGCGTACCCCCAGTGGGGTTCGAGGTTGGAGGCTGAGGAGAGGTTTTGGATGTGCCGGGGGATGAGGGGGGAGGGTGCTGCACGCGGGGGGAGGTTGGGGAGGGTCATTGTGTTTTGGCTTGTTGGCTTGTTGGTTTGGTGGGTTGATGGCCTGGTGATGTTGAGACTATCACCGGTGAAGAAAGTGAAGAAAAGAATAGCGGCGAGCCAACCGGTACGGTACAGGTACCCGGTGGGGGAACAGACCGTGGGCACGGGCTTAACGGAAGTCAGTTCGCCTCAACGGTTTTGCATGTCTGGAAAGGACAAAAGCCATGTGGCAGGCTGACACGAGGGACGCCTGTTCTCATATGGTATGATATGCAACCGTCTCCAACACCATTCCATATTCCATATTCCATGGCGATCCACAACCACCGGATTGTGGCCCGGCGCGCGGGGGTCTTGGCTCCGGGAGAATGGATTCACTCCATATTACCTCCGGCGGGATGTTGCATTCGAAGGCATGGCTGTTGAATCCTTTGAGGTTCTCCGCAGGTTGTGCATGGGTGACTACACTCCAAGGTACCTTCTGTGAGAGGATCCGGACGTAGTATCTCACGGATTGGCATCTCGGAATCCTCAAAACAGCCGGGAACAATTCCCTAACTTGACCATCCCAAAGTCAAAACCCAAGACCCCAAGACCCCCCCAAGCCGCCGAGAGCGACTCTGTCGAGAACCAAACCCGGGAAATATCACTCGCCCAGACCAAGCCTTCTCAAATTCCCACGGCCGTTTCAATAAAATATGACCCATTCCGGAAACCCCACCGCCGTCCTGCTTCCGAGCTCCAACGAGGTGAGCGAGCGAGTGAGTGAATGTGAGCATCTTTGAGCACATTTCCAGGTCTTGGTAACAGGGGTTTTCGTTTGCCGGCCCGGGGGCGTGGGTCTCACAGTTAGTGGGTCTGCTCAGCGGGCTTGGCACTGGCAGTCAAGCAGGCTCGCTCAGCTCGGCAGGACAAGTGAGGTGGTGCACAGGCCACATGGCCTTCTGTCAGTCGCGGCCGATTTCAGTGAACAGTCGGGCGCTAGACTACCTAGGTGAGTGAGCAGAAGACCAAAGTGGGGGTGGCCGGCAAGGCCGGTTGCGCTATTGAGCCAACGAAGTCCTGAGACGAAACGTGTTTTGCGATTTGGGGGGTGGATGGACGCGAGACGTGAAGGGAGTTGGCTGCAAGTAAAAGAGTGTTTAAAGGGTGGATTGCCGCACTCGCGACGTTTTGTCCGTTCTAGCGTAACTTTGGTAGTCCCCTTCGAGGTTCCCCAAATTTCAGGGCTGCATCCCGACTTGCGCCATTCTTGGATTTATCACCCCACGTTACTCCGTCCCTCACGCGACCGACGTCCGCGCTTCCTCGACAACCCCCAACTTCCCGAGCGCAAGTTTCCGGCCATCCCATCCGGCAGGCAACAGCTGCATTTCCCCGCAAAACCCCCAAATCCGTGTGCTCGACTCCGAACTTGCCGTTTCTCCACGCATGCACCTTTTCCATCTGTCTCCAACACCACAGCGAGGAGGAGGATATCGACGGGATCGGTTTCTCGGCGAGCTTTATCTCAACGACTTGGACTTTGAGGAGGAAGTTGGTAGCAGATCTGCTTCGTCAGTGCTCTTCGATCCGGAATACCCGCGTACCCTTTACAACCGAATAAACTTCAAAATGGACCACGGCGGCCACGGCGGTTCGCCCTCAGGGCCAGCATGCAAGATCTCCGTCAGTTCCTCCCCTCTCTCATGCCCCCAAACCACCACCCATCCAACACCAACCCCCACAAAATAAATGACCTTTTCGCATAACAGTGAGGTGAAGTGCACGAGTACTGACAGCCAGGCGTACAGATGCTCTGGAACTGGTACACCCTCGACGCCTGTTTCCTCGCGCGTTCCTTCCACATCACCTCCCACGCCGCCTTCGCCGGCACCTGTGTCGGCGTCGTGCTCCTCGTCATCGCTCTCGAAGCACTCCGTCGGCTCGGGCGCGAATACGACGAGCGCATCCAGCGGGGGTTTGGGGAGCGCGCTAGGGCTTTGGCTGAGCTTGCCGATGGCGACGACGAACAGGGTGGGTTTAGGGATGAGGTGGGTGGTGATGGGGACGGGTCATCGTCGTCGAGTCGGACTCGGGCGATTGCGAGGGGTGAGCCGCGGACGGTGACATTCCGCGCGACGCCGGTGCAGCAGTTGGTGCGGGCTGTGATTCACACGGCGACGTTTGGCGTGGCGTATGTGGTGATGTTGTTGGCGATGTATTACAATGGGTATATTATTATTAGTATTTTGGTCGGGGCGTTGCTGGGGAAGTTTTTGTGTGACTGGTTGACGGTTGCGGTGGTTGTTGGGGGGGACGGCGAGGGGAAGGTGAAGGGGAGTGGGAATGGGGCTTTGGAGGAGCCTACTGTTTGTTGTGGGTGATTTGGGCATGATCTGGAGATTGGAAGGGGGTAGGGGGCGGGATGGGTTGAAGTATTTACAGATTATTTACAGGTTTATTATTTATGGTTTGATAGCGTCAACTAGTTGTGAGCACCCCTCGCAATCTCATCGGCGAACGCTACACTTGTCTGATATACCCTCTTCTCCTTAGCCTGCCGCTGCACACGGTTCCATTCCAACACCTCCATGGCCATACCCTCCAGCGTGGTCATCACGCCCCTGAACCCCAGTCCACCCTCACCAACCGGCCGCTCAGCCGCCTCATTCGACGCGACAAGATGCGTGCAGATACTGAAAATCCCCGGCTGGATATGCTTAATATCACCCGTAATCTCCGGCAGCACCTTTCCCAACAACGGATACCGAGCGCGGGCCACGATGTACCACTCGATAGGGTACGACAACAGCAGCATGAGCACGGGCGGTAACGAGGTCGTGCGGAAGGGGGTGATGGACAAGGTGGAGATGAGGTGGTGCATGTCGGCGAAGCGGATGGGCGGGTTGGGGTCGGTGATGATGAAGGGACGGCCGGCTTGGGGGGAGTGAGCGGAGGAGGGGCTGGTGGCGAGGATGGCTTCGAAGTCGAGGTGGGCCAGGGCGACGTTGGTGCTGTGGGCGAAGCTGTTGACGATGTGGGAGGACCACCTGTAATATCATAAAGATAAATAAGTGAATAAATGATAGTAAAATGTGGCGAACAAGTAAAGTAAACAAAAATCAGTTCAAACCAAAAGAAAAAGCGGGATAAAAACATACGTAGGCAAAACATCCCTCCCCAACGACCCTCCAACCGTATTATCCGTCGGATCCCCATACACCCCATTCGCCGGCCTCACACACCCCGTCCTCAACCCCTCACAATTCGCCTCGCAAACCATCCTCTCCGCCCGCGCCTTCGACACCGGATAACCCGCATAAAACTCCTCAAACCTCCTCACCGGCGCGTCAAAGTCGCGGGTATCCAGCACCTGCCAATACCCCTTCGGATACTTTCCCCGTCCACCAAACAACAACGACGATATCACCCCCCAAAGGCTGATCCACACCCGAACCGGCCAAATCCCAATACTACCCGACGTCGTCGACACCAATACATCCGCCCCCACCTCCCTCGCAGCCTCCAACACATTCCTCGTCCCCTGCACATTGACCCTCTCACATACCCGCCAGGCGGCAGTCCACCGAGACCGGTCCGAGGGAACAATCACGGCAGCGGTGTGAAAGACGGTTAGGGGGAGATGGGAGACAGAGGAGGGCCAGGGGTGGGTGAACGCTGAGAGGGTGGATTGGTGGGAGGAGATGTCGGTTTTGAGGAAGGGGATATCGTTTTCGGGGGTTGAGGGAGAGGGGGAGGAGGGTTTGGGGGAAGGGGGGCGGAGGTCGAGGATGCGGAGGGCGGAGGGGGGGTGGCCGCGGGCGAGGAGGTGGGTTGTTATTGCGCTGCCGACGAGGCCTAGATAGTTATCAGTGAGTGGGTAATGATAATTAGTTGGGACGGATGGTGTGAGTGAGTGAGGTGAGATTAGTTACCGGATCCGCCGGTGATGATGTATCGGCGTTCGAGTTTCGGCGGGATACGGCTGGCATAGGAAGCGGGGTCAATGGGGTTGGTTTCGAGATGGGCGTAGGTTTCTTGGAGGAGCTTGTCGGTCCATGGTGGTGAGGTTATTTTGGCGATCTCATCGGGGGTTGATAGGAGGAGCTGGTTTAGGCGGAAGAGGTATAATATTACGAGGGCAGTGAGGAGTATTACGGCTGTCGAAGGGCCGGAAAATGAGAAGCAGTCAATCATTGTCGTTTCGATAGAAGAGATTCATCATTAGATTGGAATTGTGAGTGAGTTGGGATGCATGAGATGAGACGATCTCTGAAGAGATGAGTTCAGGCCGTGTCCTTTGTGGGGGCCAGGTCCTTCGACCCGGGACCCACCCCGGGCCGCGCCTTCCGGATGGCTCCCGATTCTCGGCATCTTGCATCTGTGTATGAAGTCTCCGTATGCTCTGCACTTTCCTCACGGAGTTTTCTCGGGAAATTCTGGAAAGGTCTGACAGAAGCTCCCTATCGCATTTGTACCCAATCCACCCGCAAAGAGAAGCAAACGTCTCCCGTTCTTACTCCCAATCCGACACAGGCTATTATTGGATCTACACAGTAGCTGGGATCCAGCCCAGCCCGTCTCCATTGTCCATTTCCGGGCAATCAACTGTAACGCTGTACTTCTCCGCCCTCTACACGACAGCTTGACAGCTTCAATCCGCCGAAACCCAGCCATTCCTGGGTTGGCCCGAGGCTCAGTGTAAACAACATGGTTGACTCACAGGGCGTCCTTGAGGACCTTCCCGAAGCGGTAATCCGCCGCAACCGAGCTCCAGTCTGTATTTCCGCTCAAGCAACAAAGACTCGAGATGGCCGTTATCAATTGCCCAACATCCCAGAAGTTTTCGAATATGTTCAAACTAGTGCAACGGAGCAATGTCACATTTTACCGTGCAAGGGCAAAGGTAAACAAGAGATAAGATCGCCATTGCCTTACCCATGTCGAGTATTGACGTGGATGCGGCTGCAAAGCAAAAGGCGAAGGATTTCGTGTCGCTGACACGCAGATAATCTCGTTTGACGCTGACCACCGTGGCCAGTGACCAATGCCGTGACACCCGAGGTGCTTACTCCTACTACAAGAGCACATCTCCAGCCCAGCCATGATCCCAAGAATTGAAATGTTCATCTCTCCCCAGAGACAACCCCCGCCATGGCCAGCACACGCCTCGGGCTCCTTTTTTTGGTCGCCGCCTCGACGGCCCTCGCGCAACTTGCCTCGACCGGCCTGACCGTCACGCTCAACGATGTGTACTACTTCATCTCGCCGTATTCCTCGGCCACGATCCACGTCCCGAAGGCGTCTCTCGACAGAGTTCCCGATGTGTTTGGCTTCAAGCCGGTGACCGTGATCCAGGACCCGGTCTCTCAAGCTGATATTTCCGCACTGCTGACCAACTGGACATCCCTCGACGACGTTTACCGGCCTGCTTTCTCGGAAGCCATCTTCCACGCCAATTCCGACGCACAACACCACGACGATGCGGTCACAGTCTCTCAGATCCTCCCCGGCCTCACATCCACCCTTCTTCCCCTCTCCCACGCCGACGTCCCCTCGGGCCCTTATTTCATCCACCCCTCCGGCGCCCTCCACCGCGTTTACCGGCTGTACGATGACTTTGCCGCCGCCTTCACCGAGCCGCTCCTCCCCACGCCGAACGGCCACTTCCAGCCCCTATCCGCCAAAATCCCCGGTTCCTCCACTCTCTCCATCGGCGTGCCCTCACGCCTGTACTTCACCCCAACTCCCCAGAAACCCCTCGCCGGCGTCCGCATCGGCGTAAAGGACATCTACCGCCTCGCCGGCGTCAAGGGCTCCAACGGCAACCGCGCCTGGTACCACCTCTACCCGGCCAGCAACACCACCGGCACGGCCGTGCAGCGGCTCATCGACGCGGGGGCGCAGATTGTGGGCCTGCAAAAGACCTCGCAGTTTGCCAACGGCGAGTTGGCGACCGCCGACTGGGTCGATTATCATGCGCCGTTCAACCCGCGCGGCGACGGCTACCAGGACCCGAGTTCCTCGTCGGCGGGGGCTGGCGCGTCGGTGGCTAGTTATGCGTGGCTTGATCTCGCGCTTGGGAGTGACACGGGCGGGAGTATCCGGGGCCCGGCGGGGGCACAGGGGTTGTTTGGGAATCGTCCGTCGCATGGGTTGGTGGAGTTGGATGAGGTGATGCCGCTGGCGCCGGAGCTGGATACACCGGGGTTTTTGGTGAGGGATGTTGAGTTGTGGGATCGGGCGAATTCGGTGTTGTATGGGGAGAAGTATTCGTCGTTGAGCCAAGAGAAGAAGGTCGAGTGGCCCGGGGAAGTGTACACACTGGGGTTTCCCGAGGACGACACCGAGGACCCGGCGGACAAGATGTTTGTGCAGTTTGTGCGGCAGCTCGCGAAGTTTGTGGGTGGGGAGGTGAAGCCGCTCGATCTGGACAAGGAATGGGCGAAGACGAAGCCGAGCGAGGCGGGCAATGTCACGCTGACGCAGTTGCTGAACACGACGTACATCACCATCATCGGCAAGCAGCAGACGAAGCTAGTGCGCGATCCGTTTTACCGCGATTACGAAGGTGTGTCCCCTTTTCCAGACAGAAAAATGGAAGTGAATGGCAATTAACTGACAAAAAACAGCCGCCCACCTCAACCGGCACCCTTTCATCGACCCCTCCCCCCTCCTCCGCTGGTCCTACGCCGACACCCTCCCCGCCTCGGCCCTCCCCACCGCCCTCGCCGCCAAATCCCTCTTCCAATCCTGGTTCAACACCCACATCCTCCCCGCCAACGCCAACACCAACAGCAACAACACCAAAACCACCTGCACCCCTTCCATCCTCCTCTACCCAGCCTCCACCCCCTCCTACTCCCTCCCCCGCAACCTCAACCTCAACCTGCCCCCCGGCGGCGGTCTACCCTTTGGATTCTCCGAATCCCGAATCAGTCCCTTCACCGGCGTGCCGGATTCGGTGTTTCCTTTGGGTGAGGCTGGGACGGGGGCTGTGAGTGCAGTGACGGGGGTGGAGGAGAAGTTGCCGGTTGCGGTGAGTGTGCTTGTGGCGAGGGGGTGTGATGGGGTTTTGGTGAGGTTGGCGAGGGAGGGGGTGGAGGGGGGGTGGGTTGTGAGGCCGGTTGTTGGGGGGAGTGGGGTGAGGGGTGGGGAGGTTTTGATGAGGAGGGGGGTGGCACGGATGGATTGGGATATGTAGGGTTTCTGGGGTCTTTAGGGGTGATTATTAGGGAGGTAATGGCCAGACTATACCGCAAACGATACAGGTTCATTGGTGCAGCATGTGAAACCCCTTTTCTACCGTGGCAAATTATTCCTTGTTTTTGATATTTAATTAGTGGATGTGCTAAATAAAAAGGCAAAAAAGAGATAGAAAAGCAAAAAGCTCACCACAGAGCCCTATCCCCATCCGGGGGGATAGCGGTCTGTGGCTACGAAAATCCCACCAGGGGGCTTTTTCTTCACTGGTCCCGGGAATCGAACCCGGAGCCACTTCGATTTACGACGGAATTGGCGGGGCCAGCGCCCCTCCCGATACCGCTGCACCAAACACCGATTTTTGGCAAATTGGGAGGAGATGGTGACTGTTTCGCTGGGGGATGTAATATATATAGTGTGGGAGGGAAGGAAGGTATTTGGTATCAGGTGCGATCCTAAACAAATTTCCCAATTAGGAAATGACACAACAAGCTCGAGCCAAGACCATTGCGTCATTTCTCTGTGCACAACACGACGAGCTTCAAACAACACAACCAACTTGGGGTTTCTCGGAGAGTGATAACCCATGTCAACAACCTTTCAGAAGGGGTATTCAATCAAGCCTTTCTCCCACCCGAAGGTTGTCGCTACTGGGTTTGACACCCTAACTGCTCAAACTAATTACCCCGCATCAAAACCTATCTTGTCTCAACCTGAGTTGTTCACTCTTGGGTTTCTCTAGATAATCAACACAACTCTCCAAGTCAAAATTGAGCCTTTTCGCATTAAAGCCGACGACACACACCAACATCACGGTTTACAACACAACACTTTTTAACCCGCATTCAAACTCTCGACCATCAAAGAGAGAAGTCCACAACCAGAAGAAACCCAAAATGTGCCACAAAACAACCTGCAATACCTGCCGTAGGTCCTTGAATCTCAGCCTGCCTTTCCAGCCTTATCAACCCCCCCTTACTCCCTGACCCTTACCCAATGCATTTGGAAGAGTAAACTAACAGAGATGTACTTACTTACGCGCCTAGAAAAAACAACCTGGTTCGGCTGTGGTTTCCACGTTCCCAGCGTGATGGACAGCGTTCCGAAAGACGAGTGGTGCACGTGTGAGCCCAAAGTAGAAAAGAGTGGGAGGGAGTACCCGCCTGCTGGATCTGTCTTGGGTGGCTTGGGGAAGTGTATTGTTTCTTAGGCTTAAGTAGCATACGGTCAGGTTGTATAGTACGGGCTGGGACTGTGTGTGTAGTGTGGCTGGGTATGGCTGGGTAGCTTGCTGGATCCCAATCGCTCAATTTCTCGGGAGGAAATAGATTGGATGACAGGATGGTGATATGAGCTGGACATTTGGGATAAGATGGCGGTATTAATGGAGGGAGGGGTACTTATGAGCTGGATATTGGGTTGCATTCAAGTTGTGATATTTCAACTTTAATTACATTCTTCCTGCTGCAAATCAATACCTAGGGAGATACATCTGTCTTGACCACATACAACTGAATCAGAGACAATATGAAGAGTAGGAGTAGATTTAGCCAAGAATCTATGAACAGGCCACCTGTGCCCAATACCCGCTATATCCAAACCTCAGATTGTTTCTTACCTAGAGAGGAATTACCAACAAGCCAGAGTAGAGATCCCACCAGGGTATACCTAACCAACCAACCACCCAAAAACAAACCTCCCTACTATATTCCCTTTCTGTCCCCCTCTCCCACATGCCACTAACCCCGGGATATCAAATAATCAAACACAGCGGCTCAACAAAACACCCATCCCACCCCCCCTCTCCCCCCTTCGCCCAATACCTCTCCAAAACCGCCTTCCCCACGCGAGGCGTCGCCCCGCCCTGATCCCGACTCAACTCATCCAACCGACTACTAATCCACCGCTGCACCTCTCTTCCCGCCCGCGCCGCCTCGACGCCAGCGACAACCAGCGGCCAGGTCATGCGTTTTTTCACCCGCGGGACGTGCACGGCTTCTTCGAGGAGGGCGAAGAGGCGGCGGGCGTGGGAGGCGCGGGCTAGGGAGAGGGTTAGGGTTAGTTCGTCGTCGGTGGTCATGCCTATGGATGATGTGCCGTTGGTGGTGGAATCGGGGGAAGTGTCGGTTGGGAGATCTGGAGAGGAGAGAACGTCCGGGTGGACGTTGAGGTTGATGGAGGATGGCGAGGGAGACAGGCCCGGAGGTGGGGATGGACCGAAGGCGGCTGCGAAGGTGGAGGAGGAGGGGGTTGGGTAGCCTGGGGTGGATGCGTCGGCGGTGTCGAAGTCGTACATGGGTTGTTCGTGGGCGTCGATGTCGTAGCCGTCTACGTAGCTGTCTACCCATTCTTCTACCACTCGCGGAATTGGCGCAGCGGCAGCACTAGAGGTGGGGATTTCGACGTCGACGTCGACGTCGGCTTCGGCTTCGGTCGCACGTCGAGGGACGTACTCCCCGCCGGGAAACGCGCCGGACGATTGGAATCCCAGAATGGCGTACAACGCCACGGCCTCGCGGTACAGACCCCCTAGGAGAACCCACTCGTCGCGGAAGGTCTCGTGGGACTCGCCCCAGGCCTGGGCGTCAAAGGCCTGGACACGGGCGAGGATGCGCTGGGCAGCGCGGGTGGTCTGCGGGGAGGGGGCTCCGGTGCGCAGGTCGCTGATGAGCACGATCTCGGTGAAGAGGGGCGTGGGGCACGCGACGGAGGGGTAGTACATCTCGCTGTAGTAGGCCTGGATCAGGCGGAGGGTCTCGGCGGTGCTGGTGCTGTGGAACTGGTCGTCGCGGGGGCTGGTGCTGTTGGCGAAGATGTTGGCTCTAGATTTATCAATTTATAGTAGTGAGCGAATTTGAGTCATGAGGTGGTTGTAAATGACCGATCACTGGGATAACACAGGGCAGACATACATAAACAAGGCCATCAGGCTGAGCTGCATGTAGGGCACGTCGCGGATGATATCACTAAAACTGCCCCAGGACCGCAGCAGGTTGACATATGCCTCGATATGCGTGCGCCAGCACGGCGTAAACGACTGTTGCAGCTATACCCGTCGTTAGTCTCATTAGCCCCTGGTATCAACACAACCCCAGAGATCAACATACCATAGCAAACAACAGCGCATACACCGCCGTGATAGTCACCGCATGCGTCCGCGTCTTCTCATTCCCAATCAACCGGGTAATCTCGCGCACGGCGATGTCCCGATGCCGGTACAGCCGCGTCCACAGCGGTTTAACCATCTGGCACGTGGTCGGGTCGTCAGCCGTCTGGATGATGCGGTGGCTGATGACGACAGAGACTAGCGTGTGGGTTATGGAAGGGGGCACGCCCTCGAGCAGGACCATGGGGACCAGAAAGCCGCTGGGGCCGAGCAGCGACTGCTCGATCTGCGGGTAGATGTGCAAGTTGTCTGGGCGTTTTAGTCAGCGAATGGAGAGCCAGACAGAAAGTTATCCGGTGAGAGAGGACGGAGGTACAATAGAAAGAACATACAGTACATCATGGCCTCAAAGACATCCACCACCTCAGGCCGCAGATCCACAGGCCGGCCAAACCACCCTTCGTCCTGCACCTGGCCCTCATTCTCCGCTGGCGGGTGCAACAGCAGCGCAACAGCCGCTTCTGCAGGCACAACCACCGACGGCCGCCGTCTCCGGGCCGCCGCAGCCCTGCGCTGCTGCTGCTGCTCTTTCTGTGAGAGTGGGGGCATGTCTTCTGCGGAATCTGTCATACCAGCTCGTCCTGTAGTTCCGTTGTTGCGTGCCTTCGGTCTCTGCGTCACGGTGACTTTTCGATCCACCGCCCCGCGAGACTGCTGAGATTTAGGGTTTGCCCTCCCAGCGGGACTCTTCTTCCGCCGCGTGCGTGACATCACCTGGCCCGGGGCCAGCCACGTCAGGGGCTTCTTGTCGGCATACCCGGGACACACGATCCCCGCGGCCCGGCACTTGCTGCACACGGGCTGGGCGCCGTCACACACCAGTCTCCGGCGTCGGCACTCCCAGCATTGTTGCCGTTCTGAGGGGGTGGCGCCACCGGTGGTACCTGCAGCTGTTCCGGTTGCTCCTGTTGTGGGTTTGGCGTTGATCGAGTCCAGGCTCGTGGGGTCCGACTCTGGCGAGTGAGAGTCGGTCGCGACGGTCGGGACACGCATCGCTGGGTTCGGGACCGTAAACCCGGTTGACGAAATCCGAAAAAAATCAAACAAGAAATTCCGAGGATCCAACGGCTCGGACCGTGGCTGCCGAGCGTTCTGTCGCGGGGTGGAACTTTCAGCCAGAAACTGTTTTTACACCTTAGTGTAGGTACTGGTGTGTGCCACTTGTGTGCAAGAAAGGCAACTTGGGCAACTTGGGCGAAAGCCTGCTGCGTATTTTCCGTTTTCGTCTGGTCTCTGCGCGGGTCTGCAACACGCCGACTGTCCTTATACGTTCCTCGCGGCGCCCGTCCGATCATGGATTCATAAAGATGGATGGGTGTGCCCCTGCGGCCGTATTAAGGATAGGTCATTTGCGGTCGCGGTCTGGACCAGATTGTGCCTTGTGGATGATGGTGTTGCAGCGGTAGTTGCTGACCCCCTACCACTACCCCCCCCGGCTCGCTCCGTCAAAGGCCCCGCAAACCCGTCGAATCAGCCCTGCCACAGTCGGCTGCCAAAAGACTTCAACCCCAATGGCCCAAAGGGAGATTCCATGGTGGATCTCAAAGTCTTGGCCATCATTTTCGCCCGATTGGGAAGGAACGGTGCACACCTGTGTCCGTGCACCCAGGCCCTGATTCGTGCTGACTCCAGCGGAAGGATTGCGCTGTGCAGCTCTATTTTGTGGGGCATTCTCGGCCGTTGCGCCTATCATGGACATTCTCCAAGCGATCGCCCAATGAGTTTGAACTCCCAAAGCCTGTTCTGTGGGAAGTGTGGCTTCACTGCCACGCAGGCGATGTTCTGCCGTTCGTTCTCAAGCCAACCCTGAGCCAACCCAGAAAGTTTTAACGTTGAAATTTATGATGAAGGCGCGGAGCCGTGCAGCGTGGCTGTTCCTGACACCAGGGGTCATCAACCCATCTTTTGCCGAATCGGGACAAAACCAACCAAGTGCGTCGGGGGTATGAGATCATCGCAGCATTCGTAGGATCGTGATAAAATCCAGCTGGAGTCCAAGTTGTGTTTCAAGCGGGAGTCGACGTGCTTCGAGATTCCGGGTCTTTATCAGCAACCGCATCCCACTGCTCCTTGGCGCTTGGCCTTTTGTGTTTGTCCCCAAACGCCGATAACTCAGCTTCGATAATCGGCAGATAATCGCTTACCAAGAGCATCGCAACCCAACGGCGGCAAACATGGAGAACGGCGAGCCTGTCGAAGGGAGCATCTGGTTCTACGCCCCGACCAAGGGCGCGCCGATTCCCTTTGCCGTGATCTTTGGGCTATCCACCGCCCTCCACCTCTGGCAGTGCGCGTAGGTCAACCCTCTTACCCTCCCTGATAACCACCACCGCCAATACCGATGAACTAACCCATTCAGCCGCTACAAATCCTGGAAAGTCACCGCCTACCTCCCCTTCTGCGCCGCCATCTTCACCGCCGGCTTCGCCTGCCGCGAAGTCGGCGCCTTCGACTACACCAACATCAACATCTACATCGCCTCCACCCTCCTCGTCTACATGTCCCCGCCCATCCTCGAACTCGCCAATTACCACATCCTCGGCCGCACCCTCTACTACGTCCCCTACTTCTCCCCCATCCACCCCGGCCGCGTCCTCACCACCCTCGGCACGCTCTCCGCTATCGTCGAGGTCCTTAACGGGTTGGGCGTGGCGTATTTCGCTGTCAGCCGCACGCCGGACGCGAAGTACTATACCGTTGGGACGAATCTGCTGAGGGCGTCGCTGGCGCTGCAGTTGGCGGTTATCACCCTGTTTTATACCCTCGCCGGCGTCTTCCACTACCGGTGCGTGCGCGCTGGCGTGGCCCACCCGCGCGTAAAGGGGGTTCTGTACTCGCTGTACGTGAGCATGCTGCTCATCCTAGCGCGAACCATCTACCGTGCAGTCGAGCACTTCGCCGCGCCAGCCTCTAGCGCAACCACGGTCAACATCCACGACCTCAGCCCCATCCTGCGGTACGAGTGGTTCTTCTGGGTGTTTGAAGCCAGTCCCATGCTGGTGAATGTACTGTTGTGGAATGCGCGCCATCCGCTGCGGACTGGGGGTGGGCTGCCGTCGAATCATAAGAAGTATTTGGCGCAGGATGGGACTACGGAGTTGGATGGGCCGGGGTGGGCGGATAAGAGGAATTTGGTGATGACGGTTATTGATCCGTTTGGGTTGGTGGCGGTTTGTGAGAGGGATCGGAAGGGCGAGCCGTTTTGGGAGGAGAATGGGTTTCATCATTTGTTGGGGGGGAAGAGTGGTACCGGGCAGAATGTGTAAGGCGAGGTGGGGGTAGATTTCTTTGTTTTTGTGATTCAGTGATACCATTTGATTTATAGACGTGTCCCTTTTCAATACCCTACAATTAGAGAGCATTTTGAGAATATCCTCAGTCGCGTCGCGTCCATAATTAATTAAATGGCCATGTCTGAGCGAGTGAAGCCGCAGATATGGGTAACCAAAAATTACCCCAGGATCTTGTTGAATAATTAATTATTTCAAACACTCACGCCAACCGACACCACTTGGCATCAAGCGTCCACATCCAAGCCGCGTCATCGCAACACCGGAACGCCAAATCCCGTTTTCGGCCCGTCAAGCGCTCAGTGCTCTTGGAAAGAAGCCGCAAAGGACGGCGTTTAAACCCCCAAAAATAAGGCGAACCGCCTGGGTCCCCCCTCCTCAGCTTCGAACCCCCATTCCACACCCACAATTGGCCCTCGAAGTCTCGAACCATCGCAGATCCAGCCGATCCAAACGATCCCCTGCCAAGCTTGCATCCCCATCACTACCCATCCAGGCCATCCACCGCCATCCCGCCAGTAGATCCGACTTCCCAGGTCGCAGCAGCCGACTTCCTGGTAAACCCTGTGACCCTCCAAGACCCTCAACAACAAGTGGACGACGCAGTGCAGTGCACTGCACACCCCGATTTAACATGAAACGCTCCCGTCCAATGCCTTCTGTGGGGCCGCTGTTCGGCCCGCCGAATTTGGAAGCTGACTGCTATGGGAGGGACAGTCTGGGTATGGAACCGATGATCCACTAACACGATTCGCTTGGAGAGTCTGTGTGCGCGCATTAGTGCATTAGTGCGACATGCAGTTTTGGGCGGTCCCCCACAAAATTGCCCAGTTCCCCCACAAAATGGGATGTTTGCCCCTCGGGACTCGTTTCAGATGGACCCTGGTTTCTCCACGGCCCCTTCGAGTCCCCTAATCGGATGAACGTGTCCTTGGTAATGGGAAGGGCCTGGGGCTTTTGATTTGATGATTGGGGAAGGTTAGTGGGGGAATGGATGGATGGGTTGATTGATGGTAACTGGGTTATGGTGGTGTGTTTCAGAGTGGAAACATGATTTGAATTGAATTGTTGTTCTTGCTTTTAAGGTTGAGCACCCCTCTCTTTCGTCCATCTCCGCTGTTCTTTTGAGATGGGTTCAAGGGGTTTGTTCGACTTGTTGATACCCTACCACACCTGTACAGCCATTTAAGGCTTCGTTCTTTTCGTTTCCTTTCGACTTATCCTCCCGGGTCGGAGCGATCCCTTCCTTCACTGGGCAGGCCCACGTTCTTTTCAGACCTGATCGACCTTGTACATATCGATTTGATTTCTATGACGACGTACCTAGGACATCCACCATCATGAGGTCCTCGGTCCAATTTCTCCTCTTCTTCCTGCTCAGCCTGGTATCCGGCTTGGCCTTGCATCGACGACAGGCCCCGCCACAGTTTTCGATGGTTGATTTCACAGGGAAAGCGGTGCGTACATATGGACCGGCCACAGCCCTTTATCTTCGGGTCGCCTCGGCGAGCGGTAAACCTATGGATAGTAGCTGACTTGGACAGGCCTGCCACTCAATCTTGACGGCATGTCGGGTGGACGGGGACTGCTGCTCGGAGCTGAAGTGTGATGTGTTTGATGGCGAGGGGTTGTGTGTGCCTGCAGGATGAAGGGGTTCGGGATGGAGATTTGGGATGAGATTCGGGAAGGATATGAGAGAATTGGGACGAGAAGAATATAGGGGGCAGGTATGGCGTTTTGGGTTATGATTGGGGACCGGCTCATTCTTGCTGGATAGGAGTTTGGGTAGTTAGTTGTCCGGGACAACACGTGTATTATCAAATACCTACAAGCTTTGAACAACCTACACCGCTGCCAATACTGAGTGTTCCAATGACTTTCTGTGTGGCTGCCTGGGGTGTATGTCTGTGCTTGAACAAAGCTGTTGTTGGTAACCGCGGTTGTTGTTGAGTCAGATATTGCTTTGTGAGTTCAACTACTTGTGTTGACCTCGCTATTGTCAAGAATACCGTGGCAACCGGGCAGCACGCGCCAGTCTTTCCAACCAGATCAGATAATAACAACCCAGCTCCAAAAACATGAGAAGAAACGACCTGTTCAGCACCTGTTCAATATTTCACAATGTCATCCCTTGTGACTATTTAAACACCGGTTCGCCACCACCCTCCCGTTCACCTCCCTCTCATCTTACCTCTGCAAATCCTGGTCATCACCCAGGAGTGCATCGCACCTCATCCACCCTCCATCCCCTCCCAGTTCATCCTTAACGGGCTCATCATGGCGTCTTCCATCTCGCCCTCGTCCTCAGATGATGAGTGGTATGCTTATCGCTTTGATTTTCAAGACCGCCAGTTTCTTTTTGTCCGAAACCTCGGCGCGGGCATCGAGTCGGTTGCCCAACTCGTCATCGATGTCGATACGGGCGAGCGACTCGTCCGCAAGGTAGCTGCCAAGCGATGCGTCGGTCTACTCGATAAGACAAACCAGAACGCCGACTCAAAGGCCGATGAGTCGAAGACAACCCAGACCACAAAAGCCAACAACCTCTCGGCCCTCGGCCTCACATCCCTCGGACTCAAGCCCAACGAGTTCCAGGTCCTCGACGCAATCCAGCGCAACTTCACCGCGCCCAAGCCCGGCCTCCTATGCAACATCGTCGAGTGCTACGGCCATGAGTACCTGCCGTCGAACCACACGACACCCGACGGGCAAACCAAGACTTACTCAGTGTCATACTGGAAGCTCTACAACGGCGAGTCCATCAACTCTCGATGGCTCGACGTGGATTGGCCACCCATAGATGACGATGTAAACCCTACGACAGAGCGGGACGAAACCATCACGGCCCCCCCTATCACAATCATCGCCCGCATGCTCCGGCAGGTGTTATGCACCCTGCATTACCTGCACACTGCTGGTCCACGTCCGATGCTCCATCATGATACCCATTTTGGGAATGTTTGGATTCATTGGCCTGAGGCTGTTTCCGGCAAGAATAACAAGGCTGAGGCCGATCATGACAAGACCAAGCTCGACAACGACAAGTCTGAGAATAATGACGACAAGTTTGAGCTTGATGAGGACAATTCTGAGACCGATCACAACACCGATAAGAAGACCAACAAAAAGGAATACGCTCTCCCTCAGTTCTACCTTGGCGACTTCGGCGTAGCTAGGTACCTCGCCGAGCCGCACCAAACACGCATCGAGCGCCCCCTGCACTTCTACGCCGACTCCCGCGAGCCGCTCCGCGATCTCTCCATCATCCGCGGCAACCTCTACGGCTTGTCCAGGGTTCTCTTCCTTCGATCCTACCACAGCGACGGGCTCGCCCACGCAGTCGAGGTCCGCCAGTTCATCAACCACATTATCAACGCCACGTCGGAGGTGATATCGCGCTGGGTTGACGCCAATGTGCACTTGCCCCTTCGCGGGCAGCCAGAAGAAGCGGAGCAGAACAAACGCCAGAAGACGGCAGAGTTCCCGCGCGACGAGAGTCAGTTTAAGAAAGATACTCCGCCGCCTGGGATGGAAGGCTTGATTGAACTCGTGGCGTCGTACGAGAACGAGTATGGCAAGGGCGGACCCAAGGATGAGACAAAAGGCAAGGGGTACAAGAAGTTTATGAAGGCCGAGAGGGCCAAGGCTATGGAGGTCACTAAAGAACGCGCGTTCCGTGTGAAGTCTAGCGCCCTGATCGGACTCCAACCCGGAGAGACGGTAATCGAAAACAAAACCGGTCCTGAGCTACGTCCGCTTCGCCGACAGGACCTAACGCTACCCATCCACGGCCCTTGGCAACTTGTCACCCTCGACGGACGCCCTGTCGAAGGACCCGGGGCTATCTGGCACCACCGCCCGGCCATGTCCGAGCTGCACGACGGACACTACCGTCGCAAACGAGAAGAGCGTGAGAGGGACCCGGACGAAACCGACTGGTCGGTGTCCGACCCGCTGGATGACTACGACAACGAGAAGCTCGCGGACGCGTGTGTTGCCGGTCCGCTGCCGCATGGAGTCAATGCACCGCCCACGCCGCCGCGGGTGCCGCGTGTTCGTGTTAGTCTTGCTCCTTCTGCTTCTCTTGATGAGAGCAAGAACAGTATTATTGCTGACGAGACGGCGAAAACGGACAGTGCCGCCGCGGCCGGGATGCTGGAGGTCAAGATCTGGAAGCCGGCCGCGATCACCACGCCTGGTAAGATCTCCTGGGCCGATATAGAGGACTCGGATGAGGAGGATGTGCCAGTGATGCCGATGCGGACTGTTGCTGAGACTCCTGGGCAGGTTCCGGAAAATACCCCCGAGTCGGAGATCACATCGAATCCTAACCCTCGGGTCAGCCCGCCCAAGGGTGAACAAACACCGACACACGACTCGGAAAACAAAGACCACCAAACCGACTCCTCATCGTCCAACCAAGGATCCTCCTCCCCAGACAACAAGTCGTCCACATCCGAGTCATCATCGCCCTCCGCCCACTCGGGCTCCCCCAAACTTCCGCGGTTTGTGCCGCCCCCTGGATTTGCGATCCGCGTCAGGGGTAATAATAACACCAAAAAGCTTGGACGCAATACCACAGACGAGGAAGATATAATTGCTGAGGCACAGGGAGTGCGCAGACCTGGACGGCATTGGGGCTGTCCTGATATTGTGAAGAAGGAATCTTCGGATTCGGGGGTATGAGAGGGATGGTTAACTATGGAGGACTAACTATGATGGATTAAGGTATGACGGGTTTTTACGGAAGAATATGGGATAGATCATGGATGGCTGGTTTGCCAGCGTGGGATTATGACGGGATAGGTGGATTACGGGCCCCCAGCTTGATGGGATGGATGATATGGACTTTTTCTGCTTTGAGGCGTTCGGGTACTGATTATTATTAGGCGTTTGGGGACTTTTAGACTCTAATTAGACTTTACAGCGGGAGTGCTTGTAGATCTGTCTTAATTGATACCCCTTTTGCCATGCCGTTTCCGTTTGCAAGTGGCACTAACATCTGTTGGATGTTTGTTGAAATGACTCACTGTATTAGAATTTAGTAGAACAATGCGGTGCACGCGAATTTCCCAATTTGGATGCTGTACGACACAACACGGTGAGTAATTACCTAGGTACCTACGCAAACGGAAGAGCCTTGCCAGCAGCCCGAGAATCTACCGCCATCGATTGACGTCGGGCACCGTCAGGCCGTAGCTCCATGTATCGCAGTAAACACAATCTTGTTCCCTCGTCAGACTTTTTCGCAACCATCCAGCAACGCACAACCTAGCCAAGTCTCTGCTCTCCAAACTATGTCGCAGCCACTGCGCGAGGTCAGCGGGATGACGGGGACTCCCGCCGAAGCAGCAACGCCGTCTCGCCCGCGGCGCACCCAATCCGACGAAGTTCTGGAAAGATCTACTCGTATCCTCTTGGATGAAACGGTTACCGTCGACTCATGCAAAGCTGTCATCCAAGAACTGGTCAGAGTTGTCACTGTAATGGAGGAACAGCGGTCGCACATCGAAAAGAAACTTATCGACATCGTCAAAGACATCTCGACACCGGAGGTGTCTACCACGGGTACAGCTGTACCAGCCGCCGGGGTAGCCAGGCCAACCGCCCCCGATTCCCCGTACCAGAGACCAACCTTATCTCCTAAAACAAGCATGATATATGAGATTGAAGATGAAAGAGAGGATCAGCAGACGGTTTTGGATCAAATCGAGGACTGCTCAGAAAAGAACATGGCCTGGTAGGCTGGTTCCTCCTCCTCCCTCTTCTTACTCACGCTGACTTTGAATAGCCCTAGATGCCTCCGAATCATTACCCAAGCTTGTTTCCGCCGGCAGCACTTTAATTGGTGCATCGTCCATAAGAAAGTAACGGGTTGGACGGGGGTCTGTCTGGAGAGTCCTCCAGATGGTGCGTCAAGGATGCAATGCCACGAGATACAGACCAGTGAGAATCCTTATCCCCTGCTAACACTGATGTCAATTGTTAACCCACAAACAGACATGACGGAGAGTGAGGCATATTGGGCCGAGGTGGAAGAAAATGCGTTGAGCGGTGGACCAGGGTTCCGAGACCCCGGTGAACACTGACGAGTGACGAAGGTGGGCGTAAGGGAGTTTGTACAGCCGATGAAAGTTGGATAGGACAGAGACATAAGTAGATACCTTTCGTTCACGACAACTGACCACAGAGATAGAGTTGGTAGGAATGGGAAACGAGGGAACTATTGCTATAATTACAATATTCCTGGCTGGGACAATAACTCTTTGCCTAGCTCCCATGGTCGCTGATCCACACAATAGATCCAGGGACGGGGCAAATCCGGATGGGGAGTTTCGCTTCATATCCAGAAGGGCATCACTCACCTATTTCACCTCTTAGGGGGCCGACAGAGAGCTATAAGATTCTCCATAGACGCTCGACCCTCCGAACTGCCTAGCGATAATACTCTTAGGAACAGTGTACAGGCAAAGCAAGAAGTCCAAAACACCCTACCACGCCGTATGCCCCCCATCAATAACCAAATTCCCCCCCGTCATAAAACTACTCGCCCGACTCATCAAAAACAACACAGCCCCCTTAAACTCCCCTGTCTCCGCCAACCGTCCCATCATATTCTCCCCCTCCAACATCTCCCTCAACCCAGGCACCTCCTCAAAATTCTTCCTCACCATCGGCGTCAACACATGCCCCGGACTCAAACAATTCACCCTCACCCCTCCACCTTCCACCTCCCCACCTTTTCCCCCCTTTCCCTTTCCCTTCCCCTTCCTCCTCACCGGACTCCACTCCATAGCCAAATTCCTCGCCAACTGTATCACCGCCGCCTTACTCGAATTATACACCGGACACACCAACCCCTTATTCGCCACCAACCCGGACATGCTGGCCACCAACACTATACTCCCGCCCTCACTCGTCCCGTGCTCAAACATCGCCCGTGCCGCCGCCTGCGCTGTCATGAACACTCCCGTGTAGTTGACTTCTAGCATGCGCGCCACGTCGGAGGCGGTGTAGTCCAACGCCTTTGTGACCTGTTGGACCCCCGCCGCGGCGACGACGCCATCGAGACGGGAGTGGGCCGAGGCGATGGAGGAGATGGTGGTGTCGAGCGTGGCGGTGTCGGAGACGTCTTGTTGGCGGTAGTGGAGGGAGCCGTGGGAACCGGGGGGGATGCGGGAGAGGGCGGTGGTCCATTCGGAGTTGGGGTGCGGGGAGCGGTCGAGGGCGTAGACTAGTGTGTCAGTCAGTACTCTATCATGCTTGTCAGGAAGCAAAAGAGGGTGAAGAAAGATGAAGAGGGAGAATAATTACCCTTTCCCCCAGCTTCGACCAGAGCTTCAGCCATGGCTAACCCTAACCCCTGAGCACCCCCCGTGACGATAAAGACCTTGCCGGCGAGGTCAAAATCCGCAAATCGCTTGGCACCAATGTTTTCCCCCGGCGCTGGTTTACCTTCCGCGTTCGGGTGTGCCCGTGGTTCTGGGCTGGTCGGGCTCTGTGGCCATGTTTGGTCGGGGGGTGTTGTATGTAGGTGGTGGTGTCGTGGACGGCGGGTTACAAGGAGAGGTTTATGAACGGTGGTGATGGTTGTCCGTGCTAGGGGAAGAAGGAAACGTGCGGCTGGGCGTAAGGTGTTCATGTTGGAGGGTCGAATGTAAAGGAATATAGCAAGGTGTGATTGGCGAAAGGCATATCGGTGTGGTTGCGTTGGATTAACGACTTCGATGAATGTAACTTCCTGCGGACGCCGCCTTTTAATATCCTCTCGAAATCTTGGTTCATGTTCAACCTGTCACAGATTGGTAGGTATCAATCAATTTCCCCTCAAACTTGGCTGTGTTCAGGTCGTGAACCGTTTGTTCCGCAGATAACCACGAGAGGCCGATCGCAACGTCATCCAAGACCACTGACCAATGATGACAACAACGAGTTGACACGGGACATGGTTGGAATTGGATTGGAGTTAAACATCCCGCGCCGGCCGGCGATGTGGGGCCGTCCTCGGTGTAACTCACAAACCAAACCTAAGAAGCAGCCACGAAGCTCCAAAAAGGGAAACCGAAAACAGCACCGGCCCAAATGTAACCTTCTCGACTATGAAAAATAACTTATGGAAACCCTACGTGTACATGTGTAGTATCCATCTGTAAACCGCCTGTCAAGATTCAACGACCTGGGGATGGCACTCCCACCCGGAGATCCACCGCCGATCCCGAACTGGACACGGCTCGGCGCAGCCGGTCATGACGTCGATGGAACAAACGAGCCCGGGAGCCTAAACAAGAACCTTGCTTTGGCCGGGAATCGTCACCTGAATTGTACGGATTGGCATAGGATTTACATATACTTCAACAAATTTGCGTGCAATTGGATGGGATTTACGCGTCAGCTATTGAAGGCGTCATCGCTTGTCCAAGGAACTCAACTAAAAAATCTCAACACCAAGTCTTCATCGTGAGGGGGGCTTGCGAGTGGAGGAAACGCTTAAAAGATTTCGATAGTCAAGTGAATTTGATTATTTCGTATTTATCCCAGCGTTCTATTTATGATCTCATTTTCACACTTCATATTACCAGGATTACACTTACACACAGCCTAGTATTTCCCAATTGGGCACATCGCGGAGCACAATCCCCGTCAAAAGGGGTAATCAGTGGGAGTACGCATATGAGCATGATGAAGACGACTTACACACCGTGGTTTTACACGAATACAATACCCCAACCATGATACACTAATTATAAGACGCACTTTGATACCCACGAAATGTAAACCGCTGTCCACAATACAACTCACCAATAACAAAACTCAATGAGTGAGAAATAAAGAACCGAGAAATCACAAAATTGTGAGAAAAGTAAAAGCTGAGAGGTATCATTTCAATTTGGAATTATTTTCGTTGATCGAACATCTTCCAGGACCGACTCCGACACCATAACGCCAGCACTTATAATAGTAAGTTGAATGTGAAGCATCAAAAGTTTATTACACCCAAAGCTACATTGCACTTATAGGTATTCATTGCACCTTTTCCAGGCCGCATTCGATCCACCAAAAGAGCCCTTATAATTACCATCACATGTGGACGAACCGTAGTTTGGCCAGCAGGCTTCACTCTGCGTTTCCGTTCAGCGTATCTTCATCTTCAGTTTCCTCCATTCTCTCCTGACTCGGTCTAAACGCTTTGACGGGCTCTTCTCCTCCATCGGAAGTTGCACTTATATGGCCGGCAGCTCAGGGATGTAAGAAGTGGCGACTGTGGGTTGCTTCAACGAGGGCAGCAGACCCTCCTCGTTCCACGGCGCAGGCACAGGCGTCACTGCGGTCCACCTTGGAGCGTCACAGCCTTCCATTTCAGAGTGTAGGGTGTTATTCAGAGGAGGCTCTCGAGCAGCAGCCAGCACCGTAGCGATCTCTGTGTGCCCGTAGCGCACGGCAATGTCCCAAGGGGTCTGGCCAAAATGGCCTCTCTGGGCCACCTCGGCACCTGCGGCGACGAGAATGGGCACGATTTTGGCGAGTCCTATGGCCGCCGCGAGGTGGAGCATGGTACGGGAGCTGCATACATGATGCCATACAGGCAAACCTGCGACGCCGCGATGTGTAGAGCCGACTGGGCAAATTCCTTCCTAGTCGCAAGGTAGTCGCGGACGGACAGATGGGGGAATGCAACTCGATCGGCCTCGGGATCTGCCTCGATGAAATTGTTCGCGCAGCGCAGAACTTGGGTTTTGGTGATGCGTGGCTGAATGCCGTCGCGGGAAAGCGCGACAAGGTAGAGGAACTCAGCCCACGCAAACGGTCGAAAGGCAACGAGGAGGATCTGCATCGCCCGTATACCTAGTTTGGAGCTTTCCGGGCCAGACGTGAGAATCTGGTCGAATGCGATCGAGTACAGGTCGGCGAGAGTGGTGGGGAGTTTGCCCAGCTCGGTTCGGATGTCGCCCTCTACCCGCATCCTTTGGGGATGGCAAAGATTTTGTATCTGTAGAGTAACCCAACGAAACCTTTGATACAGAAAAAAAGAATTTAGTCAGGCGGCCTGTAACCAGCAAGGACTTCGGCAGGCACATACATTCCATCAGCACGCTCGTTCAGGGCGTCCATAATCTCCTGCCGCAGCTTGTCCGAGACTTGGCCAACCAGGAGCTGCTTGTTTTCCACTACACGTTCGAGCTCGGAAGCGATAAAGCGACGGATGTCGAGGCTGTTTTTCTGGGCGCTGATGTATATATTGGGGGTCGACGCCAGGCGACAGACAATGTCTCCATCGCCCCGACTGGTGAGGAATATCTTGGTGACGTTCTCGGATTTTGCCACAATCTCATCCAAGGCCTCAAAGAGCTCATGCCTACTTCCTGGGTCGCACTCGTCCAGAGCGTCCAGGATGATGGTTGCTGGATTCTCCCGTATGAGGTCCAAAATCAGCTCGACGGTGCGGCTCAGCGGCAAAGCATGGCTTTGCGGTGGAAATCGCTCAGGTTGTCCGAAGCATGGGGGGCCATGACAACGACCCTCTGCACTGGGCGGGACGCGGCGGTTATGGCGTCCTTGAGGCTCTGCAAATCATCGACAACGAGCTGAGCTTGTTGGGTCCGCTCAAGGTGTGCGTTCAAAAGGGTCAACTGCGATGTGACGGATATTGAATTACTAGAGATGTCACGAATGTCACCTGCTGCATCCTGTAGGACTTCAGTAGCAACGAGCTGGGCATCTCGATCCACTTCTGTTTGTTTGGCGGTCATGTCGTCTAGCAGTTCGTCTACCCCTGAATCAGAAAAGAAGGCCTTGATGAACCGCCTTGCCGTCTTCTTAGCAAAGTAGTAATACGACTCGCCAAGAAAGGTCAGCACCGAAGCGTAGAGCGCCGTGAGCGAGCCGTGGAGCAGGCGAGTCCCGGCCGTTTCCCTCCTGAGGTACACAGCTTCGAAGACAGAGTATCGTGATATCACCCGGGTGGCTTGTTCCAACCCCTCGATCATAGTGGCAAAAGTCTCGTTGTCTGTTATGACCACCTTTAGCAGCATGCCGACGAGCGCCCAAGGGATGGCGGCCCAGCCAGGCCCCATGTTGGCGATGGAGTCCCCGATGCCCTTGAACGAGTCGACGCATGTGATGATCTTTTCGAAAACATCCCTCAGGATGATGACATCGCCCTTGCGATTCTTAATCTTCCACCTCTTCTCCAGACACTGCTTCTGCTTCTGCGTTGCCTCGAAATGAACGCTGTGCAGGATGGCCCTGCAGTTGTTCTTGTCGGGGCCGATCACGGCCTTCAGGTCATCGCCCAACGATGCAGCGGCCGCTTCCCAAATGTCATCCGACGCACTCACACATCTGCTGGGGTCAGCTGTCACCAGAGCCGTCGTCTGGCCATCAGCGGTGGGCGCACTTACGGGGCGATCGGGGCATCACCGTTCTAGGCCCACGCCATGGCTGCGTGTCTGGCACTGGCAATTTAGGATGCTAGTCCGACGCGAAAATTTTGAAAGTTGGGATCACGACTCAAAAATGGGGAGAAGCCGCGAAGCAGGGTTAAGTCAGCCGCACGAAATATGTGTTCCTCTGGCGTTGGGCCTCAAGGCCGAATGGCATGAGGGCCTGATCTAAATCCAAGCCATCCAAATTAACCCAGTCGGGGCTGTGGCATCCAGAACAGGATTCCGGCAGCCAATCCTAGGCAAATGAGCGCCGTTAGCTGTGACTGGGTGTAACTATTTTACATAAAGTCTCATTTAGAGAGCAAGCCGTCCTCTCATAAGCATTCAAGATGGTCTCGATGTGCCTGCATCAGGAAGTCAACATCTGCTTGCGACATCCGGTAGGATCTTTTTGGGGCAACAGTTGGTTGACACGTTCTAAGTCCATAACTATTATAATCTTGTCTCTGCTGTGGTTGATGAAGTAAAGGTTGTGGCGCTTCACGTCGTCTTGGGACATACCCTGACTGGCAGGAGGCCTGAGCGCCTGGTCGAAGAGCGGCCGAACATCTTGTTCTCTTAGGGCTACATCCTTAGGCTCTGCAACGCACGAACCCCCGATAGCCGATAAAACTAGGGACGAGTCCCTCATGCTGGGAGTTACGCCTTCTGTTTTAACGCTCCTCATAATTCTTCTCTTCCGACAATAATGATCAGAACAGCATGGTTGTTATTACGGCCCGTACGCTGAACAGGTCGTATGGCAGAGTGCCGGGGGGCAATGGGGACCAAGGGACTGATAAAGGCTAGCTCAACTTTCGAAGAGGATGTCAGAAACACGGCAATGTGGATTCGGTGCAAATTGATGGGGTTGCAACTGCTTGATTGAATTGCTTGTGGTTGCTTTGGCAAAATCCAGAGAGTCTTTATACTTGGACTGTATGCCCAGCTGAACTGGCCGTGCCAATCTAGCCCCGCTCAGCTCCGTAAAGCTCCGTTCCGCTTCATTCAGCTCCGGTCAGCCGTCTTACACCAATTACACTCCGAGCGATGGTGTTCCGGCCAGGGGCCTGAACCACTTGCTTTCTTACAAAGGTTAGCGTCACTCTCCAGCTCCGAGAATAGTGTAGAGCTGTGTATAAAGTAGGCATTAAGTGAGTTGTGGATTATTAACATCCCCGGATTCAATTTAACTACCTAGCTGACAGGCGAAGCAAGGCATTAAAAAAGCCCGTTTAACCACATCAGTAAACTCCCTTGATAAGAGTTCTCAATTTTGCATGTTTGTTGTTTATACTATCTAGGTCCCTCACCTAGCAGCCTCACACGTACCAAAGAGTACGGGCTCCTCCGCAGATTGACACGAGGTGCCATGCACAACATGGGCATATTACTCTCGCCTCGACTCGAACGTGGACATGGTGGGGCCTGTTGCCACAAATCCACATCCAACGCGAAAAGGTTACCTAGGTAGGTTTACACTCCATCACCTCAAGGAACTTCAGGAGCACCTTGTGGTGTAGTTGGCTCGCACGTTCGACTGCAACCGGGAGATGACATACCGAAACGTCACTCCTTTAAGAAGCCCTGTTGTCAACCTCAATTCTCTTAGCTGCTGCCAAATGTTTCCAGTTATTCCCAGGGCTGGTTGAAAGCCCCTTCAAAACAGTCTAAACTCGCCGTCATGTACTTTGAGTCCCCCCCGTAGTATACACACCCGTGGGCACAGCGTGATACCCCAACCTACCAACTCTCACAGCCAATTCACTCCCCCATCTCTCCCCTCTAGCCACCCTCTCCACCGCTTTCTCAAAAGTATACTCCGGCCGCCAGCCCAGTTCCCTCACCGCCTTCGAAGAATCATACACCCGATCCACTCTCCTCAAAAAACCCCACCCCTTTTCCTCAAACACCTTTCCCACCGTCGTCAACTCCCCATCACCACTCCCAACCCGAATCCCCTTAAACACCGCCGCAGCATCCCCTCCATTCAACCTCTCCAACACGCCCTCATCCTTTGTAAAGGGCGTCGGCCCGCTCACGACATACTTCCCCCACCTTACCCCCCCAGCCCTCTCCATCGCACAAACACACGCCCCCACCACATCACTAACATCTACCCTCCGATACGCCAACTCCAACACCTTCAAATTCTCGGGATCCCCCACCTCTCCCCTCCGCGCTTCATCGTCATCGTCTTCGGGAAAAAACCGGCTCGTGCGCAGCACCAGCACGGGCAAGCCCGTTTGGACGTGTACCAAGCGGCAGAGGTCTTCGGCGGCTGTTTTGGTGGCGCCGTAGATGTTTTTGGGGCTGGTGGTTGGGGTCGATTCGGTGATCCAGGCTGCGGGTTGGGGGGGAGGGGGGGAGAGGGAGGTGCCGAAGGCGGAGGTGGTGGAGATGAAGATTAGGGAGGTGACGGGGTGGTTTGGCTTCGTCTTGTTTTTGGTCCCTTCTTCTTCACCTTTTAGTCCCGGCCCCGTCTGTTCCGCCGTGTTATTAACAAGACCCGCGGCCTGCTCCAACACCCGCAACGTCCCCTCCACGTTAGTCTGAACAAACTCCCCCATGCTGTGTGATCCAACATGCGGCTTGTGCAGCGTGGCGGTGTGGATGACATGGGCGATGGGACTGTGGGCGGCGAATACGGACGCGAGGAAGGCCGCGTCGGTGATGGACCCGACGTGTGTGGTGGTGGGCCCGGGCTTGATGTCGATGCCGACGGGGTGGTAGCCGAGATCGGGCAGGGCGAACATCAGGGCTGTGCCGAGATGGCCGGCTGAGCCGGTGATGAGGACGGTGGGTGGGGGGTTGGGGTTCATGGTGGTGTGTTGTCGGTTTCGGTGATGGTTATGGACAGTGTTGATGTACATCGAGGTGTGATTGAAAAAGGGTATTAATGGGGTGGTTTGGTTCATGTACAAAATCAGGTTGTGAGTCACGCCAAGCATCGCCATCGGATACGGAAAATCATGTTAGACTTTTAACCCAGCCAGGCCCAACAAGGTTGCAAATTTGGGCCATCGATAATTTCAACACTCCGTGCACTTATTAAATTCTTAATTGGGGCTAATTATCTGTAGTTTGTCCTTATTCTTTTCATACTTGAAAAAACAGAGTAACAGACCTCCGGGCAATCATGAAAAGAACGCCTGACATGAGTCAAGAAAGGTGGTAATTGATACATGAATAATTAAGTATTTAAAGGCGATCTGGGCTCTCTGTAGGGAAGGAAGGAAGCAACCTCAAGACAGGCGAAATTGACCTTAAACCTTAGACTTTTCCACCTTTTCCTCACACCTCTTTCCCCCCAAGTCAAGGCCCATTTGCTCCCTCATGGTCGATCGCACTTTCCTCTTAAACCTTCAAAAGCGTCACGTAACTCCTTCCTCACGACACCTAGCAAACTATCAACCATGCCCAATCGTAGAGTCCGTCGTGGCCGGGCCGCCCAGCAAGTACCCGAGGAGCCTATAGAACGGCCAAATATGACGTTGCTCAAGGAATTCCACGCCGACCTCGCCCGGCGTTACAAACGACACAAAACGGCTATTGAGTGCTTCTGGCGATCATTTGATGCGACCCAACGCGCCACACTTCTGCGAGCGACCAGATCTGACGGCGTTGTGCTGAGGCACCCGACCGACACCAGCCCGGACAACATGTGCGAGATGGTCCCCGAGTGCAATCTCCGCGACATGGCAGAGTCCGGGCCCGACTTTTTCCTCGACCTCCTCAAACACCGCGCAACCACAACTTTATTCCAGCAGTACTTCAACGGACCCGATGGCGGCCCAGGAGACCATGCCGTCATCATAAAGATACTGAGAACTCGGAACCTTCTCCACGGGCTGCGGTACCACACTTGCTTCACCTTGTTCGTAGACGAAAACCGGTATGGCGAGGCCTTCTGAATCACAGCCCCCCCGGCGGATATGCTCCCGGGGCCGTTGACACGTGCAATCGCAGCGGGCATCTGCGTTCCCGAGTCACTCGGAGGATTTATCCTGGGGAGGCAACTAGGCATAACCCAGCTCCTCATCATGCTCATCAGCGGTATCCTGGACCAGGGATCCAAAACCAGGGCCAAAAATGAACCGCCCGCGATTCCCGACAAGGGGGCATCGGCTGCTCTGGCCAAGTTGACCATTACAGATGAAGATCAGTCATCTCCCCCGGAGATTGTTCTCGCAGACTTGATCACCAGCACCCGAGAGCACAAGGAGACATTGGACGAGCTGCTCAACCTCGTCTGCACCGAGCCCGTTGTGCTCGCCCACGCCGTCGACACACGGTTCTTCACCCAGCCCGAGCTGCTCCCCGACGAAAAGGGCGTTTGGCTTCCATTCTTCACCGACCGGTACATCAGCGGCATTATCCTCGAAACCATCCATATTGCCGTTCAGCATGTGGCGATTTGGGACTACCTCTGCCAACTCCTCGAGCTCTTCGACAAGCGAGCAACAAACGATGAACTCTACCACAGTATTCTTCTTCAAGAGCTTGCCAGCCTTTGTGATCTAGAGTTTACCCGCGCGCAGGGCCTGTCCAGGCGCCATCTCCAAGCCGGAAGCGGCAAAAGGTTTTCCAAGCGCCAGCCTGATAGACACGACAAGGCTGGGAACGCCCTCGTGTCCATGAACTGCAACATGAAAAAGCTTGCCAAGACAGATACACAGCTGTTCTACATGATGCGCCTCTGCAGTCCCGAAACAACCCCCAGGAAGCTGTTGACTGGCTTACAAAACTGGTCCAGTTCTACGACTCGGACCCCGAAGCGAGTAACAGGGCGATTAGCAAGGAAGTCGAGGGGCTGGGCGAGCTTATTATCATCACCAGCTTCATCCAGGACCTTCGGTCCGTCGCATCGCTCCCGCCCCTGTCCGCTAAAAGGGGGCGGCTGTTTTTGTCGCGCCTGCAAGACCTCAATATCGAAGTGTCCCAGCTCAAGGGCCAAATTGACCTTCTTGAGTTTGCGGCTCCCATCCGCAACCTCCTCGAGCCAGGGATGTCCGAGGCCGCATTGAAGAAGCTAGATCAGTTTGTCATAGACAAGCTCGGCACCAAAATCGGTTTCCTTTACGAAGACATGGTGCTTGAAAGCCTCGCCGCCCTCGAAAAGCAGTACCAGGTAGCCAAAGCGAAGCTCGACGAACAACGGGCAAAAGCAGCCACACAACACCGGGAACCCCAGATGATGGACTGGGAACCCACCGCTGCACCCCCACCTCAAGAAGAGCGCATCAAACAACGGAAACAAAAGGAAAAGACCCGTCCGGCCCACTCCTCCGTCTACGACATCACCAACCCCCAACCTCCCACCCTCGACAACACCAAGTCCACCTCCCAAACCCCCTCCCCGGAACCTATCCCCGTCTCGTCCTCCACCGCCGCCGTCTTCTCCACCTTCTTCGACAGATCCCAATCCCGCGGTTCCGTCGAATGGTCCGCCTTCGTGGCCGCCATGGCCGATCTAGGGTTTTCCGTCACCCCCAGGTTCGGATCTGTCTACACTTTTACTCCTCCGGCTCTTTCCAAGCAGGCCTCAAAGCTAGGCTCAGACGTGAAACGCCCGCTTACCCTCCACCGACCACATCAATCACGGATTGAAGGGTATTCACTGTTGATCTTTTCGCGGAGACTGAAGAGGGTGTATGGATGGGGGGAGGGGACGTTTGTGGTGGCTTAAGGGTATGAGTCTAGGACTCTAGGTTTCGGCCATGTCTGGCTGTCTGTGGTTGGCTGGTCGGGTTAGCCATCCAACTTCGCGCGTGAGGCTTTTCTTTCCCGGCGCCAGCAGAGCAACACGGTAGTGTGATGGTATTTCGGGTCGGACAATTCTTTTAAAATCAGCGATGACACCGGTGGCAGTAATTATGCACGCACTTATGTGCGGTGGTATGGGCTTGCGTAGGGCGCGCACCTGTGTGGGCACGTTTGTGAGCAAGGGGCTCTAGTTGAGATTTTGTTCTGGTGTAGGTTCTTCGGGTTGGCAACGATATGCCAGTCGTCAAGGATGATTTTGTGGTTTTGCTAGGAAGGTGTGTGTGGCGCATTTCGAGGATGGAAAATGTCACATAGTACGAAATTGACTGTGTAGTTCAGTGTAATAGATCAAAAATCACAGGGGAAAATAACAGTCCGGGCGAGGTGCGAGTAATTACTTTTCCTTATGCGAACTTCCAGCAACTCATATCACACACCAAACACTCCACCACCAATATCCCAACCACCAGGGAGACAGAAAGAGAGAGACAGATATGTTTATTTTCTTATTCAATACTTGTTATGAATCCTAGGCCATAATTCGCAAGCGGACATCACAGCCAACTTGTGAACCCCCATCAAGAGGAAGAGGAAGAGAGCGAGACAGAAAGGGAGAAGAAAAAGAGTCCCGACGGACCAAAGACTCCCCGCTTGCGTGTTTCAACATTCATATTCATCCAGTTATCCATCCCCAACGCAGGGCCATACAACTAGTTACGCAACAACTCCCCATCTGCACTGAATTGAAGAATCGACATGAGGTACACCACATACAACATGTGCTGCTTGCTGAGTCTCGGCTGATTAGACAGCACCGAAGATCCTGATAAACGGTTAGCATCACTCACGCAAACAAGATAGTTCAGCCCGGCTCTTGATTGAGAGAGTACGTACGATTCCATGATAATACCCGTAATCTGGTACGGGCACGCATTCGACGCCGGCCGACGGTCCTCAAAGTACCCATACCCCTTAGCAGCACACTCGCGCGGGATACGGATAGACGCGCCACGGTTAGCCACACCGTACGAGAACTGATCGATGGAGCCCGTCTCGTGGCGGCCGGTGAGCCGCTTCTCGTTGTCGGCGCCGTACACGGCGATGTGTTCGAGATGGCGCTTGCCGAGCTTCTCGATGGCCTCCTCGATGTGCTTCATGCCGCCCTCGACGCGCATCTCTTTGGTGGAGAAGTTGGAGTGCAGACCCGCGCCGTTCCAGTCGCCGGGGATGGGCTTGGGGTGGACGGAGACTTTGACGCCGAAGTCTTCGGCGATGCGGTGGAGGAGGAAACGGGCGAGCCAGAGTTGGTCACCCACTGTGGATTGTTAGCGGAGACTTCGGAGGAAGACAGGATCTTGCGAGGCAAAAACGTACTCTCAATGCCGACACATGGGCCGACTTGGAATTCCCATTGCGCAGCTAAGAGAAGTCAGTCAAGATGCTCCGAGTTTTCTACAGTACAAAACTCAACGTAGACAACGTACGCATCACCTAAACGCAACCAGTTAGTATGCCAACCCTTCATGTCCCCTGTCCTTGGGAGTAACATACCTCAGCGTTCGTCCCAGAGATCTTGATGCCCGCGTACAGGCAGGCACGGTAATGCGCCTCGACAATGTCGCGCTGAACCACCTTTCCGGTACCCACACCACAGTAGTATGGCCCTTGGGGCGCCGGGAAACCGTTTTGCGGCCTATTCCGAATCCGAAACGTCAGCATTCTGCTCCTTTCTCGACACACACACCCATCTCATGGGACCTCATGCAGTCAACCCCCACGCCTCTTTTACCCCCCACGTCCCCCCATTTATGCCCGCGCGAGTTTGAAATGCATCTGTCTCTGGTTGGTCGAAAATTTCAGGTACGTACCAGCCATACGGCCTATCATTGAAATCTAGAAGCGTATACTCCTGCTCCAGACCGAACCACGGCTCATGCGCGGCATGCGCCTCCATCAGCTTGGCCGTCTCGTGGCGGTGGTTGTACTTGTTCGGGGTGCCATCGGAGTCCCAGCACTCGGACAGCACCAGGATGTTCTTGCCGAGGCGGAGCGGGTCCGGATACACGGCGACCGGCCGGAGGTAGACGTCCGAGTTGTCGCCGGGGGCTTGGCCCGTCGAGGAACCGTCAAAGTTCCATATCGGGAGCTCGTCGGGCTTGTAGGGCTCTTCCTTTTCGGGGAGGGTCTACGATTCGGGTTGATGGAGGTTAGTTTTGCATGGTTTATTCATTGACCTGATCAGAAAAGTAAGTGGTCTCGTGGGGGGGAGTGTGTGTGTCGCGGTGCGCCGCTAGTCAGAGCTAGCTGTCCGGCGGGTTGATTGGACGGTAGGGGGGGAATTGGGGGTGGCAATATTGCGTACCCTCGACTTGGAGCGCGTGCCGCCTTCGGAGTCAATCCTGTTTAGCAGTGGAATTTCTAGTCAGTCTTCGGCCCAGTGGAAACTCATGAATGCCGATCACCCCCGGGAGGAGCTCCGTCTTCTTCCGAGCCGGAGCCCGGCATGTGAACCCCCACCACGAAATTGGGGTAGACACTAGCTTACCAGATGTACTCGGCGATGATGTTGCCCTTCTGCTCAAGGGCAAAGTATTTTTGAAGCTGCGGCCAGTGTAAGTCTCCATATCTGCAACCATGCCGAGGACGGAAAATGCTCACGGTCCCGGTCTGGGAAATAAATGTAGGTGCGGTAGCCTAATTTACGCACAGGCTTTAGTTAGCACATGCCACTTGCAGTAGTTCGTCACCACGTGCCAAGCTGCAATCGAGTGGCCGTTGGTGTTTTCCAAGTTCCTGGGGAACATACCATGGCTAAAGGATAAGATGAGGCTTGGCTCAAGACGCTATCAGCGAGCAAATTGGCAAAGGCGATGTTCTAAAGGTTGATGGGCGTAAAGAGTACAAGTATCAGGTCGAGATAGTCCCGTCCCGTGTCCAAGGTGTCGCAGCGAGGATAAGCGAGGTCAGAGAGTTTGGTAAAGATGACGACGGAAGCCAAAACACCAGGGCAAAGCTCCCAAAAAGAATGTCACAGCTATGCAATGCAAGATTACCAAAGTAGGAGGCAGGAATCGGACGGTCCTCACACGCGGGGCACGAGCATGTTTAAAAACAACTGGAGCTGCTGCTCGTCCGCAGCCGGCCTGATACCGATAGCGTCCACAAGCGGCACCGCATAACAAAAATGACGGGGTAAGGTCAGGTACTGTACATTTGGCATGTGCACTCGGCAAAGGCACCGGGCGGCGCAACGCAGGCATGATACCGCCCCAAGAACAAGTACTCCGGTACTCGTACCGCTTATCTTTCCCTCACTCGGGATGAACACACTCCAGGTTGCCCACCCCATTTTCTTATTGCCCACCTTTCACCCGCTCCTGACCAGCTGCCCAGGGAGGCCAGAAAAAGACGCCGCCACGCCCCAATCCCCCGGATGGGGGAGCCCAGATGGAACTTGTCAAACCATGGGAAAAAAAAGGGGGGTGGGACTTGGAAACCATGATTTGCCAGTTCGTTGTTGTCTCTGACCTCACACCTCTCTCCACCTTGGAGAGAGCCCGGTTCCGCCTTCCCAACAAACTCACCTTTTACCCCTCCACAACAGCAACCCCTCCATGGACGACAAGGAACGTGGCAGGGACAGCCAGCGGTCAGCCGCGACCGGCGGCTGGGCGACTGAGAGCATGCTTCCTTGTTGAAGATAAGAAGTCTCAGTGACATCTTCCATACATGGATTGTGCATGGAAGGCCCCCCCCTTGTTGTGGGGGAGAACATGGCCTGTTATCAGCAATTTCTGATTGGCTGGTTGGACCTTCTCTGACAATTCCCGGGTAATGATTGGTCGGAGCTTGGAGAGTCCAGGGTTTTGGTGGGGTAAGGGGTTCCGGGCCTCTCATGAGATGGATTGGTGTAAAAGGATCGGGACAAGTCACGAAGTCGGAAACAGGACGAATTCCATCCCATCGCCTCAACTTGGGGACCGACGGGAAACGGAGAAACTCAGGTGGATGAGTCAAAAAGAACAGAAAGTATTGGATGTTTAACCTCCCCCGTTCACTTTTCCAGGTCCACATTGACCGTCTGACCCGCACCCAGGAAATCGGGAAGGGACTAACGTTAACTAACGAAAATGGAAGGGTTGCGGGGTGGGGGGGAAGGGGGGGCTTGCGCAAGGCTGCATGCATGTGTTGTGTCGGGTCGTGTGTTTGTACCTTGAGACATCGGATCGGGTTGATGAGACGATGTTTTTCGAAAGAGGTTGAGGTAAGTGGGAGTCAGCTTATCATCCACGCCTAGGCTTCCAGTTTTAGCCCTGTTGTCTACGGAGTACTTCTTCCCTTGAGCTTCTACGTTAGGTACGAGGTACCGTACCGACGGTCGCCATTGAGATGCGGCTTCCTCCTTGTGGGCATCTTCCTCTTTTGGAAACACAGACAAGTCATGCTTTCTTCAACACCCCCTTTCTCCCCGCGAAGATGCTCCCCCCACGTTGGGTCCCCCGTCCCATACCTGCACTTACCCCAAGAGTTCAAGGGTACCTGTTCCTGAAGGGTCGAAACCCCGAATGCATCACATCACGTGGCGCATCAAACTCTGAGTTTTGCGCTTCAATGTCGCGCGTTCAGTGTGGGTGATGCAGGTGCAGGCACAAGGGGAAACGTGGGCTAGTGTGCGAAAAGATACATTAAGCTTATTCGTTTAGCAACCCGAGGTAATGATTACTATGTACTTTGGGACCTCCAAGCATCAACAAACTCCCACGCTTTTTTCTCTTTTTTGGCAAGACAACGCCCCACGAACGCTCAACTACGAAATACAAGGAGCAATCGAAATTCCCAAAGCAACAAGCAGCAAGAACGATAATCCAACCGATCCCACAGACCCCCACAAGCCCAAATACAGAAACCAAGCCGGGCAGCGCCGGCTTGTTGCGAAAAGTGCATCACCACCCTTTCACCATCCACCGTCCTTGTCGGTGAACTTTAGGGCGGGGGGCGGCTCGAGTTTTACAAAGATTCCGGTGTCGAAAGGCAGGAGTTCGTTAATGTCGTGCGTGTCGCGACCGTTGGTATACGAGAGATGGCCCTGGGCGCCCTTTTGGGCTTTTTCCGCGAGAATCTGCTCGTACCGGGCTATGCATTCAGGCACAGAGGTCTCGAACGCCTTCCAGCCCCGGAATCCTTTCCAACGCTCGAAGATGTCCATGACGTTCGTGGTATCGGTGTACGTCTGGCCGTACCCGATGGTGTCACCCACAATATCGGGGTAGTGCACCGCGGCGGCCTCCTCGGCCTTCTCTTGATCATACATCGTGCCGCCGCGCCTCTTGATCCTCTCAACCATATGGGCCCGCAGTATTTGGATGGCATCGTTTCGGTCGCGCAAGCATCCCCAAGCGAAAAGTCGCTGCCTTTTGATCGTGTGATCAAAGAGGGCCGCAACATGCAGACGTCCCACATCCTCGACATCAATGTACCAGTCTAAAGAGGTCCGCGTCAGGAGTAGTCACCCGGATTGGTGGCAAGGGAAATAGAACTTACGCCGCTGTAAAACGCCAGCGTCCTCGACGTAATCAATTGCAATCCCGCGGCACCGATACATGTCGTGAAGCCAATCATTCCAGTACGGCTCCATGTAGTCGGGGGCCAGGTGGTGGCCGATGACGTTCGAGGGTGCAATTGTGTTGACGCGGAACTTCGGGTTGGCCTCCTCAGTCCACGACCACACCGTCTGCTCAGCCCGGTACAAGCACGACGCGCGCACTACCGCGGGGATTCCGGGAGTCCGAGCCCCTGCCCACAAGACTGGGACGTGCCATGACTTAGCTGTCACCTCCAGGTCCTTTTCGGTATGAATCGGCGCCGCGTTCTTGTAGCTGGCGGTGTGGACAAAGGACTCCATGTTCTCCTCGCGCTCGGCGGCCTCCAGCAAGCCTGCAGTGGTGTTGATGACCTGGCGCCAAAGTTGCTCAATGGTGTCGAACCTTGTTGGGACGACAGTCTGGTGCACGATACCGTGGCATCCTCTGACCAGGTGTCGCCAGTTCAGCTGGTATCCCGGGCGACCGTAGACGAACGATTGACGTCGGAAGCTTCCGTTGCGGTGGAAACGGTCAAAGAGTTCATCAAGCCACTCGGCAGGCTCGCAGAAGGTCACGGCCGCGCGGACCTGGCATCCGCCCTCCAACAGCTGGTGCATGATCTCGAGCTGAACGGGGTCTACCGGGTTGGTCACTAGGATCAATTTGCCGGCTGGAAGTCGCGGGAATTTGGCTCCCGGGCGGAAGTCGACGATGACCTCATCCTCCGAGTTGGTGAAACCCCCCATGATGAAAGTCTAGAGTGTCGAGCCTGAGTATTTGCGATCGAAAGGAATAATCTCGAAGAATTAATCTCCGGAGAAAAGCGATACTTGTGAGCAACGATACTGCAACATAAAAGTGAGCGCGGTGTTAGTTGAAAGTAGAACCAGGAAAGGCCTGAAAGCTTCGGGAGGGGGAGGCCTGTGATTTATGGGTTTGAGATGCAGGTCTGATCCTCGATGATGTCTACTTTCCTCGCACCACTTCCCAACGTAACAGTACCGTATCTCACGTAGGAAGGCGCATCAAAGGACCGCCTTGGATGCAAGAGGTCATTACGGGAACGGCAAGTGCTACAGATGGGGAGCGTTCACATGGCCAACCGTAACTAAGATACGGAGAGTGCGGCGTATTACTGTCGATTTAGGGAGAAAACGCTGCTGTTTTTTTGGCTGTTTGTTTAATCGTCTTTAAACCACGTTCGCTCGCCCCTTACATGCCGAGTCAGACTTTCGAGTGCAGACAATAATACATCACAAAGCGCATCATGCGTCCTGGATTACGAAGAACAGGGCAGTGCGCGCGGAACGGGTACTGCCGGGGGGGTAAAACGGATGCTACCCACCGTTTCATTCTGATATCACGAACAAGAGCCGACTTGATAGAAATTACCTTTGCTGCCATTGTGCACCGAATACCTTGTTGTTAAACTTCCTAATCCGGCCAAAGGCGCCCGCCTCAGCCAATCAGTGGCAATGAAACGGATCGTCCTTTTACTTGCCTTGACACCCAAATTCCCGCCAGTCTGCTATATTCTCTGTCTTTGGGGGTTGGGTGAGGGGTTGAGTATGCTCCAACCGTTTTGCGGCGTATGACCCAGACCCTTGGACTTCTCACACCTGTGTCCTGTACCTGCGCTCTGTGTTATAGTGACTCAGTCGACTGTGGCAAGGTCGAACCCCAACTTCATAGCGAAAAGCCCTACTCCTCAGCCAGAGCACTTTTGCGCCCAGCACTTGACGAGTCTATTTCCCTACACAATGATACGCCTTACCAAGTCACAGTCCGTCAGACAGATACCGGACACTAACCACGTTACCCCGCCAACCCCTCCCATTCCGCTCCCCTATCATGCCGCTCCATGCTTTTGCGTTGTTGTAACATAGCATAAGGCCGTGGCTAGAAAATATTGGGGGGACGCAATCGCAGTATCTGTGACATTCATAATAAGGACTCAAATTGAAGGTTCAATTTCTTCCGAAGGGATGTTAGTCACACGTTGCTAAGGGTAAGTATATTACGAGGCGCTCGTCCAACTTGGCCCAACCCGCGCACATCGACGCCGTTGCTCGAGCAGTGCTTCGTTCCGATCTATGTCACAGCCTCAACCACCCATGGTGCCAGATTATATAGCCAGCCGTCCTATGTCGATTCATGCCACAAGCTTGCGGGGCAGAGATGAGGACAGTCCGCAACAGTTCAGGCTGCCTGAGCATAACGCAAGGCTGTTTCTTGAGAGCCCGAGACATCCGAACTGCTTGCCCATAAATTGGAAGTAACGGAAAGGTTGATAAGCGTGTTCGAAACGGAGGGTTAGCGTAGGGCCTCATCGTTGACACTTACATGGCGGGGGCAGACGATCTTATCATCTACACGCCCTGGGCCGTTGCCCTAGGGAATTCCGTGGCTCCTCGGTGAGAATGCTAGCAACACATTTTTGAGCACAACCGGACAAATGTCGACATTCAGCAGAATGAACCGTGGTCATGCATACCTACCATGAGCAAAGATACGAAAAGATGTGTTCCTAATGCTTTGAAATGTACAATCGGCCCCAGGGGTAAGGCGAAGGAACGCTCCGGCCCCCTCCCTCCATCGCCCTCGATGTGATGTATCAGATGGTATTATGAAGGCGACCGAGCTGGTTGGGCCGGCGGCGAAATTTCTAGATGGTATTCGCGATCATAGCGACGCAGTGATGCAACCAATTTAAGAGGGCGTTGCTCCTGATCGGGACTCTGGTATTTCTCAGGGCTAAGAAATATCCACAATAAATATCTTGCCTATTTAAACATACATAAAAAAAGAATAAGGACGTAATTTCGCCGACGGAACGGTCGCCAGCCTTGTTTATAGTGGATTTTTGTGGTGAAGTGAGTGAGTGAGGTTGTATCGAGGAAAAGAGCCGCTCAAAGTTGCCCCACTGTCCAGCCGAGTGCCAAGACCACTAAATGGTCCCACTTTTAGCAAGGCAGCAGAAGCTTGGGTAAGCTCTCCCATCCCGCCTTGCAGCACGCACAGCGCAACCACAAGCGACCAGCAACCCAACCAACCGCCACATCGACAAACATCGACGACAACACTCTCCGCGACCGATCCCTCCGAACCCACGAACCTCACGACCGAGTTACCGAGTTTGATAATTAACCATCGGCCCCAACCATCTCGCACTCGATCGATCGCCCCGACACCGACCCCAGCGATTACGACCCCCCACACAACCCGTAGCCGCCGTCGACGATGGCTTCGGATCAAGAGCGCGAGCACGCGCTTGCCTCCTTCAAGCAAAAGCTGATCGAGTCGCGGGAATGGGAGACAAAACTCAAGAACCTCCGGTTGGAGATCAAGGGCTTGCAAAAAGAGTTCGACCAAACAGAAGACAACATCAAAGCGTTACAAAGCGTCGGGCAGATCATCGGCGAGGTGTTGAAGCAGCTGGACGATGAGCGATGTGGGTAGTTCTATACTAGTGTCCAGCGGCTTAGATTTCTAGGTCGCATCCCATACGATTGCTAACCTGCTTTTCGTCGCCCGGCAGTTATCGTGAAAGCGTCGTCCGGGCCACGCTACGTGGTCGGGTGCCGGTCCAAGGTGGACAAGGCCAAGATGAAGCAAGGGACACGCGTGGCGCTCGACATGACAACACTCACGATTATGCGCATGCTGCCTCGCGAGGTTGATCCGCTGGTCTACAACATGTCGCTCGAGGACCCCGGTCAAGTCAGCTTTGCCGGTATCGGTGGGCTAAACGACCAGATCCGCGAGCTCAGAGAGGTCATCGAGTTGCCGCTCAAGAACCCGGAACTGTTCTTGCGCGTGGGGATCAAACCACCCAAGGGTGTCCTGCTCTATGGGCCGCCCGGCACAGGCAAGACGCTGCTCGCCAGGGCAGTCGCAAGTAGTCTGGAGACCAACTTCTTGAAGGGTGAGCTCATCCCTCTTTCTCGCGCCTTAGGCTGTGACACTCTCCCGAGGGTCCCAATATCGAGGTTTTCTATGCTAACTATTCTTTTGTAGTTGTCTCTTCGGCCATCGTCGACAAGTACATTGGCGAGTCCGCGCGGCTGATCCGCGAAATGTTCGGCTATGCCAAAGAGCACGAACCGTGTATCATCTTCATGGACGAAATCGATGCCATCGGCGGCCGGCGTTTCAGTGAAGGCACGAGTGCAGACCGTGAAATCCAGCGGACGCTCATGGAACTGCTCAATCAGCTTGATGGTTTCGACTACCTGGGCAAGACCAAGATCATCATGGCCACCAACCGGCCCGATACCCTCGACCCCGCGCTGTTGCGTGCCGGCCGTCTTGATCGCAAGATTGAGATCCCGCTCCCGAACGAGGTTGGCCGTCTTGAGATCCTCAAGATCCACGCCGCGGGTGTGTCCAAGGACGGCGAGATTGACTTTGAGAGTGTGGTCAAGATGAGCGATGGGTTGAACGGGGCGGATTTGCGAAACGTGGTGACCGAGGCGTGAGTGCACTCTGCTCAATAAATCCTAACCCCTGACTGGCGCGTAGTCCCTGCTAACATTGTCTCCTCTAGTGGTCTGTTCGCCATCAAGGACGACAGAGATGCCATCAACCAGGACGATTTCAACAAGGCGGTGCGGAAGCTCGTCGAGGCCAAGAAGTTGGAGGGCAAGCTGGAATACCAGAAACTATAAGGAAAAGGAGGGCTATTAGGCGCGGCGTGATCGAGAAAGGGGGACTATCGTCACTGTCACTGCCACCGCCACGAACACACCCGATCAGCGTGTAATATTGCAACCGTATATGGATCCAATACCTTCCGCCCGCCCCGTTCCCCAAATTCCCCTTGAATTGAAAGCGATGCAGCGTCTTGTGGTATTGCACTTCTGCATATGCATGACCGACTCAAACCTTGTGCCGTTTCCACATGCTCGCATTGGCACACCACTTTCGATGGCAAGCGGTGGTCAACCCTGTGTTTGTTCCACAGTAGCCGCTCAAAGTTGCGAGGCAATGTAACCCACAGTTTGCCCATTCGGGAGACAACTTACTTGTCACCAGGGGGTTTGCTAGTGACTTATGATGACCAACCGCATATTCTCTAGCTCGACCATGCCAGCCTCGCATTCTAGCCTTGCTGAATGGATGCGCTCTCGCACTTAGCATGTACAGTGTCAGCTTTGGTGAGGAGTTCATGCAGGCTGTTGTCATTAACTCTTGCACAACCTACACCGAGCCACATTCTGGGGTTTCTCGGCCAGGGGTGGGGGGATAATAATAAAGGATAACTAGCAGGACAAAAGAAGGAAGCACTCCCTCGTCTGTCTTTGCTGACCACCATAGATGGCTGCTGGCGAATGACGATGTGCTGACAAGATCTACGAATTGAACAAAACTATTGGATGGGGAGGCTAAACCCGATTGCCGGGATTAAAAAGTTCCAAATTCACCTCTCTGTTGAGCAAAGACAATATGGACACCAGCAGCAAAAGAGGGCAACAAATTTCTTGAACATGGTGATTCACAAATATCGAGTCGTTCGGTCTCGTGTTGGTTGGCGCGCCGGCCAGGCGGCAAATCATGGTAATGTCGTGTCCGGCATTTGGAATCTAGCCTCGTGGGGCGTGCGGCCGAACGAAATGTTTTTGTTTTTCTAAGAATAGGTTACAAGAGGAAGAAGACCCCTTTTTTCCATGCCACGGGGCGCGCCCTACACAGCCTCGAAAAGTGGGTTTTGAACAACCAACTCGGCAAGACCCTGAGAAAGGCGTGGCGCCAGGCCCAGCAGATAGGTTCGGATGGAGTGAGTGAACAAATTGAGACTCTCATTTCCGTGTGCTGTGGCTGTACACTCGATATCAATATCGTGTTGGTGTCAAATTTTTGGTTTCCTGTTCCTGGTTCAACGAACGGTTGAGGGTTCCTCATCGGGAAACCGCCGTTGAGTTCACCCTCAGTACGAGGGGTTGTTGACTGGGCAAGACGTCATGGGCGGGGGGTAATTGTGGCTGGTTGGACCGTGTAAGTCGGGGGTAAACCCGTCGAAGAAACCCTTCCTTGATTCCCAGCCGGCAAACGGAACAAAAAAGGTTGGTGGTGTAACAACGAGGCGATGTAGCCCGGAAGAAAAGAGAAGCCGAGCAACCTATCTCACGCAATCAATGCTCAGCTCAGCCCGGAAAGCCGCTGCTCCATCCATCGTCCTCCCGAAAAAGCGCTGCCTTGTCGATCCACCCTCGTATCGTGGGCCCGTGGTTTCGTTGCGGAGGCTCCCCAGCGTTGCCGAGAGAACCCCGGTTCCGCCCCACCAAGACCGAACCATCGATTTTGTTGTGGTCTCTTTCCACTGGTATCTTGGGTGTCCATCAACAGCCACGAACATTGCTCATCAGAGATCCGAGATGGTCGGACAAGGCGGTGAAGCCGCAGGGCGTCTTTTTTCCCTTTCCTGAGTTGCCCCTGCTTTCCGCGATACACGACAGAGCTCTTGGCGTGCACAAGACAGGCGAGGGCGGGCCAGCCCACAATGGGCCAGAATCTAGACACGTTGATCGCCCCGCCTTCAGTGCGGCTTCGTTGTTGGGGGAGTTTATGAGCCAGAAGAAAAACAGCAGAGACTGCTGAACTGCGAGACTGCCTCAATGCTACCAATGGGAGGCGTCGAATCCACCATGACATCTGCAAAGAGCGGAGATCCCCGGATTTGGCTGGGAAAAGAAGGGTTGCATGCTCCTGGCGGCGCCATGCCGCTTTGACGAGGCAGACATCGCGAATGATGGGCGGTCTCACCAACTTTGCCGTCTCGTCAAGCCATCAAGCCGAGGAGGAAGTGGTCTCAAGCAACTTTCGGCCAAGCTCCCGTGAGACATGCTAGCACGAATCATCCCATGCATGTCTTGCGGCTTCGCAGCACTAGAAACATAATGTTTGAAGTCGTTCCGATCGAGGAGTGCGATTCAGAACAATAACAGACGTCGTTAACGTTGGTGTAGTGGACGGTGTGAAAATGAGGGGCTTCACGAAACACATCCAACTCCTGGGTTCCCTGGGGAGCAAGTCCCTGACCGGAGGTAGAGACGAAACATAAACGACAGATGGAAAACCCTTGGCATGAAGAGTTTGCCTGTGTTTTCCACCTGGTAGAACATAGGATGATTGAAAAGGTTTGGGGAAAAGGGAACACAACAAAAAACGCAAAGCGTGATGACAATTGGGCTTCTTTCTTCCGGCACGGAAAGTGCCCTCTGAGAAAGATGGATCTCTTCGTTCACCCCTTCCCAAGCCATGACGACTTTTGTTGTCCCTGGCTCGGTCTTGACCCCTGTCTCGTCTGGCCGCGACAAGGGCCCCACATCTGTGCCTGCGGCTGGGCTGCAGCATCCATCCCCCCTCCAAAATCGGCCATAAAGTCAAGCTCCCCAGCAACCGCAACAAGTTGATCCTGCCCATCCATCCTACTCTTCACACTCGTCGTCCCAACCTACGTCCTCGTCTGGCATACCGGGCCTTGCTACAACAGCTTTCGTGATACCCTCAGCATCTTGCGCGCCGATCTTTTCTATCCCTTCTCCCTTTTTTTTGGTCTGTTCGGTTCCCTGTCAGTCGTTGTTGGTTGGTCTGTCAAGATGTGGTACGGGCAACCCCAAACCCAACCCCGCCTCAGCTCAGCTCTCCGTACTAGCGGCGAATCAGTCTAGAGCGGAGTGATACGAGAAGAGAAAACGACGGCTTGCTAATGACTCTGGTTTTACCTACAGTGGCATTTTTGGTTACATCAACTACCTGGTGGAGAAGGACCGCAAGTTCGTGGTCGACACACTCATCAACGGTACGTGAGCACCGGCCACGAAAACGAAATACGCCAAAGCTGCAGGGGATCGATCTCTTACCCCCCCCCCCTCCATCTACACCCTCGCAAATCCGATCCTGTCCCGGAAACTTGTTAAACGGGACCAATTACTGACGTATCCGCTGCTGTTTGGTTTAGGTCTGTCCCGTCTTGAGTACCGTGGGTATGACTCGGCCGGCTTCGCCATTGATGGCGACAAGAAGAAGGAGGTGTTCGCGTTCAAGGAGGTCGGCAAGGTCGCCAAGCTGAAGCAGCTCACCGACGAGTCGGACATCGACCTGACCAAGGTCTTCGATTCACACTGCGGTATTGCCCACACCCGGTGGGCCACTCACGGCCCCCCGTCGCGCGTCAACTGCCACCCTCACAGGTATGTGCAGAGCAGAAGTGGAATGGAATCGGCTGCGTATCCTCTGTTCCAAGGATCTTCGCTAACGTTTCTTCTGTCAGGTCCGACCCCAACTGGGAGTTTGCCATCGTCCACAACGGTATCATCACCAACTACAAGGAACTGAAGACGCTGCTCGAAAGCAAGGGCTTCCGCTTCGAGACCGAGACCGACACCGAATGCATTGCGAAGCTCGCCAAGTACATTTACGACCAACACCCGAAGGTTGGCTTCACCGACCTTGCCAAGGCTGTTATCAACGAGCTGGAGGGCGCCTACGGTCTGCTGATCAAGAGCGTGCACTACCCCCACGAGGTCATTGCTGCTCGCAAGGGTTCCCCACTGGTCATTGGTGTCAAGACCCAGAGGCGCATGAAGGTCGACTTTGTCGATGTCGAGTACGCCGATGAAAGCAACCCGCTCCCGGCCGAGACCGCCGCCCAGAATGTGGCCCTAAAGAAGACCGCGGCCGGCGGCAGCTTCTTGTCCCCCAACAGCTTGCTGGGTGCTCCCGACAAGTCGCTCCTCCACCGCTCGCAGTCCCGCGCCTTTATGACCGACGACGGCCTGCCGATGCCCACCGAGTTTTTCCTGTCGTCCGACCCGTCAGCCATTGTTGAGCACACCAAGAAGGTCATGTACCTCGAGGACGACGACATTGCCCACATCCACGAGGGCTCGCTCAACATCCACCGCCTCAAGAAGGCTGATGGCAGCAGCAACGTCCGGACTATCCAGACGCTCGAGCTCGAGCTGCAGGAGATCATGAAGGGCAAGTTCGACCACTTCATGCAGAAGGAAATTTTCGAGCAGCCCGAGTCCGTCATCAACACGATGCGTGGCCGTCTCGACATCGGCAACCAAACAGTGACTCTCGGTGGTCTCCGGAACTACATCAGCACGATCCGCCGCTGCCGTCGTATCATCTTCATCGCCTGCGGTACCTCGTATCACAGCTGCATGGCTGTCCGTGGTATCTTTGAGGAGTTGGCCGAGATCCCGATCGCCGTGGAGCTTGCGTCCGATTTCCTCGATCGCCAAGCCCCAGTATTCCGTGACGACACCTGTGTGTTTGTGTCGCAGTCTGGTGAGACGGCTGACTCTCTCATGGCCCTGCGCTACTGCCTGGAGCGCGGTGCCCTGACCGTGGGCATCGTGAACGTGGTTGGCTCCAGCATCTCGCTCCTTACCCACTGCGGTGTCCACGTCAACGCCGGCCCTGAAATCGGTGTCGCCTCGACCAAGGCGTACACCTCGCAGTTCATCGCCATGGTCATGTTTGCCCTGTCGTTGAGCGAGGACCGTGCGTCCAAGCAAAAGCGCCGCGAGGAGATCATGGAGGGCCTGAGCAAGATCAGCGACCAGATCAAGGCTGTTCTCGAGCAAGACCAGAAGATCAAGGAGCTGTGCGCCAAGACCTTCAAGAACCAGAAGAGTCTCCTGCTCCTGGGCCGTGGTAGCCAATTCAGCACGGCCCTGGAGGGTGCCCTCAAGATCAAGGAAATCAGCTACCTGCACTGCGAGGCTGTCATGAGCGGTGAGCTCAAGCACGGTGTCCTCGCCCTGGTGGATGAGAACCTGCCCATCATCATGATCCTCACTCGTGATGAGATCTTCAAGAAGAGTCTCAACGCGTACCAACAAGGTTTGTACTCCCACTTTTTTCTTTGTCTTTCGGTTCAAACCTAGTCTCTCTTGGATTTGAACTAACATTTGTCTCTGTAGTCGTTGCCCGTGGTGGAAAGCCTATCGTGATTTGCAACCCCGGCGATGAGGAGTTCACCGCCAGCCAAGCGGAGAAGATTGAGATTCCCCAGACCGTGGACGTCCTCCAGGGTATTCTCAATGTCATTCCCCTGCAGCTCATCGCCTACTGGCTGGCCGTCATGGAGGGGCTCAACGTCGATTTCCCCCGTAACTTGGCCAAGTCTGTGACCGTCGAGTGAACGGGTTCTCATAGCATTGAGACGCAACACTGGGCAATCCAAGGGTGTTGGGAGGGCCCTGCGGGCCGTCCATCTTGGACAGTTACGCCCAAACTCGTATGTACTAGTAATATTGGCTATCTTACAGTCCATTCGCTGGCTGAGGGTTTGACGCGAGGAACGGGTGTTAAGAGGTTGGCGGAACGAATACCAAACACGAACGTCCCCACCCGCACCGCGAGAGTTAAGGGGTGTTTGGACCCAGGACACATACGCACAGGATCGTTTGGGTTAAAACGAAGAGTAGCGATAGCGAAAGTGAACAGTTGACCGCAAAGAGTGTAATTTGACGTGAAAACAATATCAGTGTTATGGACAATTGCTAAATTATTCCCATGTCGCGTTTCTGTGACTTGCTCGTTTTTCCCATTACTTCCAAAAGATACCTTAATAATAGGCAACGTCTGGACGGGAACGTCACAAAATGTCATAGAACAGTGTTGTTTCGCCCTCATGGTTCATGAATCTCATTTGTCTTTACTCTCCCCACGCTCATCTCCCTCCTGGTCAGGCATATATCCTATTTACACCGTCTGCGTACCGTATCCACGAATCCTCTCAGCAAACGCCCAGCTCTGCTTCTCCAGCTGCTCGTCCTCGCGCAGCTCAACCCCATCCTTGGTCACCACAGCCAAGCTGTACCGATCCAGCGAGCGCGCATCACGGTAAAACAGCACCTTCATGCACTCCTTGACCACATCCACAGCCTGCTCGCGCGTGAGCTTCGCGGCATCCTCTTCCGTCGCCGCAAAACGCCGCATAATGGGCTGGGCGAGCATCGCACCAAACCCGGTGGCCAGCGAAGGGGAGGAGAAGGTAGTTCCGCGCAGGTCGACAGACGCGAGGAAGGGCTTAGAGGCCGAGTCCAGCCCGGCGACGAGGATCTGGTTCCAGAGCGGGTCGAAGTCGCTGCGGCGGCGGTACATGAGCTTGGAGAGGTATTTGTGCAGGTTGGCGGCGTTGAGTTGGCCGCGCGGGGGTTGGGTGGTGGTGGTTGAGTCGTCGGATGGGGATGGGGTTTCGGCGTGGTCGTGTTCGTAGGCTTCGTCGATGGCTAGCTCGTTGAGGTGGCGGTCGAGGAATTGCATGTCGGAGACGTCGCCGCCGAAACCGACGATGGAGGTGGAGAGGAAGGGGCGCAGGCGCTTGACGTCGGTGAAACGGGCGAGGGAACCGTAGGAGGCTGGAGATGATCGTGGTTAGTTTGCGGTTGATTGGGTTAAAACAAAGACCTCATGGCATGTCGGTGGTGCTGCTGTATGGAAGACTAGTACAGTGCTGCGGTAAAGTAAAAAACGCACCAAGGTTATCAGCGGCCATGACGACGCCGTCTTTGAACTTGATCGCGATGACGGAGGTACCGGTCACAACGGGAGCTTGTGTCGCTGTCTTGGGCCCGGTGGTCTGGAGGTAGGAAGCATCGTAGGCACCGTAGACGTCATCTCTGGGCTGTTTATGTCACTGAGTCAGTACGAGCGCCGTCATGGGACCTTCATATTCGAGGTGTTGGCGAGCAGACGTACACGACCCCAGGCTTGCGGGCGGTGATCCATGGCTGCGGGGTGGAAATGGGTGATTCGAAATTAGTCGGTTGTCGTGGTCGGTCTGAACCACTGCACAAAATGCCTAGCGTTCAAAAACGCTAGTCGCTCGCCGTTTCGGTCGTGGAAAGGTCGTTGGGTGGTGTTGCGTTGGGTACGTTGGAAGGGTTGCGAGCTTGCATGCAGTTAGAGTTGAGGCTAGAGCTCACTATAGCTTCGCGTCCCGGTGCTGCCTTCCCGGCTAGCTGCCGGACAGCTGCCAGCGCCCCACCTGTTGCCTGAGCCGCCCCGCGATGTTGGTCCGTGCTCCACTTGCTTCAAATCCCAGCCAAGCAACCCACGTGACACCCTTTTCATCAACCAAGGTTGGACGATCTCGTAACAACCAACTTTTTCATCATAATCGAGGTCGCAGTGAACGTTTGCGATTTATTCGAAGCCTACTTAGTAACTCGGTCATCATGGGTCTTGTGCAATATGACAGCAGTGATGAGGAAGAGGATGTGCAATCTCCGGTTGAAACGCAGGTAGGCTTTCTGTCCCTCGCTTATCCAGCAAGACTCGCTCACCTCATACCCATATTTAGGCGTCCAAACCGACAGTCAAACCGACACCAGTGATCCCCCAAAATTCATCCGGTAACATCCTTATCCCCGCTCACTTCCCGTCATACCTCAAAACCTAACTCTCCAACAGAACCAGCACCACCATCTGCTGCACCACCTTCAACAACAGAGCAAACCAAACAACCCAGCCCAGCACCACCACAACCCACCAACCCGTCCCTCGGCCCAGTACTCGGCCCAACCCTAGGCCCCTCCCGCCCACCACCATCATCAACCACCACCACCCACCCCACCCTCCCCGAGCCAGAAGAAGAAGACGACGGCCAAACCCAAGTCGACCTCTCCTTCCTCGACCCCCAATCCAGCACCACCACCAACCCCAACCCCAACGACCCCCCTCAATCCCCCCACACCCGCACCCGCACCCTCCTGCACAACCTCACCCTCCCCTCCGTCGCAGACATGGATATCCCCCCCTCACCACCGGGCACCCCGCCGCCAGGCCTCGACGCCCTCACCGCCAAATTCGAAACCTTCCTCCGCCTTAAGCGCACAAAGGGCGTGCACTTTAATGAGCGCTTGGCGCAGAACAAGGGCATGGCGAACCCGGGAGTGGGGGATAAGTTACTTGCTTTTGTGGGTATTGGGACGGAGGTGGATGATGGGTATGGCGGTGATGGAATCTCAACAAGCGAGCGACAGAATGGTGGAGCGGGGGCAGGTGGCAGTGGTGGTGGTGGATTGGTGGACCAGTACGCGACGGTGCTGTCGGCCGACGTGTGGGATCCGACGTGTTTCCCGGCGTGGAGTTATCGGGGCGCGTTGAGGAGGACACAGGAGCGGGTGGCGAAGGAGAGGGAGAGGGCGAAGGGGGAGCCGGTTGCGTTTGTTTCTTCTTCTTCGGGTGGTGGTGTTACGGGGGGTGGTGGGCTAGGATCGGTGGGGGGGAGTAGGAGCGGTACGCCTGGAGTTGGGGCAGGGACGGGGAAGAGAAAGGGGCGATGGGATACGTGATTAGGGGGGCTTGGTGAGATGTGTGGTTACGGGAGATGGGGTATGTCTGAATATCTAGAGTTGTAAAAAGTAAAGACAGATTGAGTCTACTATGATACCCCTGATGGGATTCATCCTCCGAGTGACGTTTGAGCAGGCTGGATGTGTAATCCTATGTTATTTCTTGATGAACCCTTCTGAAAGTGAGATCCCATCTTGCTTTGGTTCCTCGGGTATCATTTTCTCGAAATCAAAGCTCCATGCACAAACACCAGTCGTGGATCATTAGATATTTGGCATTACATTTGCCTTCTAGCGGCTACCCTGAGCGCTTCGGCTACCCACGAGTGCATGCATATCTAAGTCAAGTAACACTCCTGTGCGCTATGCTTGTTCATAGCAAAATAGACTGTCCTCCCTCCATCGCGTGCCCCAAGCCCCGTGGTATATATCCCCCCATCATCATCGTAGTAGAATAGTATCCGCCAGCCCCGCGCGTAACTGCAAAACAACCCAATGATAACACAAAATTAGAAAAAGTGATGCCGAACAAGAGAAAAGGAAATGAGTTGCTGTGATCAGACGAATTCCGCAGAACGCTAGTTACCGCCGCCCAGGCCGCCACAGGGAACGTCGATGTTCAGGTGATCGCGGAGGGCTTGGCCAATCGGGATATAGACGGTCTGGTTGTGCGCCGCGAGAGCGTCGTTGAAGTACGGAAGAGGCTGTCCGTTCCGCACGTCGGTCTTGCCGCGGAGGCCAAACGGAAGCACGCCCTTCTGGTCACCCTTGCCCTCGCAGTAGGGCTTCTCTCCAAGCGCGGTGAGAAGGGCACCGAGGTCCTCCACCGTGGCGCGCATGGGGTAGTGGTTGTCGCCGGGGTTCAGGACAAGGTTGTCAATGTAAACGGTGCCGACCTCCTTGTCGAAGAGATAGTTGTGGAAAGTCACGTTGCCCTACATGGAGTTAGCGGGACATGATCGAGGATTATTGGCGACGTGGATGCAAGACTCACAAGGTCAAAGCTGACACGCGAACGGTTAGGGATGATGGTGTTCGCCCGGAAGTTGTTACCACGCTCGTCAGCGGTCGTGTTGACCCAGGTGGGGTTCACAATAGTGCCCTCAAGCAGTTTAAGACCTGGAAGCACGTTAGAAAATTACAATCCTAATACAAGTCCAGAGAGACTGAACGGCAATTGAGGGCTATGTACCAGGCATGGTGACGGTCTTCTTGAAGAAGACGGGGTAGGCACGCGAGATGCCGCTGACTTGGACGAAGGTGTTACCCTCGACGGTAACGCGGAGGGTTTCATTGGCCAAGAGGTAGGAGTTGAAATTCGTCAGGGCCTCAAGATCCTCAACGGGGAGGAACTGCGTCACATTGACATGCTGCTCGGCATCGGCCGTAGTCGCAGGGAAGTTGAGCGTGGCAAAAGGCGTATGGGGCTGGCGGTCCTCAAGGTACATGACACCCTCAAAAGCAGCGATGTTAGCCTTGACGGAGCCATCAGTCTTGATGGTGCTGCTGAGGCTAATCGTGAGGTTCTGCGTCTGGGTGTTGGTGACCGTGAGGCGGTTCAAGATGAGCTCAGCCTCGTCAAGCTTGGACTGCGCAATTTTAGGAACGGCGACAAGCAGGCTTCAGGAGGTCGTTAGTCAGCATTCTTGGTATTCCGACCACGCCGCGCCCAGCAAACTTGGCACCAGATCACTTACACCACTGGCACGACAATAACAACAATAACTATAATGATGAGCAGATACGCCCACCAAAACTTGGCGCAGTGGCCGAGGCATCCGCGCTTCCGGGGCTTGTCGGAGACTCTCTCTGACTGGGCGACGCCGGCCTTATCGTAGTCGCTCATCGTGGGCAATGGGTCGGGAGGGCCAAGGTCGATGAGAAGGTGCGAATATTTTCGCGTCCAAGGTGAAGCCCGTTGTACTTTCCCAGCTCAGTCGAGGGAGTCAAACCGGGACCGATGGTGTCTTGTCGTCGAGAAGGCGTCCGAGAGGGGCTTCGGCGGAGGTTGAAGCAGAACCAAAAGACCAAACCGGAAACGCAAGCAGGCCAAACGGAGGAGACTGGTGCTTATAAAAGGAGTCTCAGGGACGTACTTGACCGGCCTTGCGGTTGGGGACGTGGGAGGGAAAAAGACGGGGTTTGCAGAGCTAGTGTAATTGAGCAGGGGAGATGGCTGCTCGCCATTGTCACCCTACCCTTTCATGGTAACATTCCTCGCCAGTCCCGGTTGTGGCCACGGGCAGGGGGGAGCCAGCTGGGAGCACGACGAGGTGGGATGGAAGCATCGGATGGAGATTCGATCATCTGAAAGCATGGGGAAGGAGCGACATGTCGCCACCAGCCGGTCCACATTCTCTACCGACCAACAAACGAACGGCCCTGGAGCTGGTCGAGCACGCGGGCATGTGGGCGAAAAGCCACTGCTTCCATGCTCCGGCCAATTATTGACAGCCGAATTGAACCCCAATTCGGCCCTCTCATCGGCAGCCGCTAGCCCCTTTTAGCAGGTTGCCCGAGGTGTGTTGCCGGCAGGGGCCCTGGGAGGCCGCTTCGCCCGCCTTTAACCCTAACCCCATGGTCTCCCCCAGCTGCGGGAAATTGTCGAAGGGGCCGAAGCCTGCAGTGCACGTCGCAGTCTCTGCCCTTCCGTCCGCAACGTTCACTGGGCCCCGGACGATCACAAGCAATTCTTTTGCGAGGAAGGAAGCCGACAAGTCGACGGCGAGCCCACCATAAACGGCTTCGGAACCGCTTGGCTTCATGGGGATGGCTCCAAGGGAGTGCGGGGAATGCGGAGGGTGTGAAGCTTAGCCTCCATTCCCCAGACTCGACCTCGGGTGATTTTTTTTTTTGGAATGTCTCGTGCTTCGAAATATTGAGGGTTGCTGAAGCGGGGGATGACGATGATGGTATCGGAGAGAAGTTGAAGGCCCACCCCAGATTTCAAGCCACACACTGACCATTGGCTGCAATGCGATAGGTATGCGGGCTCGGTGCAGACGCCTGAGATGGCGAGACTGGGTCTCTTGGAACACGACTCGAGCATCTCAAACCGGTTTTGCGTGGCAGGTGATTTTGCGCCCGTTTCTTTGATCAGCAAGCCGTCTGCCCAGCCTCGCCAACACCGGAGTTGCGTTGTGTTGCCCGAAATCGACACACTGCATATGCGGGAAACACCAACTGCCTTGAAGGGACGCCATGCGAATTCGCCGTGTCTTGAGAAGAGTTCCACGCCTGGAATCCGCGGGCCCGAGCTCCAGGGCATCCAAGCATCGCAACTGCCCGCTCCACGAAACGCTTGTTCGGACGCTGTTGCCAAAAACAGAGCTGGCCAAGAGAGTCACCGTGGGCCCCGCTCTTCTCTGGGGAAGGAGCCAGGGAAATGGCTCCAACTTCCTCCTAACACCCCTGTCAGTCGGCCTCCTCTTCGGCAGCTTTTCAGGGACGAGATGGAGCGGAAATGGACCGTCTGAAAAATTCTCAGATCATCCACGAACCTATCGCCATAAGCACGCATACCCTAGATTCCTGCTCCTGCCGCCAACGCCATGACGCTATTGAGGCCAAGGCAGTTCCCCTCCTTGCTGACCAGCCGATGTTCTTGCGACGGTTGAGAGAGGCCATGATCTGCCCTCAGACGATGCGTGGAACACTCGAACATGAGCGGAAATCGCCCGCACAGAGTTTGTCCTCATTCATCAGTGATCTGACCATTAAAAATTCTGGAATAAACTCAACAGAATGGCACTTCTCCTCGCAAGCCCCCGTAGGACGCCACATAACGATCCATAATTCGATGTGGTCCCCGGCTGATGGAGTCGCTCGGAAATTTGAGAAACGACTAGGGTATGAGGTTTCATGCTTGCCGGCAGGGAAAGCCCGAGTCAAGGTGTGGCGCGGCACCATCTCCCGCTTTAAAATTACGACAACAGACTGCAAATCGAAATCTTGCAGGTAAAGATGTCAATAGCAAATGAAGAAACCGATCTCTCATGCGAGAAATCCAGCGAAATGGGCCATCGGTTTCGGCTCGCTCGATCATCAGGGCGCATGACTTGGAGCGCGCACACCGAGGCCACATCTGCGCGTGTAAACTGCCCGCCGACCTTCCTTGATCAAAAGCCGACGATCCAATCGGGGGCATAGAACTTGGCCTTCCCCCACGCCATCGCATAGCAAGCGAGGGGGAGGAGTCGCCTCCTGAAAACTGAAAAGGGGGTCGACCGAGGAGACAGCCACATCCCGAGTTTCTTGGCAGAGCATCGGGTCATTCCACGAACCACGATGATGGCAGCAAACCCTCAAATGCAGCCTCCTCACCCAAGGTTCTGCCGAACCCGAGTCAGACAGTACGACAGCCCATGCGCACCAAGCTCAGTTCGGCGCGCTTGAAATGCTGGCGCGCGCAAGTTTCAATCCTTGAGAATCCCCCAGATACATTAAGGTCGCTGTGTACCTGCATTAGCAGCATCGCCTAAAGTCGTATCGGCTGCTGCGCCTTCGTCGTGTAACTCTGAAATCATGGTCGCCCTTCTGTGCCGCATACCATCCGGGAGTTGGAGAAGGCCATGGACAGGGGTAGGCGAGCGCACAAGTTCGACGTCAGAAGCTTAACCAAAACCACCTACATAGCACACGAGAAAGGTGAAGTCTTCGACAGCATTCATCCGTCTCAAGCAGTAGATTCGAGGATACATAGAAGCGTTCAACTTCGATACCGGAGCTCCCACACTCCAGGTCTTCCAAATGCAACGGATGCACGGATTCACGACGGTGACGGGCTGCAAGCCAAGCCATCCACCTTCGCGGTGCTCTACACCTACATACACTACCACACCCAGGCAACTCCGTACAGGTGTAGTGTATGAGCGATTTCACCCCGGATTGCCCCATGCCACCCATACAACCGTCAAGGGAACGCCCCAGCTCTTTGAAAGGTCTTCCCCAGAAAACACAGGGGGGGGGCCCGCAACTCCCCCGCAAACAGCGGCCGGCCCGCATCGTCGACTTCCACATGTCAAAAAGTTACCCCGGCCGAGGTCGAGCGAAGAGCGGATCTTGAGGGCACGAATGATCGCCTTTCCCCCGCATACTGCGTACTTGGCAGAAACTTGGCAGCAGCTGAACGATTCAACGAGGGGTTGCTCCGTGTTTAGAGCTTGGCGCGGGACGAGGTCCAGAGGCCGGAGCGGTCCAGGCCAGCGCCACCATTGAAGATGTCTCGCTCGACGATGCTCGTGTTGATCTGGGGCGGGGAAGGTTAATGGAAGAGTTTTCGAGAGACGGAGTAAGAGGGCAACTCACAAAGCGTGGGCCGAGTTCGGATAGGTCTTTGGCCCCCATCATCTTCATACACGTCTCGATCTCACCTTGCAGGACTGGTGGGAGTAGAAATTGTCAGCAAAGAAACCAGCGCGAAGGTTTCGAGTGAGAAACAGGGAAACGCAAGACGAAACCCACTTTCGAACGTCCTCTCCACCCCCTTCCACCCACCAGCACCCAAGCCCCAAAGCGCAGCACGCCCCACGCCAACCGCCTTTGCGCCAAGGCACAGCGCCTTGACGATGTCCGTCCCACGCTTCACGCCACCATCAACCCACACCTCGATGGTATCAAAGACCTCCGGGCAGTACTTCCGGATCTCTAGAAGCGTGTGCACAGCGGGCGGCGACGTGTCGAGAGACCGCCCGCCATGGTTCGATAGGATGACGGCACGGATGGTGCCCGGGTGCTGTCTGGCGTAGCGCGCAGCCAGGTAAGCGTCCTCATGTGTCTGGATGCCCTTCAACACAATGGGTAGCGTGGTATGCTTCGCCAGCCAGGGAAGAGTCGTTTCCCAGGTTAGATCAGCAGCCGTACCGAAGAAGAGTTGCTTGCCCACGCCGCTGTTGGTGTCCGGCTTTTTCGCTGCCGCTGGTTGTGCGTCGCCGGTAGGCTTCGCCGACTCAACCACCAGCCTCGTCTCAAAACCGGCGCGCTCATCATCTTCCCGCTTACTTGGCACCGGCGCGTCCAGCGTCAGCACGATACACTTGTAGTGTTCCGGCATGCGCGCAATCCGTGCCAGCATCGTCTCGCTCTTGGCCCGGTTCGTCTGCACATACAGCTGCCAGCCAAAAATCTGCCCGGGGGCTGCATCAGCCACGATCTGTTCGGGCGTCATGGACGCGTTATGCGAAACCAGTTGCATGGCGCCGAAACGGGAGATGCCGCGCGCGATGCCGGCTTCGCCGTCTGGGTGCGCCAGGCGGGCCATGGCAGCGGGGGAGACGTAGAGTGGCGTGGATAGGCGGTGGCCGAGCAGGGTCGTGGAGGTGTCGGCACGGGTGACGTCGACGAAGACGCGCGGGCGGAGGAGGATGGAGCGGTAAGCGTGGTTGTTGAGGGACTTGCTGAACAGATCGTCCGACGCTGAATAGTAGTAGGCCCAGCACTTTTTAGAGACCTGGCTCGTCGCAGCCGCCTCGATGTCGTCCAGATTGAGCAGCGTATCGAGCGCCGGTGGTGGGGGGCGTTCCTTATCATCCTTCCCCGGCGAGAATTTGCGTTGCATCTTCTTCAAGTCGTCCGCGTCGACGACGCCGAGCTTGGCCTCGGGCTTGAGGTTCTCCTCGAGGGTTCCGGGCGGGTGGATCGGGTCGAACTCGGCCGTGGCATCACGGCCAGCCAGCTGGAGGATAATGCGCGAGCCGCCTGGGTGCTCGGGCAGGAAGTCGGTCACATCGTAAACGGCGCCGTGGAGGACGACCCAGCAGCTTTCGGGGGTGGTGTGCTGGGCGACTGTGACCAGCGACAGAGGTGTGTTAGTAAACCTTTGGAGTTGTTGTCCATGGTGAGTTCAATTGGGGAATAGAAAAGGCGAGACGACGGGAGTGGTCAATTGACTTGATCCAACCCGTTTGGTTTGTTTGAACCTGTCCGGTCTCGGCAATTGTGATCCGGATGCGAACGAGGCTGACTGAGACAGGATTTGATTTGCTTGCCTTCCTCTGCTTTGAAGATTTTGGTCATCTTTCACGATGGACCCTCTACACTGGGAATCCTCGACTTCGACTCCTTGATTCTATCCAAAACAAAACACACAATTGCGAAATCGCAGGTTTGACGTCGGCTGGGGGCTCTCGTAGCATTTTAACACATTCGGGCCGGCACCTGGAGTTGAAGGCCCGCAGCCGATGGCCGGGCCCTTCTTCCGCGAGCAGTGTCACTTGGGGTCAGTTGAGATTGGGGGCTTGCTGATTGGTCCCCTGCCCTGGAGATGACCCCCAAGCTGCCACAGGTGCCCCCAAAGCTCCAGGCCTGAGTGAGCGGATTGTGGAGTCCGAACCTTCGACCTGGGGCGGTTGATGCCGGCTTCTGGGGGAGCGGTGGCCGTTGTTCCGCGCCGGTTGGAGGGAAAATCGGCCTCCGAATGTCGGTACCCACTGGCACCATGCTCGGGGGGGATTAATCCGAGCCTGGGCGTGGGAGGTTCGCCGACACGGGAGCTGTCGAAGCTCTCCGGCCATCTTAACAAAAACGTTTTTTCTTCTTATTTACAAAGGAGGAACCCCCCTTTCAAGTTGACAGAAAGAGATTTCTAGTTTCAAGAGCTTTCCAGGGGGGTTGTATGTTTTTGATAGGGTCGCTGACATCCACGCAACACAGGCTGCCTGGTGCAGGGCGTTTGTCATTCACAGACCGATGACGCATTCACAAACACCCCGATTCGAGGGTCCCATCCTGGGTTGTTCTTTCCGTTGTTTCGCTTTCAAAGCTTCAAATTAGGAGAGTTTTTACATATCAACTCGCATTTCTTTTCTTGGATATTTCCGGACTTATTCAGAACTACAGGCGACGGTTTACCGCCCTCAAGGCTCAGTGTCTCCAAGAACAACGTGAATTCCAACTGCATCAGTGCACATGCGCATGCACCACCGCCAAGTTAGCGGTTACCGCGGGGCCAGACCAGGCTGACACACCCCCGCCATTGCATCGTCCTCCAACAACAGCTCAGCTGCCTCAGCCCCGTGCACCTTGTTTGCACCTTGTTTGCCCAGCTCTGCATTTCGGAAGACACCAGCCTTACTGGCCTTTTTCTGTCGCTTGTTCTTTTCACCCGGTGAACTGCATCGCGGTGTCCGACCGGTCAATACACGAAGTCCGCCATCTATTAAACACTTGGCTGATTGCCATCGACAGCCACTACGTAGCCTTCTTCAACCTGTGTCGCCCTTGCGCCCCGTTTCCCCTCTTTCCGGCCTCCGAAATAAACAAACCCGCCCGGGGCCAAACCACCCACCCATCCATCCCTCCAACCTCCAACTCCCCATCCAAACACGCCGCCTCGCAATCCAACCACCCGAGCCCACGTCCACCAAATCAGCCAACCAACCAACCCACCCGCGTATGGGCACTCTCCTCACCAAACTCAAACACAAAATGGCCTCCCCCCCAGAACTCCGCGTGCTCTGCTTCGGCGACTCGCTGACCGCGGGGTACGCCTCGTGGGGCGCGATCCACCACCCTTACCAGGAGATGCTGGAGCAGATCCTATCGATGGCCTATCCGGATTTGAAGGTCGAGACGCTCGAGGATGGCGTGCCTGGGGCAATGGTCAAGAATGGGTTTCAGACGAGGATGAATGCGCATTGTACGTATGATGGGTTTAGCTGGAGGTTTTGGTGTATGGGTTGTTTTGCTGACGTTTGGGTTGTCGGGGTGGTGATTTAGTCGCGGGACCGAAGGACAAGAAGAAGAGGAGCGCTGATGAGGAGGGTAGTCAGGATGGGCAGGTGTTTGACTGGGCGATCGTGCTGGGCGGGACCAAGTATGATTTCTTCTTCCCCCTTCTCCAGCCCTCCCGTGTACTGGACGCCGCGAACAGGTTACTAACAAAACCACACAGCGACCTGGCCGTAGGCTTCCCAGTCGAAGACATATTCGAAGCCCTCAAGGAAGTCTGGAACGTGCCACTCGCCCACAAATGCAAAGTCCTCGCCCTCACGGTACCAGAAACCGGCTCCAAGGGCGCCATCCGCGAACGCATGGACGCCCGCCGCAACAAACTCAACGATCTGATCAAGGGGTATAAACGCGAGAATTTGTACGTCCCTCCCCCCCTCCCCCCTTCCCCCATATTCCCTCGCCAGATACCTATACTAACCCCCTCTTCTCCATATCCACAGCCACGTCTTCGACCTAAACGCCGTCCTCCCCTACCACGCCCTCTCCGAGCAAGACCGCACCCGCTACTGGGACGACCTGGTCCACCTGACACCGGACGGGTACGACTGGATGGGCAACAAGATCGGGGTGGCGCTGGTGAGCCTGTTGGCGGCGGAGAAGGTCAACAGTCCGCAGCGGCCGCAGAAGAGGAGGCGGATTTTTAAGGGGGATGATAATCAGTTTGAGGAGGAGAAGGAGGATGGGGAGGGGGGAGGGGGGATTGAGAGGGGGTATGTGGTTGTGAGAAGGGTGGATTTGGAGTGATTAAGGGCGGGAAGTTAATTCTTGAGCGTTTGTCCGGGCTTGTTGTTGGTTTGTTTGGGTTGTTTGGGTTCGGGCTTCTCTTTGTTGGTCTGTTAGGGGTTTCGGATATGGGATTGATACACTGGATGGATGGACCGGCGTTTTGGGGCATCAGAGAGTTATTACTGCAAACAAGAGATATCAAGATGGAACCAGGCATCTTATAAAGAATTTGGGAAATCATTTGCTTCATTCATCATAATTATTTATGTCTGGGTAGGTCTCTACGCACACGACCTTTTGTCCATCATTCATTCATTCGTCCATCTACAGTCCCGTGGTCATACCGCAATATGCGCAGCCACAAACTCAGGAAACTCGGCCTGCAGCCCATCCGTCAACTGCTCCAAGTCCTCCGCCAGCGCCTGCACATTCCCATCCCACCTACGCATCTCCTTCGCAACAGGCACCTGCGCCCTCGTCCCCCAACCCTTCTTTTCCCCGGCCGCGTCCCCGCCGACAAACAAAATAATCCGCTCAATCTGATCAATCGACCCAGCCAACCGCCCTTGCTCAATCATCCGCGCCGTCGTGTCCTCCGCCTTCTGCCCGTCCAATCCAAGCAGCAATCCAAGTTCATCAAAACCGATGTTAGCATACAGCCGACTGGCGCTCAGCAGGTTGTGCTCCACCACCGCCTTGGCCAGCACCGTCGACCCGTCCGCCGTCTTGGCCAACTGGTGCGGCGCCAGGTCCTGCGCGAACTTGTCCACCTCGCCCGTGCTCAACAACCGGTCAAAAAACATCTTCTCCAGGATTCCATGCTCCTCCAATCCCGCCGCCCGCTCGTCCTTGTACAACTGACCCAGCGCGCGACTGCGCATCGGGCCCGCGGGGGCTAGCACAGCGCACTTGATGGCCATGCCCAGGGTGTGCAGACGCTCGTCCTCGGCGATGGCGGGGGAGAAGGAGATGTCGTGGTAGCTCTTGGCGGCCTGGAGGAACTGGCGGTTGGAGTCCTGGATGCGGGCGGCGGAGAGGCGGAAGTGGAGGTTGAGTTCGGCGTCGGCGACGTCGTGCATTACGTTCTTGAGCTTGTTGAGGTAGGTCTCGGCTGACGTGCTGTCGTCGACCTCGAGGTAGTTGCGCACGATGCGGATCCATATGGCGGCCTTGTCGGCGTCGGGTACGCGTCGCTGGGAACTGTCGAGCGGGATCTCGGCGAGCAGCTTGGCGGCGGCGAGGAACTCGTCTTGGGCTTCGTAGGCTGTGGCGACTTGCTCGCGGAGCGCGGCGGCTTGGTCCGTGAGGGAGGTGGCGAGGGGGGAGTCGGGGATTGCGGTGATGACGTGCTGGCCGACGTCGATGGTTAGGTCGGGGTCGTTGTTCGGGAGGTTGCGGAGGGTGGTTAGGAGGTCGGTCAGGAGCGTGCGGGTGTTGACGACGCCGAGGGTGCCGGATAGGGCGGCGTTGGCGAAAGCGATGAGGTCGGCGGTGGTGGTGGTGGTGGTGCTACTTGAGGAGGCGGTCGCGGAAGACTGGATAGTGCTGAGGATGGCCTGGTAGTCCGCGAGGCTGGCCTTGTTGCCGGCCTCGGCCAGCGCCGTCGTGACCTGCGGCGACGCCATTTTGGAATTTCTCCACTCGAGATTACCTCAAGATTTGGTGGTTGATGATCGGGGATCGGTCTTAGTATTTAGGATCTCGGTGAAAAAAAAAAACATCCAGCCGTGTCAAGTCGGTTGTTTGAGTGTTGGATATTTGTTGTTTGCGTAAGGCTGAGTTGGGGAGCTCCAGAAGCTCGCCTGGGCTGCCTATCGGCAGGTGGGGTTGGCGGGGTGGTGGGGTCCAGAAGTCTGGCCCAGCCCGGAACTCAGGGTCCTCCTTCCCTCCACCACGTAAATTATCCCAGGCTCCTTCTCACTTGATCATGTTGAGCAGCTCTTTCCTGTCAACTTTTCGTAATTTCTTGGAGTGTACGTTGAGTTGAGTATGTATTCTTGAAAATTACAAACGACCAACATTGAAATAGAGACCGATTCGTTGACTTCGTTCAACCGTGGCTTTAAACCACCACCGGCTTTTTTGCTAGTCTCAACTTTTTTCCTTACTTACATTCGAAATGCCGAGGGAAAAAAAGAAACAAATTCGCCGAGGTGTCAAAACATCTTTCAGTGCAAATGCCCTCGAAGGCCGGACTTGAAATTACATTTGACTCCCAGCGGCCCAAACGGCGGGCCAATTCAGTACCACTCTACTCCATCTACAGTTCACCTAAGCGCGCGCTTCCCTGCCTCATGTTCATTACCTGCACAAAAGTTCAAAACATCTTTACAAAGAAACCCTAAAAATACCTGATCCTACCTTGACATGCCGCCTGCTTCAGTGTTGAATTGCTGTTGCCAATGGGACTGGCCCGTGTCGACGGTCTCTTACAGGTACCGTTTCTTAATTACCCCTTTCTTTGTTTCCTCGCTCTCGCTCCAAGGTCGTTTCTTCACCTCACCTAGAAAGTTCAAGAGAACGGCAAGTGTGGGCATTCTTTCAACCATCTTTACCAGACCTCAACCTAGGCTAGGCCACTTTTCTTTGGCCAGGCCGGGCTTTTTTGATCTGTACCCTTACGCTATGACACTTAACATTGCAGGTTTACTCCCCTGACTCTTTGTTCACCCGTACAAACCCCTAGCCAGGGGCAGCTACCTGGCCACCATCCAGGCCTCCTTCCCCTTACCTCCCCTTATCCCCCTTATGGCAGACACAATCCCACCCAAGCCGCCATCGGCGAGAAATCCGTTTCATCGCCCAAATGTTGATCTCCCGCGATCATCGCCATTGGATCCACGGTCCTGGAAGCCTGGGCCAGGAACCGCCCGCTTGTCCCGCAACGCCATTGTTGAGGCCGGTGATGGTTGTTTCAGGGGGTACGTGAGGCTTCACTGGCGTCTAGGTGTCTACCTAAAGGGTTGTGGGCGGTTGCTACGTAGTATGGGATGCGGCCGGTAAGGGGATGAATGCCAGCCATGCGCGTGATGTGATACTATTGTCTATTGAGGTGTGAAGAGTATAAGACGGGAGGGCTTTTCGCTGTTTAGGTTCCCTCTTTCTTCTACATCATCATCAACCGCATCTTTTCCTACTCTTCTCTCCTCACAACGATTGACTCGTTTCTGCTTCGTGATATTGACGCAGGCCGTCGTTCATTCATACCTCCATTCCTAAAGCACAACATCTTTTCTCATCAACAACCATTCATCTGCCAAAATGCTCACCCACGCCACCGTCCTCGCTCTCGCCCTGACACCGCTGGCCTCCGCCCACGGCAAAGTCGCCGTCGTAACCGGTAACGCCGGCGGCAACGGCACCGCCCTCGCCATCCAAGGCGGTATCGTCCCCGGTTCCGGGCCTAACTCCAAGGTATGTACACCCACCCACCAACCACCCTGCCATCCTCCGATCCCTCCCACAACCCTAAAATATTGACTAAAGGAAAAAAAAAGACCGAAGTAGACACCACAGTCTTCCACCACACCTCCATCCGTACCAACGGCCTCGGCAAAACAACCGGCGCAGGCCACAACGACCTCGGCCAGCTCGTCCATGCCATGGCACTGTCGGGTCCCACGCTGCCCCAACTCACCCCCGGCGGCAACCTCACGGGTATCTTCCATGTCGTTACGGCTGATGGCGCCGGGCCCATCCAGGCTGTGCTGGATACCACGGCTACGGGGCAGTTTTCGGATGGCGTGCCGTTGACTGTGGTGATGCAGATTCCGGGGGTAGGGGGAAATTTTGTGGGGGGTGATGGGAATGGTAACAACGGCAATGGGGGTAATAGGGGGAATAGGGGTAACAGAGGAAACAACAACAAACGCTCCCTGAACCCTCTCAGTTGGCTACGCAAACGCGGCGCGGCCAACGTGAACCAGAGCTTCGAGTTCGCGTTTGCCGTGCCCGAGAACACCACGTGTACCGGGGTCGTGGCCGGGATGACGGGTGTGTGTCTGGTCAAGGTGGCGAATGCGAACCAGGCGGGCCCGTTTGGGGGGGTCGTGCCTGTGCAGATGGTTGCTGCGGGTGCTGCTGCGCCTGTTGTTACTGGTGGGACTGGTGTTGGGGCTGGGACTGGGACTGGGACTGGTTCGGGTGTGGTTGTTTGTGGGGGGACGGGTCAGGCGTGATGGGAAGGCTAGAGAGAGTTCGATGGATGGGCTGGGAGAGATGTGCGGTGTATAAGAGGTGTTAGGGAGAGGTGGGGTGGGTGAGAAATGAAAGACCTGTATATATCGCAATCGGGAGTGTCATATCAAAGTACATAGCACATAAACACCACTTACAAACCACAAACCCGCTCATATCCATACATATCAGTCGTCCATCTCCCACACCACTCCTTTCACACCCTTTCAAACCCCTTTGCCAACCCTCATACACACCCACCCCCCCCTAATACTCCCCTAATGCTGCAAAACAACCTCCTTCCCCCTCTCCCACCCCCTCACCCCCTCCCTAATATTAACCCAATACCTCAACCTCACCGCCTCCGCCCTGGCCCCCTGCACATCCCCCTCTTCCAACGCTCTCCCCAACCCCTCCTCACAAGCCTCAATCCTCCCCTCATTCTCCACCCGTACCCCTTCCAAATCCGCCTCAGTCTGCGCCTCCTCCATGACCTCCCTTGCCTCGAGCACGGTCATCAACAGTTCGGGGTCGGGGGCCCCGCCGTGCTGGTTGGCTTCGTCGCCTTCGAGGTCGATGTGGTGGAGCTCGTGGAGGAGGTATTGCGCCCGCAGGAGGGGGGAGGAGAGGGTTTTATAGGCGGTGTTAATTAGTGCCGAGGTGGCTTCGGCGCGGATGCGGGCGGGGGAGTGGTTTTTGTTTTTGCTGTTGTTTGTACTTGTGCTCGCGTTGGTATCCGGTGTGTCGTCAGTCGCTGTGTTGTTGTTGGCGTCGGACGTCCCGGGCTGCGCAGCGTGGTGGTGAAAGTCTGGATGCGACGCGGCTTGCAGGCGGAGGAACTCGGCGCGGAGTGCGCGCAGGTCGATGGCGAACTTGCCCGCTGGGGGCGGGCCGTCGGGTAAGGTCTGGGGGAAGAGGGCGTAGTACGCCGGGATCTCGGAAGGTGTCGAGGAGGAGGAAGACGAATCATCGGTAGTAGTAGTGGAAGTGGTTGTTGTTGTGGAGTTGGGCCTCCTCTGGCTATATAATGACCGGCGCGCGGCTGTTATCGACGTCTGCGGGCGAGATATTGTGGCAGTTTGGAGGGCGCGTCGAGAAGGTATCGTGACGCGAGATGCTGTTGCGAAAGAGGTACCCCGAACAGCTAACGTCGGTTGAGCCTCTCGCCGGCAAGCCGCGCATATCTGGTGAGCGGCTGCGCGCCCGGGAGCGAGGCTTGAGAAGGAGCGCATGTTGTTGCTGTCGTCTTTTGTTTTGTCCTTTCCTTCTTTCTTCGTCTTCTTCTTCGCCGTCGATCTTTACAAGCTGAGAGCAAAGGCAAGAATGGTTGTCTTCAGGTCTGCCGTGATATGAAACTAGCCGGTCGTTTTCAATTCGGTGCGGAAAGGTCGTCTCAAACCCAAGCGGGTAAAGTTAATCGCCACACCGGAGCTCGGATGGATCGCGGAGTGAGATTCGGAATTTCGAGGCAAAAGTCCCGCCCGGAGCCGAGACCAGCGAAAATGACGTCGGCACGGTGGGACCGAGTCCAAGTTCACTTTTCACCGCCTTCCGAAAATAGAGACATGGACAAATGCTGCCAGGTACCCCTGACCCACTTGGCCGGTTGACCCCTGGCCCTGCGCCCAGGCCTCTTGCTTGGACTGTCACTCATGGCATTTTCAGAATCCGATACCGAATTCCAGACAGAAGACGAATAAGAATTAGATGGGGAAGAACTTGCCTCAGGTGTGGTGTGGAATAAACCATCCGTTTCTCTCACGAAATGCACAGCCATGCCATACCGTTATGCTCAAGTCCATGCTAAATTATTACACCAATAATAATACAACCCTAGTTATCGCAAATATGTGTCCCAAGTATCGTAACATCATGCATGCCCAGAATGATATGCCCGGTTGTCCCGTATTTCCATATTTCCATGTCAAAATCTTATTCTCCTCCCATGCATTGATAGATGTAGTTCCCCTTCATGAAAGTACCACCCCCCTCCATCTTCCCCTCTCCTGATGCCACCATCGTTCCTGGTCCTTCTTATCCACCACCATCCCACTATACGTGTTCCACCGTCCCGTACACCCTTCCCCTCGCGTATCCGGCGTGTCCCCGTTCGTCTCATCACCAGCACCACCAGCACTACTACCACGACGACTCCCACTCCCACCCAAGAACCCTTCCACATCACTCTCCGCATCGACCCCTCCATCCCCCCAGTCCTTCTCCCTCTTTTTCGACTTTTTCTGCTTCTTCTGCTTCTTTTTCTCTTCCCTATCGCTATTATACCCATTACTATTACTATTATTATTACTTCCCAATGCAGTCTTCTCCCCACCAACACCACCACCGAAAAACCCAACCATTTCCCCTCCATCATCCCGCATCATATCCTCCACACTAACCACCCCACCTCCTTCATCCGTCGCACCCGACGCCACATCGGGCGAGAGCACATACCGGATCCGGGACTCCACATGCCCCAAAAAGGCGCCAATCCCAAACTTTTCAACCATGGCGCCTTGGTCTTCGTCAAAGACGTGAACGAGGTAGCGGGGAATGCGCTGGGCGGCTTCGAGACGAGCTTGGGCGGCAAGACGCGCCTGGGCGAGGTTGCTGTTTTCGCGTGGGATCAGGGCGTCCAAGGGGGGGAAGAGAGGGGATTGAGGAGTTGGAGTGTTGGCGCCGCCGTTGCCAGTGCCGTTGGGGGTGTTGGGACGGCTGTTGGTGCGGCTACGGGAGCGGAAGGGGTTCATAGAGGTCGGGGTAGACCGACCGAAACTGAGGCCGCTGCTGCCGTTTCCTGTCGGAGTAGCAGCGGCCCCTCCGCTGTTGGTAGACGAGAAACTCGAGCTGTTGCGAGTATGTCCCCAGGGTGTCGTGTTCTGGCCTGTCTGGCCCGGAACGGGGAACAGCCCGCGGTATCGGTCCGTCGGGTGATCCACGCGCTCACGCGGTGCGCAGAGAGACTGGAACAGCCCGTCTGGATCGTTCGGTGTGCACAAGGCCCGCAGCGATGGGAACCCGCCAGCTGAGATGCTCCGCGCAAGAATGGTATCGGCCGGGGTCGACGTGTTCGGTAAATAGGGGATATCCCAGTGAAGTTTTCGGAGGGACTGCGAAGCGAGATAAGGGAAAAGGATCATGAACTCGTCGGGCGGCATCTCGGGGGCGTAGGTTTGAACGATGGTGAATGTTTCAAGGCGGACAAGGTACGAAAGGATGCGGGCGATGGCCGGAAGTGACTCGACGTTCATCTGGAGCAGTGTGAGGGCGCTGAGGGACGTGCTTGTTCGGCGGGTTGCAAGCGCGGAGAGGCCGGCGGTCGTAACACCCGTGCATGAGCTGAGTGACAGTTTCCTCAGTGCAGGCAGCGCGAGGAGGTTCCTGTCATTGAAGGCCGTTGGGGGCATGTGAGAAAGGTAGAGGTTCTGCAGCGCTGGCAACGCTCGAATCGTACCGCCCAGCAAGCTGGGGGGGCTCAACGCCGCCCCTGGCTGACAGTGCACAACCAGCGTGGTGAGCTGCCTCCAGTCCGCGTGGAAACCCATAAACAGTTGTGACTCCTGTGGTTCCAGGTCACCTGGTCCCCATCGCGCCTCCTGCGGGCGCATCCTCTGCTGCTGTTGTTTTGCCGATGGTTCCAAGATCCAGTTCATCTCTTTCAGCTTCGGCCGTGTCGACAGGGCTTGGAACAAGCGCTGAAACGAGTGGTCGTACGTCGGGTGGTAGCCTACCAGCCGTTCCAGGTTGGGACAGGCCATCACCACCGACGCGACTAGGTCGTTGTACGCGATCAACCCAACCGACATCGGCCTAGCAGGCGGCTTCAGCGACCGCACGGCCGCCGCGATTTGCGCATTCGCTCTCAACGTCCGTCGGAGCAACACCAGTCGCGAGCCGTAAGCTGTCTTGGTCCGCTTCTTCATCGCAGGCGATTCGTGGCCCACCAGTTGAATGTGTTGATATAACGCTTCGCGGGCATACTTGAGAAACTTGCGAGCGCTGATCGCCACCGAGCAACAGTCCCGCATCCAGCACGTCGCGCAGCTGTTGCTTCCCGGCCGCAGGTGCAGCTTGCGCAGTTCCGCCAGGATCAGCTCCAGAATCTCCCCGGGTAGTGCCGCAAACTGCTCCCCTGGCTGGGCCTTCTTCCGCTGCTTGATGGGCGCTGGCCGATGCCAGGGATAACTTTGCCCGCCTGCACCGTTCTGCCATGTCACTGGTGCTGAAGACGTCCGCGGGCTGTACGAATCAAAGCTCGTCTGGCTGCTCGTGAACGACGAAGTGCGCACACGGCTGTCGACGCTGTCGTGCCCGACGCTGCTGGTCGTTACCGAACTGGTGCTGCTGCTGTTGGACAACCGCCGGGGCTTGTTGTATCCGCCGGCACGCTCCGGGCTCCCTCCGGGGAACGAGCCGTCCGGGTGGGCCGTGGGCATGTGCATCGGGGGCGGATGCCCCTTCACGGGCCCTTCCGATCCTGGCTGCGAGTTGGCCATCTTCTGCATCCCCGTGCTGGCCCGTTGTGTCCTTTGCACAAACGCTCTCTCCTCGGTCGGATACATCGCTAATGGGCCGTCGACGGGCGAACGTGGCGGCCGGAGACGAGGAGGCGCAGCAGTAGGTTTTAATACCGGAGACCGGCTTGTTTGGGAAGAATTTCGGGATCGCGCTGGGGGCGGCTTCAATAGCGCCTCATCATCACTATTAATAGTGTACCATCGAAGAATTGCCGAGGCGGAGAAGGTGTGCCGATGCTTGACTTTATTAAAGAACGCTGGGGGCGGGCTGTGTAAGTCGAGGACCGGACTCTGGCGTCAGCAACCGTTGATACCTCCCCTCTCAAAGTGACACCTTATTTACCACAGCTGGGGAAAAATATGTTCTAGAAAATAAAGTGGAAGGCAAAAGGAAAAAAACAAGATGGGGACGTTGTTGCGTGATGTTGGGGATGAGCGAGGGTGTGTGGGCCGAATTGGCCATTTTAAAATGACATGTCGATCTCAGCCGCAAGCCGTGGGCGGCAGTTCAGTGAACATCGTTGCGCTTATTGGATTGCTCTGCTTGCTCTTTCCAGCCAAGCCGGCCCAGGACCGATCAATTATCGAGTCTGCCTCTTCATTCAGCCTGCAACCTGCAGCCTTTCAATAAACTCGGGGCGTCGAGTCATAGCGCGTCTTGTACATTCTGCAGGCGCCAGGACGCTAAAAGGAGAAATATTCCCATGCGTGACGCAGGAACGCGACGCACCAAGCACTCGCTGGTTGGTCCGACGGGTACGAGGTTGGGTGCTCACGTTGGCCACTTGGGATGGATATAACGCACGCCACGAATGAAAAAGGTGGAAACTAGCGTGTGGCTTCACGCGTGCAACCCATCCTTTTGCCTCAAACCTCCAAATATGCGGGGGAAACAATGGGCCTCGGAGTGGATGGATGGATGGATGTTCGTCCGTCTTTTTCTCGCAAGAAATCTTGGAAACTGTTGCTGTTTGCCCATGATCGGCGCTTCGCCAGTCGACAAACAGAGTCTCGTCCGTCTGGGAAACCTGGTGTTTCTGGATGGTTGCGCCCAAAAGGAGCACTCCCAGAACCAAAAGCAGAAGTGACATCCATGAAGGAAAACAGGGGTCGGAAGCAAGGGGGAAGGTGCAGTTGGCCCGAGCGCGAAAAAGGGAAAGGGGTTCCCCAACGTTCCACCCGTCGGCCAACCATCTCCGGCTTGGCAAATGGCGACATGAGAGCACCTGAAGTGAACAACAATTCGCGCTCTTTGTGTTCGAGGTCGCGGGGAGTGATGAAATAAAAATAAGACAAAAAGCCAATGGGCAAAGTGAAGGTCGACAAAAGCTGCTCACCGAGATTCTGTCTTGCCGTCCTGTTTTGCACCGCTCGAGGCTGCCTCTGGGGGCTGACTGCTCGCGGTTGAGGGAGCCTCCCTCTCCCGAAGCCCGTCCCCGCCGTCTGGACGATGGGATTTGAGTCCTTGAGGCCGTTTCCGCAGCACATTGCCCTTCGTGGTGACATCGCTCGAGGAGAGCGAGTTTCTCCTTCCGGTCACAAAGTCCCGTAGCGACGACAGCGACGATACAGAACTTTCGCTGTTCCGCCTCTTCCGGCCACTCCATGACCATGACGACCTTGTCGGGGTTGGTGAGGATGAGGCCGGCGTGCTAGCGGGAGTGGTGGCCATAATTTGAGAACCCGATACCGCGATAGGGGCAGTCGTTCGTTATTGTCGGCTCAAGGTTAGGAACCGGGAATCGGGGGGCATCCTCCGCCGGTACTCATCAATATCGAACGTTTACGTTGAAATTTCGTCGACGCAGCGTCGGCAAGGTGTTTCGAGTCTGTCGTTTCGAGTTATGTCTTTGCCCGCGAGGATTCCTAACCCCTCCTTCTTTCTCCCTGGCCTCTAACGAGTGTGGTAGGAACGCCGAGGCTAGGAGGGAGTTTCCTCCCACCAGCAGCAATTTTCCACTTGCGTTGAAGTCAAGCCCGTAGGTTGACAATACAACGTTGGATACAACGTTGGATCGGGACGATGGTGGTTGCCCCGCTTTCAGAGATCGTATTGGCCTCGGCGTGAACGGGGGTCGCCGAGTCTCACACAGTGGTCGAACAAGGCAAAAGAGGGAAAAGCTCATCAACAACATCCAAAATTAAAAAGAGCGGGTGCTATGTTTAATAAGATGTGTCCAACCGATCGCGGTCTCAGACAACAAAAAAAACTTCGACACGCCACGCCAAGCCGTTCCGCAGGCCTCCATTGCCCGAGCCTGAGCCGGCACAGCGGCGAGCAAAGCCATTTTTCCTGTGGGGCCGAGCCCGTGTGCAGTGGGGCAATCGGTGAGGCTGCTGGCCTGGTCACATCGCGTGTTGCTGTGAAATATGTATCAAATCAGGTCGTTGTTTCTCAGACATCAGCTGCAGCAAACTCCGTACCTAGGATTGGACTTCAGCTTCTCCGCTTTAGCGTTGTCGCCGAGCTGCTTCAGTACGAGGGACAACGCATACGTGGCTTGTGTGAGGGTGGCCATGGGCCGTTTTAACGGTTTCTGCAACGTACGTGTTTTCAGGGCGGCCTCGAGAACACCCAATTATGGACCTTTCCCCGTCCACCGATCTGCAACTAGGTAAACAACGTTTATCGGAAAACAGGGTTCGCAGAGGTGGCACTCAACAATCGACCGGTCGGTAGTCGAGGAAAAGGGGCTTCAGCCCCTACCTCGATATTGAATCTTAAGTATGTACCTAGATCCAAGTCAATAAATACTTGAGCCATGGAAACCCTGGAAGGATATCGAGTCGCCAATATAATGTCCGTGGCTACGAGGATGGCCGTTGAGTGGCGCCTCTTGAATCGTCATTCGGTATGAAAGACGGGAAAAGAATGGAGAAGAAAACTTTAAAGTCAACAGATCCTCGACAGCCTTCAGAGGAAGGCACGACCAAGGGTTACTCGAGCGAGTTAATGTGAGCTAATTAAATACCATCTAATTCAACAGCACATCCCTAGAGTATGTGACCACTTTCGTCTCCCGTTAACTAATACAGCAGAAGTTAGAACGATACCACTGAGCTGTAATTATTAACAATACCATAAGTTCGGCAGCAGGGCTCAACAGCCAGTTGCTAATTAATTGTCTTGAGTGCTGCGGGCTTACTTAGATGAATTTCCCGAACTACAGTTTCAAAGCTTTAAGCGTAGTAGAGAGGGTATCTACCTCGCTGTGGCCAAAAAAAGCGGCAGATTATACTAAGACGGATAGCTTAAGTCTAATCTATTAACATTCGATCAAATTTAGATGGATTTTGTTTGATCTACTCTTTTTCGTTATTTTTCACTTTTTAGAATTCTTTCTTTTTTGTTTTTTTGGTGTATTCTTTTTGGTTTTTTTTTTCACTTTGGTAGAAAATTAAGTTATCTAAGGACTTGGTCTGCCGCTTTTTGGGCCACAGCGAGCCTACTACGTTTTCTTCTACTCCTTACATACGCTCGGTTCAGCTAACTAACTACATTTATTTTGCCTTTTACCGAGAGCCGGCCGTCATCCGACTCAAACTGCCCTTCCCCCGAACCGATAGGCTCCGATTTCTTTCAAAGCCAACAATGAGTTCATGCCCTCAATGGTTTCTTTTCTGCTTCCCTCTGATCAACGGCCGTTTACTGCCGCAGTCCCACCGAAATAGGTTCAGTTTGACTCCCAAACCTACGCCCTTATCACCCAGGAGACTTACTCCAGAACCGACATCGTTGGTGTCCCGCCCCGATTCTCCATCATGGCCAGATCATCTTTCGGGAGAGCTTCGGTCCCCGAGCGGTGTCAAATATGATGCGGATACCATCTACTCCGTTGAGTCTATGACAAAAGCCTCCACCACCAAGGTCACTGGAATACTATCGAGGCAGGGGAGCTCAAGTGGACGACTTTAGCGAAGAATGCCGTTCCAGAATTCCACCCAAACGATCAACGACGGCCCTGGTTAACTTAGCCGCCTCATCATCCAAACTTTTTTCAAAGGTACTATCTAATATGACTACCTCGCACTGGCCCGAGACTCTGGCGTTTTGTCTCGGGGAGTAGAATCACATCAGAGTCGAGTGGAAAGGGGGGATGGGGTAGCCAACGAACTGCTGCCCGACCATGCGAAGCCGCTCCAGCGGGAATTATGTCGACAGGTATTTCAACGACGTCACAGCGCTCTTCATAAAATTCCCACTCAAGGACGATGAACTTTGGCGAATCTGCAAGAGCACACTGTCTAGAACTACCAGCTCCGACACCTCGACTGTGACGGGGTCACTCGGCACATGCCGGGGAACGAACAGGTCGGGCGCGGGAGGAACCCCATCACCTTCAACGAATATTCGAAGATGAAGGTTTCGACGACAGGATCAGGGCTAACGAGCGGATTTTCAGATTCATTGGGAAAAGTTTTCCCTGTGATGGGATGGGATGGAGCTTACGAGGGAACCTTGGTTCTACGATCAATCATCACGGGCTTCGAGGTCTCGGTCTGCGTACAAAGTTGATGATAATTAGTTGACTGCGAATGACAAGGATTTTCCGTGCCATGCGAACGACATAACGGTGTTCGTAGAAAAGGGATAAAGATGAACACAAAGTTGGACGGGCCGATAGCATGGGAGATTCTTAAAAGGATGAGTTCCGGTCGGGATCCCGGAAGCAAAGGGAATTTGGTACGGTAGCACGGCAGGGAAACGCTAAGTCACTATAATTAACACGGGGCTATGCCATATACATTCGGATAACGAGGAAACTTTTACTCCATAGCGGTCGGGTGTACACTGAGGCCAAATCTTGTATCAGAACTCTAGTACTCTAGAAACAAACGGGATGAGAAGCCGTCGCAACGGATCATCTAGCAGACCTCGCCCAACTTAAGAATCCAAAGGGTGACTAGCCTCTAGAGAGGGCATC